AATTAACTATATTTTAAATTTAAATTAAAAATTGAAATTTAAATATTGACATGCTATATTAAATTTAAGATATGAATTTTCTTTAAGATGAACTAGATCTTAAAATTATAGTAATTTTAATAATTTTATTTTGAACTTAGTTTTTAAATTTTAAGAAACTGTATCAAATTAATAAAAATATAGATAACATGTCTTAATTTAAATAATTTATTTTATAACTTTTTAAAATTTTATATAATAGAATAAAATGTTTATAATAAAAAATAGAGACACCTAATTATCCATGATTAACAGTAATGACATTTTTAATTTAATTTGAACTTAAAATATATCAGTATAATAATATAGAATAATTTGTAAACAAATTATTATAACTTCAAATTAACTTTATTTCAAACAAGTCATCTTTCATGACAAAAAAAAAAGGTCATCTTCAAAAGGAAAAAAAAAGTAATATCTCAAATTTTGAAAAAAAAATGGGAAGTTTTCATTGATCTCTTTTTCTTTTTTGGTTTACTATTACTATTACTATTATTGTAGGTCTTTATCATTCCCATCTGTACCCCACCCTCCCCTCCACCTTATTCACTTTCTCTTCTCTCTCATATATCTGTCTCTCTTTCAGCACCTCTCATCATCACCCTCTCAATTTCTCTCTGCACGCCTTCTGTATCTCACTGTCCCTCGCAAGAAATTAAAAAAGAAATAGAATTATTCTCATAACACTGAATTTCTCAAGAGGGGTGGCTAATGGGTCTCGAAATCTTAGACGATTTTAGGCCAATTATGCCAATAAGAACCATTCCAAGCGCCAGAAACTTAAGCCAACGTGCCGATCTAGAGACTCCAAAGGAGGAACAAGAGTGCCACACACCCACTTCACAAGCTCAAATTTTGAGGACCCCATTGGTTTGTCCACCACCTCCAAAGAAACCGCGAATGCCCACAATTACCACAAAGTTACCTTCTCAATCTCGAGGGTTCTTCCAAGTACCCCACGATCTGGCTTCGGTTTTTCTCTTTCATGCTAAACCTTCCGGGCTAACTACAACATCAGAGGAACCTCTTTGCTAGCAACATTCCATTCTTAACCAGAGGCAATGGTATATATATATATATATATATATATATATATATATATATATATATATATATTATATTTTAAATAATTAAGCACCACATCATATAAGTTATATATATTTATATATGTATATTGTTTTGTTTGGTTTTTTGGTTCGTATCATCATTTATTTTGTTGCTATTTTGAATATTTCAAGTGTAGAAACTAATTTAAGTAGTTGTAGATGGTGCATGGTTCATTAGTTGTTTAATCATGAATGCATGTACGTATTTTAGCTGAATATAAAGCGGGAAGCAATTTTTACGAGTCTGAATTGTGAGTAACCAAACATACCGTACGTTGTGTTAAGACTTTTTCTCTCTCGATGAGAAGGGTGGTAGATGGATCTGGAGCGGGGTAGAAGTGTTATATAGAATCATGCATATACAAGAAGGCTTTAATTAGATATGAAATTTGAGTAGGCAAGTTAAAGGTTTTGCTATTTATGGAGTGGTGGATGGGTCCTGGCCTGAGGAACAGATCCATAGGCTTCTTTTGTCCATTTGAGAAACTCCATCACAATGAAGTGAAAGGGTCCTACACCAATCACTCCAAAAGGTTGTGCTTTGGCTGTTTGCTATATTACTATACATCCTCTCTCTACCTTACCAGTTACCACCTTTATAACACTGTTTTTAATCTAGCTTAATTAGTCTTTCGCACTTGGGGAAAAAACATGGACACAAAAGGAAGTTAATTTCCTTGTTGGATTTTTAAGCAAACCAGAAAATGGAATGTGTTGTTTATATGACAATAACATTGTCAATGTCTTGGAATTTTTAAGGAAAAGAAAAGCTCCCCATACGTGTCTCTGTATACATGACTAAATTACGTTTTCTGTCACTCTTAATATTTTTTTTTCATTCGATGCATCATTTTTGAAAGGTTGTAATTGAGTTCTTGAATATTTTTTTTAAAATTTCTATAAGGCCTTCCTTTTTTTCTGCTATAACTTAGTCCTATAAGTGACGTATTTTATTTTATTTTAATCTTTCAAAATATATACTATAACCTTTTTTTATCTCCTTAAATATTATTATTTTTTTCATTTAATATCTCCTCTTTTAAATTTGTTACTTAACAGATAGAGAAAAGAAAACTTTTACACACGAATTATCAAGGAATATATAATTTTAGTATCAAACAATACGACCACTAACACAGATTTAAGGTAAATAAATTTTTTTTTTATTAATACTTTTCTCTAATATTTAATTTATAGAAGGAGCCAATGGTAATACGTATAAATTTAAATAAAATTAAAGTTTATGGTTTCTATTTGTAAAATTAGAAAAGTTTAAAGATTAATTTCCCTAAAATGAAAGTTTAGAGTGTCTAATTATATAAATAAAAGAAGATTAAAGATCAATGGGGATGAAATTAAAGTTTAAAAGATCTATTTATAGAGAATACAATTTAAAAAAGTTAAATACTCTTTTCCTTTTAAAAAATAAAAAATTAAAGAAATTGTGATTTTTGAGAGGACAAAAGCATCCTTCAACCATTACACGTCTATATTTTATACATATGGCTGTGTACAAGTGATAGACTAGAAAATAGATAGTTGAGAAAAACGCGGTGAGTTATAATGGTGGTCTTAAGTTTAGAAAAGGAACTCACACAATCAGTATTCCTGAAAAGTTTTCTTTCTTTCTTCTTCTTCTTCTTCTTTTTCTTCTTTTTTTAATATAAAAAGCAAGATATAACTTTTGTTGAAATTGTTGGGCAAAATCGTTCGTATGTTGCATAACCTTTTTGCTCACAATTCCGTAATTTCTTGCTTGGGACACATTGAAAGAAGGGTATATATATATTAGTAGACAAAGAAATTAGGTCCTCCAAACAGTGAGATACAGCATTAACAGAGAAGAGGGTAAGCCTCTTATTTTTATATTCTTTTTGGTCAAGTGGTGGCTCTTACATTTTGATTAGTTTCGTGGGCTATCACCTATTAGACGTGTAAGTTTTTATTATGTATTATTGAGTAAATGTTTTTTCTTAATTTACACAGATATTCAACATTACTTGATCAATCTGAGGCCCTTAGCAATGTCATATATGTGCTCTATTTGGGTCACAGGATAGCAAGACTCATTGGATCCAATTTTCGCCAGGCTGATATAGCCCCAAATAAAAAATTATTAGCACGAATTGGTTAGAAGCTTTTTATCCAAAAAATAAAATGGTAAGCTTGACAGAAACAACTTATCCAAAATAATAATAATAATAACCACGACCCGACAACAAAACTTACAACAAAGAGATTGTGAATTCAGGTAAAGTTCCATTCATTTTGTCAGTTTTTTTCTTTTATAAAAAGGAATTAAGACTAAACACAATTTTAGAATAACTCTACAATATAAAAGATTTTATTCTTTTAAAATAAAGTAAGGTGCATTTCAAAGAAGAAACTAACATTAATTAGAAAATTAGTGGTTAAGATTGTAACTTTTAAAATTTATCGTATATGTACTTAGTTTTTACCACAACAAAAATCAACAATTATAAGTGTATCCCTCACTGCAGGGGAGTTTGATTCAATACAAAAATGTTTTTCAATTAAAAATAAGAACACTTAAAAGTTAAAAAGGTTGGGTGAAATGATACATAACAATGTTAGCCCCATTGAAATCCGATTGACCCATTTGACTTTTGATATCTCTTTCAATTTGTACCTTTACGTATGATGCATGAAATCGAGATGTTTAATTGTATTGTAACCTTGATCAACCTGTGTAGATTACTTTAACTGTGTTTTTTTTTTTAAGTTCAAAACTGTGGTGAACATATATAGCCCCCAGTTCGCTCCTGAAGTTGTATATATAATATATTAATATATGATTGTTGTCTTTGAAAGTGGAAAAAAATCATTAAAATAAGCTTTAAAGTTGTGGTAGTCTCGGATTCGTCGGTTTAGGATCTAGTGTTATAAAAAACTTTGACTGTCCAATTTTTTCTATGAAAAACTACTCGAATTTATACATTCTCTTAATAACTTTTCTTTTATTTTACAAAGAAAATATTAAATAAAAACTCTGTGTATTTATTTAATAATTTAGAGGAATTATAAGTATAAAAGATAAGAAAATTTATAATTATTCAAAACTAATTTTTAGAATTTTCACTCCAATAAAGCCTTACCTAACTTAGCCGAATATAACATAACATACTGAAAATTTGAAGCGTGTATCAATGCGTATTCCACTGTCACCTGTAACTGAAAGCACATTAAATATCTTCTTTATCGTGCTTCTTTACTCAGTCTTCTCTCTTAGTCGTGTTTATGACTACAAAGGTTACATGTTTTCCTATTATGAAGCAGTATCTATTTCTTTTTCCTTGTCTCCTGCTACTTTAGCAGCAGGTCTATTCATGTTTAATGGAAAAGTGACTAGGGACTTTCTCAGAGTTAGATGCCTTCATTTACATTCAAGTGCTTCGGATCGTGTTTGTTATCCCTAGGAAACTCCATTAAGAGAAACTGGTCAATGGGAATGAAAGCATGACAGCACATTTGGTCACCTTCACAATGTGCCTTTCACTCACTTAAAAAGACTTGTATCTTTTCATAGTAATTAGTAACATAATATATGGTCATATGGTCATGAATACATTTATTATTGTTATTTTTGAATATTTTTTTTCTTAAATTTAATTAATGAATCCTTCAACTAATTATAATAGTCCTTGTTTGATAAAAAATATGTCTTTATATCTCTAACATAATAATATTATGTCACTTAACAATAATACAAAATTAATTTTAAGTATGTAAAAGTCATGGGTTAATTATAGTATCATTCCAAATTAACTAGCCTTATTAGTTAAAATTTATTAAAAAAATATAAATAAAAATTATTAAATTAAGAATAAGACTTACGTAACTTTATTATTTTCAATAAATTTCAACAAAAAATAAAGAATGTACTAAAAAAATGTTAAAGATTATAACTAATATTTTTAAGTATCCAATCAAGAGTAAATTTTGCTAATTTTATCAATTCTATCCTTTTTGATTTTATACCACCATTCCAAACTAGCCTTAGTTTGGGGGAGCAGTACATAAAAGCTATGTCATACGCTCAGGCATAGGTGGACTGACACTAATCATATTTTTATTCCTAATCCAAACATGTTTTACAAGTCCTGTAGGCACACATACATTGTACAAGCTCAAACAACCAATTAGCTGCCAAATGGGTGTAATTAACCTCCATCTGGTAGATCTTGTTGTTGAACTACCCTGGAAAGAATGGCACGGTTTTTTTTATCAGCTGGTTTCTCATTAGCGGCTTCAATCTTTTCCAATGTTTCAACAACTTCTTTCATTGATGGCCTCACTTTGGGGTCATCTTGGATGCATTTGAGAGTGAGTTGAGCTAATTGTAAAGCTAAATTGGATGGATACCTCCCTTCTAACTTTGCATCCATAGTGCTTCTCATTTTCACTCTGTTTAATAGATTCAATTTGAGCCAATCAATTAAGGGCTTTTCCTGACAGAAGTGTTTACGTATATCCATTATCCGCTTGCCAGTCAAAATTTCCATCAAAAGAATCCCAAATCCGTACACATCAGATTTAACATACAAGTGACCTGCTTCATTAGGAATTTGCACCATGGCACCATCATATTAAAAAGAGAAAAATATAATTTTATCAACTTTTATTAGTCAATTTTACTAAATCCTTATTTGATAAAAAAAAATATATCTTTCTTTAACATGATAATATTACCTTAAGCTTACTTAACAATATGAAAAAAAATCCAAATTCCTTGATTGGCATAAGATGATTAGTGTCTCGTCTTGTTATCACAACAGGTTTAATAAAAGATTGAGTTGAATGAGGGAACTTGTTCATCATACCTGTGGCAATGTACTCTGGAGCTGCATGGCCTTGTGTTCCAATAACCTGTGTACTTACATGACTATGATCAGCAGTAGGACCATATTTGGCTAAGCCAAAGTCTGATAACTTGACTGCATATGTCTGCGGCAAAACTAACAGTGAGAGTGATTTTTCTTGCATTCTTAATAATTCTTCAATCAAATGTCCGCATGCTGTAAGTTGGAAAATGTGACGGCGGTATACTGGATACTAAATAATATGATGAAACTCACCTTGTCAAGTAGTATATTTGAAGCCTTGAAATCTCTGCATATAATTTTCTTCTCTTGTGAGTGTAGGAAAGCTAGTGCCCTCGCCGCTCCAATCGTAACCTTTAGCCTTGTGTCCCACGAAAGTGGCCTAACATTTGCACCTCCTGCAGAAGCAAAATCATGTATTGTTAATTCAGGAAATTGACATTTATTTCTCCAAACTCATACCCATGCTGCTTGATTCAACAAAATAGGGCAATTTTAATCCTGCTACCCTTTGTCTCTTGTTAGTCTTACATATTGAGAAGAAAAATTGCTTTTGAAAGGACCTAATTTAAAACAATAAATTTCTTTAGTAAGTTGGATTCTATTTTTTGAAAAATTCTGAAGTAACTCCCTCGTTTAACTTCTTTAATATATAAAGACTTCTTTAAAAGATTGTTCAAATTTGATTTAAGCAACTTGCACAAAAAAATGATCTTACTTCCAAATAGGTGGTTATCCAAGCTACCTCGTTGCATAAATTCATACACCAGGAATAGTTCACCATCATCTCTCCCGAACCCAAACAACTTTATAAGGTTCGGATGAGAAAGCCTTCCTAAAAAATTCACCTCTGTCTGCACAAAATAAAGCATCGAAATAAACAAAAGCCTTGAGGCCAAGATTGGATATATTTCAAATAGTTAATCTAGTGAAAAGCATTTAAAATATGATAGAAACTAAATTGATGATTCTTAATCAGATATACTGGAAGACTAATATAATCAACTAAAGCATACGAGCTTCATTAATCACTGCTTTACTAGAAAATAAGAAATAAATGATTTTGATAAAGACTTTGTGATTATGGCTTGATAAGTTTGTTAATAATTTTTTTATTAAAATTTGTAAAATATGAAATGATTTAATGAGTTAATATTATTAAATGGTATAATTTTAAATAAAAACTTATTTATCAATATATTATTATACACTTGTAAGATACATGGGTTGTGATTCTATTATCTAATTTGGTATACCAATACCTGCCATTGCTCAACTCCTTGCAAACTGTGAGGATTCAATTTCTTGACAGCAACAGTGAATCGGTCACGTTTATTTCTCTCCTTAATCAAACCTTTGTATACTCTGCCAAAACCTCCCTCTCCTATGACAGTGTCAGCTCTGAAATTTTGAGTGGCTGCCTTAAGTTCTGCCAAAGTAAATACCCTCAAATTGGATGCATCCAATATCTGCCCCTCCCCATCTCTTCTTACTCCACTGCTTTGCCAATTCTTATTGCTATTGCTATTGCTATTCTCAGAGTCCCAAAGAGAAGTGCTACTATTAAATCTGGTTGTGTAATTTGTAATGTTGCTGCTTGTGGTTGTGTAGTTATTACTGCTACTTCCCCCAAACGACTGGCTCTGGTTCTCCAGTTCTTTATTGCTCCCTGGGACAGTAAACTGGTCATGTTCATTAACCAATCATCCTAAGCTGCTAAAATCTTTGTCATTTTTTCTTATTTATTAAGGATAAATTCAAAAATTAATTAATACTTCATTATTTTGTTGAAAAGGGGTACTGATACTCTTATTCATTATTAATGAATAAAATAGTGAAAACTATAATACTGATAGTTCAATAGAAAAGGTACAAATAAAAAATAAACAAGAATGCATGTCAAAGAAAAGAAATCTATGTTTCAAAAAGAAATAAATTAATGTTATAGGAACGAAAACCTTATTGAATTGTTGTTGTCATGCATGTTGGTTATTACCTGTGTTGGAGTTTGGGGGAGCGGCAGAAGGTGAAGGAAGACTCCAACAGTTCCCCATTCATGTTAAGCATTTGATTTTTGAGTATGCAATGCAATGACTAATAAAGGTACTTTGATTTTTAAAATGAAACGTGTTGACCACGTCAAGCCCAAGTTGTTTCCTTCCACCTTCCACGAAATATTTTGGAAGGCACTAAGCTAATAAGAGTGCCACATATGAGTATATAAAAGTAACCCTACTTTGATATATTTTATAGACTTAAAACACCAAGCTATATGGAGGGGATCATCCCTTTATTTAGATACTTCTTAAAAATAAAAATAAAGTAATCATCCCTTCTCCATTTATTTGTTTCCTTGAATATTTTGAAGTTTTTAGTCCAAAATTTAAGAACCATTTTCCCTTTCCTTTCTACCTGAGCATATCCAATGCAAGACCTTGGCGTTACTAATGATCAATTGAAACTTACAAGTTAACTAGAATAGCAAAATAAAATGCTGAAGAGAGAGATGGATTGGCAGTAGCTGAAAAAATGGTGCCGTGAGAGACTGATACTATTAGAACTTCCTAATTTAAGACAGAAAAAGAAAGGAAAATCGAAGAGGTCAGTTTAACGCTAATCCAACAAACAAAACTTAGAAGTTTTTGCCATTAAATTCTGGACATGATGTATTATTATTCTTACATTTCATCACTAATATGCTCAGTTGACATTTGTTTTAGGCTACGAAAATGATGTTACCTATATTATTTAAATTAAAATTACTAACAAGAGTTGATCCAAGTATATATATTTCATGTGATTCAAGTAATTTAAAATAAAACATGTATATTATTTAAAAAACTCATATGTCAAATTCAAAAGAACTATATTTAATACTTTTATTTTATTTTCTTGATGTAGATTAGAAAATAAATAAAATGGAGCAAATTTTATTATTATTTTTAAATAATAAAATAAAAAATTTATGTTATTGAATAATATAATTATTTAAATATATCTTACTTTATTTACAAAATTTCACTAATAATATTATGTCTTTAAATTGACATCTCCACCGCGTACAAATTAAAGATAACCACGTAACAGATGTAATCATTCAGAGAAATACCTTTTTATGCTATTATTTCGTTTTTTTTTTTAAATTAACATAAAAATATTAAATTAATTTTTTAATTACTTATTTAAATTCTATTTATGCTCTCAAATTAATTATTTTCAAATTGAGTTTGATATATTAATTTAAAAATAACCATACAATACACTAAGTGCTTGCTAGATAGCAAGTCCAGACTATAACATGAACACATGATCTCTATTAAACTTTCTATACATCTGAACCAATTAAGAAATTGAAACAATTTCTATACAGTATGTTTTCAACCCTAAAAATAAATACAAAGAACAACTAACTATTCATAGATTGATACAATACAAACTCCAGAACAATTAAGAGGAAGAAATGATGGGAAAGTAGAGATGAACATGGGGCACTTGCTTCCTTCTCAATGCTGGAGGATGGCCTAGATTTGGGTGCACATAAAGCAAGCGTCACAGGCTCACCTTCACCAAATCCAAATATGTTTCCAGGTCCAATTGGCATATATGTATGTGTTTGAAGAGTGTAAGCATGTGACTCTCTAGCTATGAGTGAAACTCGTTAAATTTGGAGTATGACATATAATTTTGTTATTTTTAATCAATGTCAGCCAATAATATACAGGGTGCTAGAAAGAATGTGTTCGAGTGATTAAACACTATTCAAGCTGAATCCCGCTAGGCCTAGCAGAGGCACCTTCAACAATAAGCACATATTTAAGTCCACTCCATCAGCTGCTGAGGAATATGGTGTTTATGTGTTGAATTGAATTAACCGCCATCTGGCCTGCCATGTAGTCGAACAACTCGGGAATGTGTAACCCGTTTTCTGTTATCAGCTGGTTTCTCATTGGCTGCTTCAACATGTTCCAATGTTTCGACCACTTCTTTCATTGATGGCCTCACCTTAGGGTCTACTTGGATGCATTTGAGAGCCAGTTGAGCTACTTTTAAAGCTAAATTGCATGGATACTTCCCTTCCAACTTTGCATCCATTGTGCTTATTATTTTCCCTCGACTTAGTAGATTTGTTTTGAGCCAATCCCGCAAGGACTTTTGCTGACACAGGCGAATTATGTCACCAATCCGCTTCCCAGTCAGCATCTCCACCAAAACAATCCCAAATCCATATACATCACTTTTCACGTATAAATGACCTACGTGGTTCAATAAAAATGTGTAGTTTAGATTAAATTAGATACATATTTTGGTTATGTTTAGCGGTTTAAAATCAATTATCCTCTACTTTAAACTAAATGGGTAATCGTGTATCTTGTCATGTTTCACAACAGCTTTATGAGTAAATTTGTTGACATTACCTGTGGCAATGTACTCGGGAGCAGCATAGCCATATGTTCCCACAACTTTTGTTGATACGTGACTATGATCTTCAGCAGGAACAGATTTGGCCAAGCCAAAGTCAGATAATTTGGCTGTACATGTCTGTGACAAGGAAAAATTAGACAGATTTTTTTCTTGCATTTCCATGAATTCTTTGAGTAATGCTATATTCCCGTACAAATCTTCCTATTAGTCCTCCTAATACTTTATAAAAAGAATTAAATGGAAAAGAAAATGCACTCAATATCTTAAAAATAAATCACTAATTTTTTTCTTTAGTAAGAGGATAAAATTATTCATTCGTCAAGTATACTGGAAGTTGAGAAATGAATTTGGTCATTCATTTCTCAATACCTCAATATGTGCAAAATGTGATAATGGGATTAACAATAAGATGAAATACCTTGTCAAGTAGTATATTTGAGGGCTTAAAATCTCTGTATATAATTTTCTTGTCTAAGGAGTGAAGGAAATCTAGTCCCCTAGCTGCTCCGATCATAACTTTTAGCCTTGTGTCCCAGGAAAGTGGACTAACACTTGCACCTCCTGCAGAAGCAAAACTACGTAGCACAGATTAAGGAAAATAAAAAAGTCGCCAAATTGGTACACATGCTGAGAATTATTTGAAGGTGTTCTAGGATTCAACAATGTGATAAGCTCTTACTTCCAAATAGGTGGTTATCCAAGCTGCCACGATGCATGAATTCATACACCAGGAACAGCTCACTGCCCTCTCGCCCGAATCCTAACAACTTGACAAGGTTGGGATGCGAGAGCCTTCCTAAGAAATTCACCTCTGACTGCATCACAAAATAGCTTTAATATAGATATTAAACAGAATAAGGAAAAAAAAAAGTTATTAAAAATTATAACATTTAATGTTGTCGATGCATTGTATTCTGTGAGATCTTATAATTTCCAATAAAACCTTACTATATTTAGGTTCTTATTACATGTCCTTGAGCACACGTTAGAAAATTTGACGATGTTATCTTAGTTTTAAAAGTGTTATTAATGCCATACCTGCCATTCTGCAACTCCTTGCCTGCTTTCAGAATTCAATTTCTTGATGGCAATAGTCAATCTCTCACCTCTATTTGATGCTGTTCTATCCTTAATCAAACCCTTGTATACTCTACCAAAACCTCCCTCTCCTAACACAGTGTCAGCTCCAAAATTTTTTGTGGCTGCCCTCAGTTCTTCCAAAGTAAACACTCTCAAGTTTGCAGCATCCAAGATCTGCCCATAAGGAAACTCCTCCTCGTCTCTCACTCTAGAGGCATAGCTATTCTCAGAGCCCCAAAGGGATGTACTAGTATTGTTTCCTGTTGTTGAGTAGTTATTACTACTATTTGGCCCCAAAAGCCTGCTGATTCTTCCAGAGTGACTGCTATGCCCAAGAGAAGTAGAATTGTCATTCGGCAATAATCTTGTGTTGCTGAGACCAGCAGAAAACTGATTGCTCCCTGAGACATTGCAAGTTTGTAACAGCAAGACAAGCTTTGTCATATAAAGGTCAATTGATGCTAAGGTGCAGGAGTTTTAAATCTTAATTGACTGAATCAAACATGAAGAGGTTGGCTGCAAGTTCAGCTTGATTTACTAATGCTTGTTTGCAATTGCAAACAATTCTGTTGACTTCTCTGCTTGACTCGTTGAATTATGCTAAAATATGATGAAATGAAACTTCCCAAACATGAAGAATCCAATCACAAAAAATGAGTACCTTTCTCAATACTACAAGGAAGATAAAAAAGTAAGGAGAAAAAGAAAAGCATAAATTGATTATGCACTTATGCATAGCAACCAAAGCAACAACCCACCCATGACAAATAGGAAACCAACCACCAAAATCAAAACATGTTCTCTCTTATTCGTAGAAATTTTTTGATTTCATATGCATGTTAGTTGTTAAACGCTTAAACTTTTGAGCACAAAGAGTTTATGTAATTCTATGCATAAAAAAGAAAGTGTTATCGAAATGTTGGTTTACCTGATTGATTGTAGGGATCTGGGGCAGTATTGAACTTGGGACTTGGAGAACCTGATTGAAGACTCAAACAGTTCCCCATTAATTTGTTTCCGCTTTTTCCTTAGCAGAAAGGCAGAAGAGAATAAGAGAGAAAATGATGAGTGCTAATCTGGCTTGTTTTTTATAGTGACGGTGAAAAGAGTATCTTGAAAACAAATTACTTGTCACGTGTCCATTGAACAAGAGTACAATGTAATGGTTGTACGCTAGTACTTGTATATGTGCCGGTGACGTGACTGGTGAAAAAGGAAGCTTCAAAGAACAATCCAAGTAAATACAATGCGAATGGTGTTGAGCTGAGGGCTGGGAAAGGGAAACATTCACTTTCGGGGGGCCATTGGCCAATGATATCGGTAGCTTGTTGATTACAACTGTCAACATGGCTGCAAATATTAAATACGAGAATTTAACTATGATCACAAAAGCTTTATAGCAGTATTATCACCAATTAATAATAGTCACTAAAAAAGTTGACGAAAATGAAGAAACACTGTAGAAAATAATTGTTCTGGCACGCTGAGTTGCTGTGGACCAAATAAACGATTTTGTCATACCTTACGGCAATTTGGCACAATTTGTCAAAATTATTTGCCGTGATGATTTTTGGTTTTATTCTTTTTTATTAATGCATCGCTCTTCTAGATAACTCAATTCATACCATCTGCCATAACCAATGAATATCAATCCTAGCAACAAAAGTCAAAAAAGCATAAACGAACGAAGTAGACAATCAACAACACGTGATGGCACACAGTGACACTTCAGATGTTACCTGATATAAAACACTGTGTTCATAAAACTTAGGTTCAATTTTTATCGCAAATACCTTTTTCTGGTAAATACTATGTAATTGTTATTATAAGTTTCCATTTAAATATCAGACATATTGGAAAAAGTTAGCTTCCCCTTTCTTAAAACATTTTTTTTTTAAAAAAACATGTAATTGGACCGACATTTATCATAATTTTATTTTTCTAAGTCAATTTATGTCCAATTTTTAAAACATTCTGATTTTAATATGAAGTGAATCACATTTCTATAACAAATTTTGTAGTTAATCTCACGTCAAGTTCTACGTCATGAAATTATTAATTATCCATCACAGAATTTGAGATAAAGCAGTTAATTATTTTAAAATTATATATTATATCTTTAAAGTTGTAGATGAATACTTGATGCAATTGACAGCACAACCATAATTCTACACCTCAAATCCACCTGAAGGCAATGTATACATAATCTGTTGACATATACCAAGTTTTTTTTCCAATCGACGACTGAAGATTTTATCCTTGGAAGTAGAAAAATTAACAAATGTATAATTTCTTTTAGCCCCAGAATAATGTGAGCTACACTCTCTGTGACACGGATTACAAGAATAACCATGACAAATACACATGTAATCACAAACATCACAAGCCACGTTAAGCAAGATGTCTTGGAACTCCCAGAGTATTGGTTGCCCAGCTATGCTCAATAGCCTTCTCGGTAGAATCAAGTACCTGCAAATCAGTCACAATCAATTCATCAGGTTAACACCTCATCATTCAAACTTCCAAACGTGAGACGATTATCAAGAAGAAAAAAAAAAAAGAGAGATACATTTAGCATCACCATCTCACACAAGTGTTTAGCAGTTAAACATGCAGGATTGAACGAAAATATGAGTCGCAGCTTTTCAGTATTTTGCAAAGACTGGCTCATCATGAGAAACAGTAAAACAGCCTACAAAATACACAGCATTATCAAATCTTACACAGGTCTCCTTCTCAATCCAGAAGAAAGGAGTATCTGCATATCAGGCTGAGTTTAAAATTTCAAGAAATTAGTTAGTGATTTGGATGTTCATTTGAAAGAAATCGGGAATTCGGATATCTCGGGTACAAGGAAAACTCAAAACTGGGTTGTTTAACGTGGGTTGGAATTGGGCCAGGATGGGCCAAGCCCAGTGGCTAAAATGAAGAGGCCCTTTAGGAAGTGGAACTTTACCATAATGCAACATTGACAAGTGTGGTTTGGAGAGGTGGAAGTGGAACTTCTTGAAAACAAAGCAAAGAAAGCAGAATTCAATAAACACACGCTACTCTCGTTTCGTTTCTTTCATCATTCCTCGAAAACCTTAGCTAAATCTGGAACCTGAAGAAGAAAAAGAAGAGAGAAAATGTATGTGGATCATGCATTCTCGATTTCGGATGAGGACATAATGATGGAGACATCGTACACGGTGAGCAACAAGCCCCCTATCAAGGAGATCGCTCTCGCCGTTTCTCTTCTCGTCTTCGGAACCCTAGGCATCATCATCGGTTCCCTCATGGCCTACAATCATGTTGGCGGCGACGCTGCTCACGGTAAAATTAAATTAAGAGTTTTTGTTTTTAATAAATGAGCTTTAATTTATTTTCAGCATTACTGGGAAATTTTATTTCGAACCCCTGAAGGCTAAATTGGTGTGTTTTTAGTAATTGTGCATTGCCTTGTTTGGTGGCTGGTGGATTTATGAGTGTGTTAGTGTAATAAGTAGCCCAAATTTGTGAGAGTTTGTAAGCAAGATGGACTTGAGACGATTTTGAGGTGTTATTGTATTTTTAAGGAATATAATCACGCAATTAGTGGGAAAATGCACAATATAAGTACAATAGAAGAAAAAGGGAAAGAGAATCATGTACCAATTTACCAAAATACATCATGGCTAGCTGTTAGCTCCGTCTCTTGTGATTTCCCTGACGAAAGAACCAAATCATTCATCATGCTCATGGTTTTCCTTGCCCAACAATTTTGAATCTCTGCATTTGTTTCAAACTCAGCATTGGCTCTACTTAACTTGTCTGAGTTACTTTCAACTGCACTTCCGTATCCTGCCACCAGATGACTTGCATTTTCTTTCATTACCGCTTGTTATTAGTTGTTCAACTTGGCAAGTTTAAAACTTGGCTGGATGTTTTAAAATTATCTGACATTCTGAAATTTAGCTACCTAACCAGAGTATATAAGATAACTATTTAACTGTTTCAGGCTTGGTTGTTGTTTTTAATCTTTTTGATTGAATGATGGATAGGTCTCTTCTTTGCAATACTGGGAACAATCTTGTTCATACCGGGTTTCTACTATACGCGGATTGCATATTATGCTTACAAGGGATACAAAGGGTTCTCTTTTTCTAACATACCTCCCGTATAGCTAGCTGTCTCAACTAGTATCCTTATCCTCATGTATAGATCTTTCTGTTTGTACCGTGTTTTGGCCCTTCCTTTTCTTTTTATTTTTTGCTTGTCAAGTGACGACTAATGTATATTTATATTGCATGCATTGCTCTAAATCTAATATGTTTACTACTGTTAATATTTTGTTTTGTTTTACAGAATCAATCATCCAGCTCTGATATCTATTTTTACTGTTTCCATTAGTGGATTGTGATAGTTAAATTTGCTTTACAAGATAAGATCACCTCTCTTATTGGTGTCCACCTCCTCTTCCTTTCCCCATAGCAAAGGCTGTTATCAATAATAGAAACATGATTTGGGAACCTTTTCCCTTTCTTTTCACTTATTTGATATTTTTACTTGGTTAAAATTAAAAAAAAAAAAACTCCCATCGTCTATGGGGGTCATGTGCAAAAATAAAATCCTGTGCATATGCTGAGGGTCGGCCTTTAATGATTAAATATGCACATTTTGTGAGTCAAGGAATTGTAAGTTGCTTCTGTCTTGTAAGTCGAGGAATAAATATGCACTTCTGTGCACCTTGCGGACCAAGGGTATAAGTTTTTTTATGTTCAAGTTGCTTCAGACTTGTAAGTTGTAGGGGCATGAAGTTAGATATTGGGTCTAATAGGTATGATTGAGGCATTTTCTCCCCGTTTGATAAAAGGGTATGATTGGGACCTGTATATACCATTGCCTCCAGAACATGCGTGCTTGTCATTTGGTGAGCCACGGTTCATACAATATCTGATTTGAATCCAATTGAAATAAAGTCTGTGTGCATTCAGCTACTTGTTGGGAAAAATTTATTACTATGTGGAATGTACGAAAACAGACAGCAACAGCCAATATTTGGAATCTTCATTTTCTTTCAGACAACTGGTTAGGTTAGAATTAAATTTAAATACACGATATTATAAATACTTTTTACACTATCATAAATTGTCATATCACCAATAGTCATTAATTTTTATAATAATTAATATGAAAATTATGTCTATAATGTATTTAAATTTGTTGACAGTGTACAAAATTTTATACTAACAATACATGATTGTACCAAAATCAAACACTTGAAAAGTTTCTGTACCTTTCGCTGTGCAGAAAAGAAAATGGCATTGTCCTCCTTATTCTTTTTGCTTGCATTTAGATTGAGATGTAGAGACGAGGAAACAATCACATTAACTTTCCGTACTAAAAATGACCTGCATCTTGGATTATTCCTCTGAATATGATTCACAACATAGTACTAAATTTTCTCGATAGTCCTGTATACTACGTACGGGATTTTCTTTCTGAAGCATCTTTTATCAAATTAATTTAGAGTTTCGTGATGATAATATAAAAAATGGCGAATTGCAAACATATCTAAATGGGTTCTCGTACGGGGTCGTATTGCGTTTTTATAACCATGATTGTCATCATGGATGTTTTTATTACTTGTCTGAGACTTTTAAAAGCAATTATGATATCATACATGATACACAGATAGTGAACCGTACCAACCATGCGGGCAAGAGGAAGAAAATAAACAATCGAACGGATAGTCAAGACTTGTATTGCCCAGCAGTAAAGTACATACGTAGTTGCGTTTTGGCTCTACTAGCATCCATATTTGTTTATCAAGGCTTGGATGTACGACCCAGGAAACGACAAGTATCAACGATTTTCAAATCGAATCGGTCATTAAATTAGTAAAAATATAAACATATTAGTTCATAGTTTATTCGTGATTTAGTCGATGGCAATCATATAGAATTGAACAATTAAATAACAAATTAATATACTAATAAAATAATATATAGTATAGTTACACAATTGAATATTATAAAGTATGTTTCCAACATTTCTCTTTTAAGTCATTATCAAGTATTCATGATGTCTGTGGCCTAGTTTATCTCGACAAACTGATCTTGATGGCAGCATATGATACTTAGCTTAGTCGATGATACAAGTAACTGAGAAAAACTTGGTAGACAACGTTAAAATAGGAGTTTAGGGAAAGCTAATGAATGTGGTATTGATGCCAAAAGTCGCACTTCAGTTTGATACTTTTGATAAAGTAAAAGATGTGAACGAACCTTTGATAGCTTGGAAAACTAATGGCGATGAATACCACCATGAGTTGAAAGAAGCTATGATAGGTTGATGATGGCTTGAAAGCAAGGGAAGGAATATGTTCGATGCGGTACTATGCTAATAGAAGACAAGACAAATACATGTGGTCAAGGTGAATGATGTCAAAGAATCCGTTATAGTATGTGGTTTTTGAAGTGCATGACGTTCGGCTATAGTTTAATTGTTGTAAATTTTTTAAGTGTGAATATTGTGAGCAATCAATTTAGAACCGGAAAGTTTTGGATTCAATCCAAGGTTGATATGTTTGCGGGAGAAAAAGGCAGCAGAAGAGGATCCAAAGAGCTAATGAAAACATTATGTACTCTCACACGTTATCCCTTTAGTGCATGTTTATACTACTTTTATTTTAAACCAGTTTGGATGAGCACGTAGAATCCGCCTTGTGCTTTATCAGGCAGCATGTGCAAAGTGGCCTCCTTCCTCCTCGATATGTGATTATATCCTTCCACAAACCAAATCTAATTTTTTTATTTATTGGTCGTTGTTAAAGTAATCTGTGACAGGGCATTCTTTTGTTCCTTTAATTTTAATTATTTACTTCTTGTTTAGCTTGTACTTTAAGCTTTCTTTTAGTTTATGTTATTTTATTGCCTTGAATTTTAATTATTCGCATTTAATTTTTATATATTTTTATTATTCAAATTAATTTTTCTCAAAAATTAATCCAATAATTAATAAAAAATGACAAGATTGTAATGTATTATGATTATTATTATTATTATTTTTATATGTTTTATTTATTTTTATTAAAGTATTTTCATTTGAGAAACTGAATTTGAATAATTAAAAACTAAAAGATATAAATAAAAGCAATTAAAATTAAAAGTAAAAAAACGCACTAGTTAAAGAATTAAAAGTGTGTGTATATATATATATATAAAAGATGCTCCCTTGCATACTTTTTAATTAAAAAAAATAGTTTATTAATTCTTTAAGGCCCACTAACGCACGAAGACTAAAATGGAGGTGTATATATAGTTTTGAAGGATTTGAAGTTGAAGCAAAAATCTAGACTACAGTGTAATTGTGCCTAGTTACAAGTAATGCCCCACCGGTTATAACAATTTGGTGGGGCAGAACCTGTAACTATGCACAATGATATTGTATAATGCAGCCACACGTGTAGAATGGTGTGCTTATTGTTGGGCCTTGGAGGCCCGTTCCGTTCATTCATGTAGAATTGGTGGTTGTGTAGCGGAGCAACCGCATCACAGTCACAGACACGAATGGAGAAGAAGAATCACTGTAAGAGGAAAAGGAAACCCAAACCCAAACCCTCGTCACGTGACCTTCATCCTCCTCCTCGTGACTCTCATCCCAATGCCATCTTCGCTTTGTTACTCGCATCGCTCTCTAAACTTCAACAATCTCACTCTCTTCCTTTCATTAACAAATGCTTATTAGCGATTCGTCGATCTTCTCTTCTTCGCTCCCGAATCTCGGTGAGGCCAATTCTCGCTTTGCTCCCTACGCTACTATGCTCCACGCGCTCCCAAATCGCGTGCCGCGGTGCAGATTTCATCGGCGCTGCCTCCCTCGTTTCGCTGGAGGTGAACGAGGAAATTGCTTCGGATTCTGAAACCGTCAAGGGATTAATTTCTCTGTTTCGGAATCCGAAGAGGAAGGTTCTGTTATCTGCTTGCAATGCTGTTCTGGACTTGGCCACTACCACCTTTGCACAACAACAATTGATCAAGTTTTCTGCCTTGAACAAACTAACGTAAGCGTTTACATTGTTTCGTTTTAGGTTTTCAAATTTATAAAATAAATTTAAGTCGTAGAGTTATGACGGTGAATTTGAGTATATGAATAGTATGACTGAACAGTTGACATTTGTTAGGTTTGTATTTCTTCAGATTTTTAAGGGTTTGAAATGTGTGTGTTTATGGTCTGAGGGCAATGAGAGTCATCACTCTCTTAAGATTGGGATCAAGGAAGATGAACTCTCGGTGGCTTTTCTCACTGCGACGATTATTCTTATCAATGCCTGTGAGATTGAGCAGCTGCAAAATATCCCAACAAGGCGTTCTCATGTGTTCCTGAGCCTTTTGAAAGAGATACGGGTGAAAGTAAGTGATCCCGAGGTAGTTGAAAGTGCTAGGAAATGTAATGAAGAAGGAGGCCTTTGTAAAAGCAACATTGCAGTTAGTAATCTTTCAGAAAGCATATTTAGGCTTTCTATTAATTCTTCTCAACGTACTGGCTCTTTGGCACTTGAAGTCATTGAAAGAGGTCTTTTTGGTAGAAGTGATACTAGTTTTGAAGATTTTATAATGAATTACTGGGAAGCTTCACCTTTTCTTCTATCAAGGACAATGAAGGATCTAAATACGTATGATATGTTTAGCCCATTTGTGCAGTCTTTGAGCTGGAAAGGGAGTGTTCCTTCCCTTCTTTCTTCAATTCTTCAAGGTTTAATGTCTTGTTTTCCTATTGCCTCAGATGAACAGAACATCCTCAATTTTCTGAATGAGGTGAAAGGCAGACTGGGTTATCCTATAATCTACCAGCAGGATATAAGAGTTGTAAAAACAGATAGCCAGTCAAGAAAAGAGATGCATTACTTTCAGGATTTTCATTCCGGCTGCATTAAGGAACCTCTGTATTTAACTTTTGATGACGTCTTAAAATGTGGGCAAGCATATGAAGAGGGTTATACTGTTGCCCTGCGCGGTCTAGAGTTTCGCTATCAGAGTATTGCAGCTATTGCAGATACATTATCACTTATGTTTGGCCAACCTTCAGTTGGTGCTAATTTGTACTTAACACCACCTAATTCTCAGGGCTTGGCTTGTCACTTTGATGATCACTGTGTATTTGTATGCCAGATTTTCGGTTCCAAGAAGTGGTCTATATATTCTCGACCCAGTCAGTTGTTACCTCGCTTGTATGATAATTTACTTGGTTCTGACTTTGACTGCACAAAAGCTGATAGAAGAGAGTTCTTTCTCCAGGAGGGTGATGTATTATATATTCCAAGAGGTTTTCCTCATGAAGCTAATACAAACTCTGGTGTTGGTGATGGTTCTCCTGGGTTCTCATTGCACCTTACACTTAGTATTGAGGTTGAACCTCCTTTCGAGTAAGTAAAGGTTAACTTCAACTATTTTTTATTGGTTCAAATACAGTAAGCTTTGGTTATTAAGGTTCCCTTTGTTCTTTTACAGATACAACTTTATTACTTTTTAACGGCCCTTTATTTTGTTTTCTCCTTTTTCTGTTCTTTGCTCAATAATTTAATATTGTGATTGTAAATTCTACTTTTCTCTGGCCACCTATTATGATGTTTTTGCTATGTTGGAGCTTAGTTCAATGTAGCATGATGCTACAAAATCCTATTTACTGCCAATTTATAGTCTAATAAGCTTTATGCTAGAAAGAAAATGGCTCACATGCAATCTTTTATGTCCATGGATGAAGCTAGTTTTTACACCGTCAAATATAATGTGTCTATTCAATGCATTTATGCATGCAGTTGATTGATATTTTTAATGCTCTGAATGATCAATTATATGATACATGTGATTTCACAAATACTTGATGATATCATTGTTGATTTCTTTTTTTCTTTTTCTCAACGGAAAATTAAAAGTTAATGTTATGAAAAGAAAAGATATGATCTACCTTACCTTACACAGTTGACTTTGCTACTGGTCTACTATTGTTGTCAAACATGCTTGTTTTCAAAATTCTGAATCAATAAACCATTATACTAATGGTTAAGTCTTGATGTTCTAATTCCCATCCAGTCAAATCAGGTCCACTGTTGACTAATTGGCACTAGTATGTCCGTCAGTCCATGAGCAGTGGCCATAAGCATGGGCCTATATTTGTGGGAAGGTGGCAGATGCACCTCCACAAATGAGCTTTTCGTTTTCTAGTCTTATTAAATCTGCAGTAAAAAGATTATAAATATTAAATATTTATACAGTTTCTATTCCTAAATAAGTATGGCTGTTCTGCTTCTGACCATAAGTTTTTCTTGGTTGGTTATCAAATAGCCACGGGAGCATGAGACAGCCCATTGATTGAACCACTAATACTGTTGGAGTTTGGTTTGCTGTAACATCATAAAAATATTGCTTGCGGCAGCATCATCTAACACCTTATTCCTTAGCAATTAATTCTCAGATTTTTCTTTGACGCCAAGAATTATTAATACATTTTTTTTATCCTCTTTCCTAGTTATTTTAGTTCCTTCAAGTTGAATGTATAATGCTTTATACTGACTGATTAAAAATTATTTGATAGATGATGTTTCTGAAGCAGAAAACTGAAACAATGCATGTGGAATGACCCACACTAAAATCAATTATTAAAATTAGACAAGTGTGTCTGCAGGACACAGGGGCAAGCTTTTTGACACATGTCTTTGGAAAGCTGGTTCATGGACCAGTTTTTATAGTATTTTATGTAATCATGATGCCTGTGTCAATTATTACCCTATTGATAAGGACGAGTTTAAAATTATGAAGTATCAACCTTTCATCTTTTTGTTGGTTTGTCCCCAGCCCACATGGAGAGGGAAGCTGGGATTTACTATGTTTGGTTTCATGAGAGATAGGTTATAACTAGATTTCTTTAATTTGGGAAGATCATTTAATCATTAGGTCTTCCTCTTAATTCATGAATTTTCCTTTTTTCATTTTATTTCAATTTTCCCTTTCCTTTGATTGTATGTGATTGATGCTAGATTTTAACATATATCTGGGCCCATATTGATATTTTTTTGCAAATGAGTGGGTTGATTGAGGAGACTGTTAGCACTATTGCACTGTCGCTGACAATCCTCTGCCATTCTTTGAGATCTGCAGAGAGATTCTAACCCTTAAAACATTTCATTATATGATTAAAAAAATCAGTTTGATAAACGAGTCATCCAATGAGGGAGCAGAACTTCTATGCAGTTATAGTAGAAATGTAGAGGATCTTCATCCATAGCACGGTACACTCTGTTAATGGTGCAACTGCATCACTACAAATGAAAGACTGTACTTCTACTTAAAGTTCAATATATTGTAGCCATGTTAAACTATTTGTTATCGCTGATGGTTTAAATATCTGATTTTCACTCGTGTGTATGTCATTAAACACAGGTGGGGAGGAGTAGCTCATTTTGCTCTTCACTGCTGGAGTGAAAACAGGAAAAGAACCTGTTATGATGGTTTGAATTCTCTGTCTCAAAAACTTCATATCGTGTCTGTGAATCTGTTACATGTTGCCATTGGGATCATTAGTAATTTTGATCCTAACTTCCGCAAAGCATGCTTGAGCGCTGCTGATTATTTGCCGCCAGGAGTTTATAATAGTCTTTTTCAGGGTCAGAGAAGTACTTTTTTCCACTTAATTGATAAAATTCGGACTGAATCTAGATTCTTGGAAGTGCTTAGAAGCATAGAGGTTGCAATTCAGAAAAATGAAGATCCATTTCAGCAAATTCGATGGCTCAGGGTTCTTCATAGCGAAAAAGAGACCAGCAGTGAATATAACACCATTAAATCTTTCACGATTGAAGATCTACTTTCCTTGCATGCCCAACACAAGGATAAATTAGAAGCTTCTTTTTTGGATGTGAAGTCCAGGTTTTGTAGTGAGGTGGTATTTGAAGAAGTTGTAACTAGTCACAGGACGCTGTTTCAGAAGTATAGAAAGACTAGAAAGCAATATATTAATGGAATGGTTTCACTTCATGATAAATTGTAATACTATTGTTTTATTTTTCTTTAATTTTCATTGCGTTAGCGACGAATGGATGAGATCATATTCACCTAGTGGAATGGCTGACATCAATATTCAGTAGTGTCTTAGTCGCCATCACCAGGTTTAGTTTGTTTCTGTAAGTTATGGCTTACAAATTAGGTGCGATGTATTGAGCAAACTACATGAGCAATGAAAATGTATAATGTAATCAGCTTAATATATAAACAAAACTCTTTCTCTCCCACACGATGCATTACATTTATATATTGATTAGAACAAGAATACATATCTGCATAAATCTCACTAAAGCTGAAGCCTTATGGTCTGGGATGTTTAGGAGTTGGATGAGTTGTTACTCCATGGTAATCTATATGATAGACAAGATCATGAGGATTATAACTGTTGCTGGTATATTCCAGTGTCGTGGCATCTTCCTTGGCAGGGGTACTCTCCATTGCCTTATCTGCTCTCTGCAATTTATACTGCCATGTTCCAGGAATCAGTGGAAACAATGAGAAAACAGATGCATGGTAAGATTTATGAGTAGGGGAAAGGGAAAAAGGCTTGTAGATGAAATTTTGGTTTATGCCCTTTACAAATATATTGCATCATATTTCTGATCTCATCTTCTGAACATTTACTGTCGAAGATAATTAGTTGGGGATTAACATACCTGGGCTTCGTGATGCTCGTGATCGATTGCAGGGTCTGACATGCTCAACTTCCGTGTTGGCATAACAGTTAGAGAGTAGCTTGTGTGTTGAGAGAGGGAATATAAAGAGAATGTGAGAAAGCAGTATAGAAGGAAGACTGAAGAACTCATCATGCAATCAATCTGAAAAATAAAAGGTTTGCTGCCCATAAGGCAAGTTGTTGATTACTTAAAACATTATATAGAAGAGCCTGGAGGTGCATGTCAGAAGGAAGTGATGGGAGGAGAGAGAAGGAGAGTGTATGCAATTATTGATCAAGGAGCTGGGGAAGCATGTTTCAACCTACGTGCCCACGGTTCTAGCGCTTATGTTGGGCTAGCCTCACACTCTCTCTCTCTCTCTGTTTCTTCGTACTCCTCTCTCATGATATGAAAATAGTGAAAGAGGGTCTCTTCCCTTCCTTGTAGTACAAAGCAGATGAAGAAAGAAAAGATGTGTAGTTCACGTGTATGTCTCATGCCAAATGAAACTATACTGCTATATCATCAACTCATGTTTTGTCCTCAACAATAAAGACTGGTTGTGATATGTCACCCTTTGGCTGCCATATTTCAGTGATATCTTACCCTTTCTCAACATCTTGCAGATTTTGTTGGCATCTTAAGACACTTGTTGGTTGCTGTAATAATTTAGTCAAGGCGTACCCTATAAACTCGGAATCTCCTATCATTTCAACTGTTCCATAACTCATTGTACCTTCACTTCATTTCATTTTCAGTTGGATTGAGTGTCCGGCAACCAACATATCCGTTTTACTCTTGCAGACTAATTCTATTTGGTATAGAAACAAAGACTTTGTTTTCACAATTTGTTTAGTTTCACTAAAAGTAATGCATGTCAAGAACCAAAGAATGATTTATATCTTTATGGTGTTCGCACATTACCAATTCAAATAAAACACAATCTTGAATAAAGTGTTATGTATCCGAATTGAGGAGCTAGATTATATTGGATCGTGTTTTGTCATGAAAGTTTGTGCCCCTTTTCAACAAGTGCATGGACACGTAATAAGGAAACAGAAACTACCTGTTTTGATCTCCTCTTCTTTTAACTAATGACGTTCTTTTTTCTAATGTAACCCATGATCTAAGCAACGTAAACCTTTCCACACCAACGTTATGATTGAAAGTTGAAACATCCAAACATCATTTGTACAGTTTGGGTCTACACCACATGAACCAAACAAAGAGTCGGTTACCTAACATGGACCGAGTGTGGCGAAGTACCAATACACGAGCCCTCATGGCCCAACTGTGCTAATCAACTAGTAAAATATCACGCACTTTGATAACATCGTTACTTTTGGCCTTTGGGTGTTAATTAATAGCAATAACAATAATCGTTGAGTATTATATACTAACAGTCTCGGCCATTCAACTTTTCATTCCCACAAACCATCTTCAAAACCAAAACAAACCCTTGCTTTTTGCTTTAAAAAAAAAATAATCCACACTATATACTACGTTTTCACAAATTTCATGTTGTCACATATTTGTCGGATTGCTCAGATATTTGAAATTTGAATCCAATGGTTAATGACACTCGGAAAAAAAGGAAAATTTCACTATACTTGACACTAACTCGTCATATACAAAAATGTTGGTGAGTTATTTCCTCATATTTCGCAGTCACCTAGCTCTACTTTCTATGTCAACCAGACAGTCACCATTTCTCTGTTCCTCATCTCAATCGTTTCAAAGCTGGATAATTCTAAATCTTGTTACAATATATTATTATCTACCTTCCCATTTATTAAATCAAAATTAATAATATTTATTATTTAAATTATTTGTGTGATTACACAGACTCATAATAATTAAAAATGTAACAAAAAAAAAGAGACTCATAATAAAAAGTAAAAATAGAAAGAAAATTGTTAAAAGACAAAGATATATATATATATATATATCAAATAAATGAAAATAATTCAATTTGCTTTATTAAGTAATAGAAAAAGCATTAAATAGTATATTTAATGCTTTCACGTTATGTGTCCATGAACATATAATAGATACACTTACTATATTTTAAAGATATTTAACTAAGTTTTTTTCGTTGCTCAAAAAATTGTGTTTTTTCTTTAATTTAGTTCATCATTTTAATATTTTTAATTAAATCTTTCTAAAATTATTTTTTATTTGATTATTTTAAATATTACAATTTTTTTTCATTTGGTTATCTGTCTTATGGATCAAATGAGTAACTTTTAGTTTTTGGAGGAACCAAAATAAGAACTCATGACATTTAGAGAGAGTGAATGAGAAACAAAAATTACAAAAGAACCCTCATGTAAAAAGAAATATTTGAAAAAAATAAAAATAAAAAATGTATGAATTTTACGAGACTAAACTTAACGAATTTTTTTATTCAATATTTTATTTTGTAAATACTAAAAAGATTAATACAAAAATATTGCAGAAAAAATATATAACATTACTAATAAAAAATTACTGAACGATATATGACATAGTGGCTGAAGCGGTGTTCAGTACATAAGTAAAGCCCAACTTAAGAAAATTGAAGTGCTTGGGATGGAAATTTAAATGGCAATGTGAAATGCATTTTAAGACAGGCTATGAACAGTGATGACAGAGATACAGTGACGTTCTCATGAAAGTGGGTACCATATATATATCCTCCAAAAGGGTACCACTGCTAGCTTCGTTCCCACCTTTTAATTTGCCGCCTACAAGAAATATCACACACAGTTAGGCAGCACTTCCGCTAGCTACAATGAACAATGTTGTGCAAAAGTTGCTACTAAGCTATATATGTTTCAACTTTTATTTTTAGATATATAAACAGTGTTAACATTCACTTAATACTTCTTATCTTTCTTTATCTCTTTTTTATTATCCTTCTATTTTCTTTCTTGCTTTGGAAGTAAACACACCAAGAGATGTCTATATCAACTATTTTGCTATATGTTTACACTATAACTATTGGTTGTAATAACTCACTTTTAAACATGTGCATTGTTATTTGTCAAGTAGTCATTGCCAATATATGATTAGAAAATTATCCATCTTTCGTGTATAATGAGACTCCATGATTTTTTTTTCAACTTGGATACCGTTAGAAAATACTAAAACAATTTGAATAGGACCACCCCCAACCTAAATTTTCACTCAGCTACAAATATGAATAAAAAAAAAATTATATCACGGTAACATATTCATTTCAATCCCTTGTGTATAGACTCAATTTTTTTAATAGCCTGTGTATACATCACAATTCCTTTGCAAGTTACAAGATGAGAAGGTGAGAAGGTGAGAAGGAATATATATATAATCTTTAAAATGTCCATTGAAAAACTTGAATGACATTGATTAATTGCGTGTCTGAATTATCTATATGGCTTGCTCGTTATTGTTTTTCAATATAGTTGCTATAGTGAAATCAATAGCATCTCTCTTATCTGCTTTTGATGTACACATGGGAATGTATGCATGTTTGAGATAGTACATAGTGCATGAATGTCGTTGCAAGTTACAAGAAGCAGCTTGTGTATATTATGAGTGATAATGTGAATAAAGAGTAATAAAGCCACTTCAACACAGTGATTAATCTCTTGAATTATTCTAATATTCAAGTGGGTACAGAGAGAACAAACAAATAAATACATGGCTTTCCATGTTAACAGCAGCAGTTTGCCTTTGCAGTGGGTAACACTGCTATTCATCATCGTTGAGCCGTTTCTTCAATATTCGGCAATTGACTATATATGTAATTTTAAACACCAAATTTTCAACTTGTATGGTCCAACATCAATAATTAACAATTAACAGCTCGTAATTAATTAGCTCTCACAATTCACACTAATGTTCATAAGAGGTGGTGTCAATGAATTGAAGTAAAGAATTAATAAATAAAAATATTAAAATTATGATAAAAATGTACTAATAATATTTTTATCTTATAAAAATGATCATAATAAAATTTACTTAAAAAATTTATTAAAATAATGGTTAGTATTTATCTAATTCTAAATTTTTCTTCAATATCTTTTTATTGTCTGTATAATTTTATAACCGGAGTTTATACGCATTTCAACGCATGCAAGTTGTATGAAATGGAATTTTTTTTTAATTCTGTAAGAACAGAGGTTTGAAGGCTATTCTATTAGGACTTTAATATTTTACTTACTATAGCTAAAAAAATATTGAATATTTTTTTTTATATTTTTAGTATGTTAAATATGTTTATTTTTTATTAAATATTTGTTTTATAAAGTGTGAGAAATATTAGTAGGTGAATTAATTTAACAATAATGTTGTGCTATTTGTCAATTATTTGAGCATGTGAATTTCTCAAAGTTTCAATTGAGCTCATTTCTTTAACTAAATAAATAAATCCAAAATATTAAAACAATTTGAGAGAAGTTTTTAGTTGCTCTTTTAATACAACTAACAAGTATCTTATGCGTGGTAATAAGTATGGGTAAAATGTGAATATGTTTAAGTAAAAAGTAATTACACGTTGATTTAAAAAATGAAAAATAAAAATCTTATTAATTTAAATGGATAGCTAATTATAAAAAAATATTAATTTAATACAAAAGTTCATAGCATGTGTCACCAAATGAAGAAAATAAGTAATTAAATGAAATTAAGAGTAATTTGTTGTGGAGAAAAGCGGGAGAAAAGGGTTGAGCTGAATTATTGTAAGTTTAATTTGCAAATAATTTTATCACATTTGCTCAATTTAGTCTTTGATGCAAAATGTTTACCAAGTCGATTTTTTAATGACACTAAGAGAATTCAAAAACACTCCCACGAAGAAGACGGGAGTTTTTCTTCAATTTTTAAATTATTTGGGTCAACTTGAATTGACAAAAATAAGTATATGTATATATACATATATATATATATATATATATATAAGATATTTTTTTCTGAAAAAAATTATTATAGAAGAGTAAATTAACAAATTACTATTTTTCTTAATTTTCAATAACAAATAAATAAATTTAGAAAATAAAGCTTTTAAGATTGAATTTAAATAGTTAAAAATAATAAGTCTTTATTAAAAAATTTTAAAATATATTATAATAAAAATATAATAAATATTTTATTTTTAATAAAAGATCATTTTTAAATATTTAAACTCGGGAAAAGGAGGTTAACAAAATGTAAAATATAAAGTTAAAATTAATATAATAAAGATCCTTTTGAAACATGCATTGGTTAATTATGTTTTAAAAAGGTGTGGTAAATTTTATTTTATTTTTTTGCTTGAGTTTAATTATGTCAACTTTTCCGTTGCTCCATTAACTCCAAATTAATTGCGGTCTATTTTACTATAATACCCCTCGAAGGCTCGTACATAGTCCCAATAAACTACACCTGGAGCGCATGCCTTGTATGTGGAAATGTCATCAGCATCGTCTTTTTGCTTATCATTAACAGTTATACGTTTGTTCTTCGTTTATTTTTCCGGTTACAGTTTCGGTCTTTTGGGCCATCCACAACAGTTTTAACGCATCATGAATTTGAATCTTAGAACTGAACCTGCAAGACATTGCAAATAATAGGAAAATACTAGGAAAGATACGTTCTGCTGACTCATACAGGCTACAAATTTTGGAAAAAAAAAATGAAATTGTCAAATATTGTATCATTCAGAAAAGTTTTGGTTTCCTAAAAGGAGTCACAATCCTAACGCATGCTTTTACTCCTATACCATTTTTTATTATTACATTTAATATTAAGAGTCGTGATTAGTACCACAATTATTATTCTACATAGTCATACACTATTTTATTTTATTTTTCTAAAGAAAGCAAGTAGCCAAATAATAACTGATTGAAATTGAATCTCTATGACCAAGACTAAACCCAACAATAAAATCTGTATTAAATCCACCTCTTTCATAAAACCCAACTTTCCCATTGACTATACTTCATATACAATACAACTTCAATTCTCTCTCTCTCTCTCTCTCTCTCTAATGGAAGATGATGGAGAATGCATCACAGGGCTACATCTGGGACTGGGAATGGGAGGGCATGTGCCAAGAAAGGAGAAGCAGAAAGAGAACAAGCCTGAGGTGTGCCTAGAGCTAGCGTTTGAGCTTTGTCCAAAAGGGGAAGCCATTGACGTGAATCATAATAAAGCAAATAGAATCAGCTTAGAGAGAATCCATGAGTACCCAAATGAAAAAAGCACTGATTCTGATAACAGCAACAACAAGAACGGTTGCCGAAAGAAACTTAGGCTCACAAAGGAGCAATCAGCCATGCTTGAAAACACCTTCAAACTGCATAGCACTCTCAATCCAGTATTCATTCATAACAACCCTTTTATTTCTCATTTTAATTTGTCTATTTTTCCTAAAACTTCATACATATATGTTTCAGTTTTCATGGAAAGTAGTTAAATTGCATGATGCAAGGCACTAATATAAAGTATATATCTATCTAACGCTACTATATATATATATATATATATATATATATATATATATACATCAGTTTGTAATCTCTTTTTCTTTTAATTTCTATCTCAAGGTAAAAGGAGTTTATGCGTTGGTTTTGGTTCCATATGCAGGTCCAGAAACAAGCACTTGCTGACCAATTGAATTTAAAAACTAGACAAGTTGAAGTTTGGTTTCAGAACAGAAGAGCAAGGTGCGTTATCGTATAGTTTCCGTTTCCGTTTCGTTGATCTTATTACTGCCAATGTTTATTCTTCATCAATTTCCTTTGCATTTATTATCTGGGTTCTTTCTTAACTTAATCTAGAAGGGAGTGGTTAGAAGAAAAAAATAAAGAAAATAAAACGGATTTTTTTAATGATTTTATTCATTTGTCACTTTTATTAACATTAAATTACAAAATAGTAAATTTTTATGAAAAAAAATATTTACTTTATCTTCTCTTTTTCATATAATAAATATATAGTTTTTGAATAAAATTTTATTAATTTTAAATATTTAAAATGAGTCTTAAAGATTGATAGTCGATGTTAACATTAATTAATTAATTGTGTTGACTAGTTATATCGATTTAATTTGAGAAATGTTATATGTTAACTTTTCAGGACTAAGCTGAAACAGACAGAGGTGGACCGGGAGTTGTTGAAAAAACACTGTCAAAATCTAAGTGATGAGAACAAAAGGTTAAAGAAGGAATTGCAGGAATTACGTGCACTTAAAGTTGGACCGTCCCCGTTATGCATTCAGCTGTCCAAAACCGCGACCCTGACTATGTGTTCTTCGTGCGAGAAACTAATAAAGCTCAATGAAGCAAAGAACAACATAGAGTTAGAGAGTAGGAATTGATAATTCGAAATGTCAAGCAAACGATTGCTACTTAAAGCTAAAGCTTGCTAATTAGAGGAAAAGAAATCACCATATTTGGAAAACTGGGGTAGCTTAGATACGTAGTTAGTAATCAAGCGCCTCTTATTGATTCAATTTATACTAATTAATCAAAATTAACTCGTTATTTTGTTTAAAGGTTTTGTGTTTTTTCCCTGCAAATTAACTAAAGAAGCTATGTATGCAAGTACGGATGAGGAATATGTGTTTGAATGGTCGATACTCAAAGAGAAAACAATTCCCTAAGTTAGTCCACTAATTAGAGATTAGGGTTAAAAGTTGGAATAATGAATCAGAGCTATACACGATTTTGTTTATTTGTGATACATGACGTGAGAGATGGGTATTTTAACGTTCATCGAAACTTTTTAAGAGGGATAAGAAAGCATTTTAAGTTCTTGATATGCTTCTAATTTCTTTATTATTGGTGTGTGGTCCTAAGGAAGTCCAAAGGAAATTTCAATATAATTTTCTTGTTGACAGGTTTGCAATTCTACATAGATAACTTATGGTGTACTTCTCTTCATGGTCTTTAAACGTGTAACTAATTCATTTTTTATCAAGAAAATTATTACGCGTTTAGAAACCTGGTTCAATTAAAATAAAAATAAAGGATCGTTATTAACTAATATATCTCAATGATTCTGATAAACCTACACATTTGAATATTATACTAAGCTATAGTCATTGAGTGACGTGCATGTATTGAGAAAGCATATGTGCATGTCAAATTTAATTATTAGTGCACCACCAATTCTTTGTTTGTGTGTATCTCTTCGTGTGCCTTAATTTGGTCATTGAACGAACCCACAATTAGGTTGCAAGTCGCAATAAGGTTACCGCCCATTGAGAGAAAATGCATGGGATTTGATAAGTCATAAGAGTGACACTCAATTCATGACATCATTCAACTAAGTGCCAATACTTCTAATCTCAAAAAATCATTACTAACAACAGAGTGTGAGTGTGCGTGTGTGTGTGTTAATGATGGCATTTTACACAATACATTATGCAAATTGCAAGTAATTGAGAAACTTCATAGCGTGTTTTAAGGGGGGCTACCCAATTAAGTACCCAACATGGATATAGAAAATGTCTTCTCCCCAAACACACTAGGACCACTGCTTCAATCACGTTCAAGACGCCAATTTATTCAATTATATGCCAGAATAAGATAGCTAAAGCACCTGTGCGTACTATTTTTTTTATTAGCAAATTAATTTTACTAATTATTAATTACCTCTACACACACATCATGTCTAAGATTTCATATAACAATTATATTTTATAACAATATATATAAAAGATTATTTTCCCTGTAATACTTTCAATAGCACTAGTTCATTCCATTTAGTGGAGATATCAGAACATATTTGACATCTTCAATTTAGTGGAGATATAAAACACATATGACCTCTTAAGAAAAAGTAATAAATAATTTCAAATAAACTAAAATTTTAAGTGAGATTACTTTAAACTGAAGTATTTATCATCTAGAGAAAGGCTTTATTGTCCTATAATATTTTTATGATGTTAATTTTATATATACATTATATTAAATACAAAATAAATACCCCTAATAACTCGTAATTAAAATATATAAAATCAATACTTTATTTATTTAGTAATTGTAAGAATTTTAAATTATTTTATGAAGATAGCTAGAGAATGGTGAAGTGTTAGTTAGAGAAATGAAATTAAAATTAAAATTAAAACTATTTTTTATGCTTTAAAAATATTTAATACTTAATTTTCTTTTAAAACATTTAATAAATTGTATTAAATGTTCCTTAATTATTGACACTTTGTTAACAATGCCTCTATATTATGGTACTCCATTCTTTTATTTGACATTTAAAACAAACTATTTTTATTTATTCATTATTAAATGTTTTAAATAACATTAATCATTCATGCAATTCTTATTTTTTTTTACAAAGCCTGTGAGTTATAATGATTTAGGGTGGGTACAAGAATGGGTTATAAATGATATATATATATATATATATATATATATATATATATATGCATTGTTTATTTTTAAATATTTAATTTCAGTATTTTATACAAATACTGAAAAATACAGTTTTTTAGTAAAAAAATATAATAAATAAATTTTCATTTCTAATGTAGTTTAACATAATTTTTAATAAAAAAAATTTCATTTTCAATTATTTAACGAGTGTCTTTAGGATACTAGTAATCAAAATCCTTTTTTTTATCTGTAGAAATAAAAAAGTAATTAATTTTTTAAATTTTATAAAGATATATATGACTGAAAATAAAATAATATATTTAAAATGATGATGATTTTAGCCAATGAAGATTGAACTAATTGAAAAAAAAATTATTTGATAACAACATGAGTTCAAATCTCATTGTGCTAAACTTTTCTTATTAAAAAAATTATGATTTTAAAGCAAAAATTATCTTAAAAATAAGGGAATAGTTAAATTTGTATAGGAAAAGTTTCATCGTTACCTAGTTGACAAAGCATAATTAGTTTCAACTGCCAACAATTACTAAACATTATGCCACCTATTGCCCCAAAAACTAGCAAGCGTCAGAAAGTCATTAGCCACCATTAATTATGTAGTTAGTGTCATAATGGACATTATTATGAATAAAATTACTCGTTCTTTTCATTTTTTTATCAGTCCACTCTAAAAAATAACAGAGTAAAATATAATTAATATATTATTTTTCTAACTCAATTTCTAAATACGATTTCTCTACTAATTTTCTTTTATACATGATAAGTGTGTTAAATATTTAAAAATAACTAATATTATTTTAAATAAATAAATAATTCTTTAAAAATTTGAAGGTTTAATCAATAAAATTATTATAAACTATCAAAAACAAAATAAATAAATTACGTGAATTTTTTAATGTCAAATAATTTTTTAAAGTGATTATAGAACTTTATAAATATTTTAATTTTGATAACTAATATATTGTTAAATAGTTTAAATTTACTCTCTTACTTTCATATGTGTTACTGATTTTTCTATTTATTATCCTAATAATAATTAAAGAATTAAAAAATGTTCCATAATTAATGTCTTAAAAATATTAATAAAAAATAAAAAAATTATTTATGTCAATTTAGTTTTTTCATAACTTTTAATCTAATATTTTAACCAGTGTTGTTTACCTGATATGTTATTGCTGAATAGTTATTAGGTGTTAAAATAAAATTAATAGTACAATAACTGATATACTAAAAAAAGGAATCGTAGAAAGAGTGAATAAGTTGTGAGTAAGGAATGAGAAATTGAAAAACTAAACTAAAATAATTATTCACTTAGATTTAAATATATATTTTGACTATGAGCGAGGAAGTCAGCACATCATTCTAATCTTTGTCTGTTTTATGTAAATAAAAGGTAATACGATTATTTGCACCTTTTTGGGCACGTAAAAGACCACATGACCTCAAATACTAAATTGTTCCCACTGAAAACTTTTGTATGAAGAAAATGATTTTCATTATCCAATTGAGTTTAAAATTTCTTATATAAAATTTGTTCAGAAAAATTACTTTAACTATGTAATTTTGTGAATTATTACTTTTCATTTTACTAATTTGATTTTATGTAGTATAATCAATTAAATAATAAACACTTAGTTACTACATAGATTGATATACAAAGATAATTTGACGAAAACGTTGAACAAGAGTTGGAGGGTCATTGCATTGCTCATCGACCCTTCAAACCTGATTAGGTGGGACCCCGTTTCCCATTGTGCAAGATTTTAGATTGATATATCTTGCGACTTAAGCAAACTCTCTATTAACACTTTTTTCTTTACACATAAACTTTGACTTTTGTTCATCTCATGTGCTTACCAATTTATTTATAAATTCCAATATGAATCCATAATTTTTGTTTTCAAGTTTATATAGCTTAAAAACATAGTACCATTTTTCCTTCTTTATTTTTTTTACGATATACTTTTCTTATACGCCATAAAAGCTTCCAAGACCCACTCAAATAAAGAGATCAGGTGACAACAAGTCTTCTGAGAGAAAAAAGAAGGAAACAAACCATAAACAATGAGCCTGGTCACCAATCATTTGGTCATCCCTTTCATCACCCTCCACCAACTCCATTTCATCGCAATTGAGTTGAATAATAACAACAATTATTAATTTTCCCGTTATATCATGCACAGCTTAGTGTTTAATTGATTTAAAATTGTATAAATTAATCTAAGTTTTATTAAAAATATGACAATGAATTCAATAGTTATAAAATAAACAAGTTCTCAGTGGTGTGAAAAGCGCCATTGCTGCATGGAAAAGATTATCCTTATTGAATAGTTCAGCTCATTGAACCTAATTTTTTTAACTCTTTTAATTTGACTCAGTGGTTTTATATAGTAATATATTGAATGACAGAGAGAAAAGGGGTTACCCCAAAAATTGTGTTCATTTTCAATTCCAATTCTACAGACGCATGTTGATTGCTGAGGTGACCACTGCACCGAGAAAGTTGGTCAACTATGTGAAAACAATGAATCAAACATTGATATGATCCTAATTGAGATTTGATTGAGCAATTTGCATGCCCCACTCAAACTTGGCTATCTTGTCCTCGTTGCAATGCCAGTGGCGCAATTCACAAGTCCCGTTATATTCCAATCTATAAATTAGGTAAATTCCATATTGTTTATACACTATAAACTCAACTAATTCAATCTATCAATTTACCTATATGTGTATGCTTGAATGGTTCCGTTATTATTCATAGTATTCCACTCTTGTTACACCCCCACTATTTATCAAAATTTTAAATATAATCGCTTCAATTAAGATTAAATTAAAATTTCAAATTATATTTGTAATTTTTAAAATAATTCAAGTTGATATTTTAAAATTCATATTATTCCTTGTTATAAATTCTTGTTGTATGTCTTAAATCAAACTCAACTTCTTCTCACTCAATATTTACACAAGTTATTCTTCTTAGATCATGAAATCAATTAAAATTATTTTTATAAAAATTGGAATCACAATGTGCATTGGGAATAAGCAAACAAGTTTAACGTAAGAAGATTAGATCGATTTTTTTTTAAAATTTAATTCAAAAGAAAAAATCTGTGTAAGTTTTATAAAAAGTATGTTGATTATATTTTTAGTTAATAAAACATAGGACATGCTAAGAGAAGAAATTTAATAAATGAAATTTATAAATTAGACATATCTGTATGACTTAAAATTAAGATTGAGTAAACTTTAATACTATATTAGAAAATCATGTTTAACTCATTTTAGAAAGGCAATTTAAAAATATATTGTTCAAATATTAGAAAGAGTATTTGAACTATATTTTTAATTCATACGAGACATCTCTTAATATAGTGTTTGGATGAACAACTTTCTTTCTCTATTTTTGTTAGCAATATTTTACTATTATTAGATCATATATCTTCATAATCATATAAATTAACTAATTAACAATATTTAGTAAGAGTATGTAAAAGTTAATCTTAATCATATCATTGTACATGAATGATCAAGATCATTTCGCGTTCGACATTTCCTTCTTTGCGGTTAAGGTAGCGATTTTGGGTAACTATCTATTTTAATTATAAGATTGAGATTACTTTTTATGAGCTTATTTCTCTTTCGCACTTATAAAGATTAAATTTAATAATTAAAATATAAAATATAGTTTCACTCTATGTATACATATGATTTGATGAAGTTTTAGTGATTTATTTTTTTATTTTATGTTTTAAAATGATTCTTATCATCAAATTAAAACATTAAAATTAAATATATGTCATGTTATAACTGAGAGGTAATAAGAATGTTTTAAAAAATAAATTTACAAATATCAAAGTCAACAAAAAATTTTAAAATGAAAAAAATGATATATATATATATATATATATATATATATATATATATACACACACACACACACATAAACTATAAATAAATTTAAAATTAAATTTCAAATGAAGAATAATTTAAAGAACTAAGTTGTTAATTTATTCAATAATTTTATATAAATGAGATATTTTGTTATTATGATATTCTCTCTTTCTGTCTCTGATACTTTTTTGGTGGATTTTTCTTTTTCTTTTTGAAGGAAGAAAGGAAGAGAAGAGAGGGGCATCATCCTTCGTTCCCACGTTGGGTAAAACACAAAGCAGCTGATATCGTGTCTTAGGTAATGCGAGTAATAGCCCATAATCTCTTGGGAAGATATGGACCGAAAAAAAAGGCCATTAAAGGGATTGTATAGCCCAGCATGACAAAATGATAGGGTCGGGGAAAATGTCTTACGCTCAAGTCCATTTTATTTTTCCTTTTTGCATTATATGATAGTCAATATTAAAATATAAGAGTTATGCAGTATTTTTAAAAATTATATAATTTTTAAATTAATCATGTAACTATAATTAACTTTGAATATTGATTATCTATATATGATTATACAACTAAAAGTCATTACATTCTTTACTTTAAAATCACAATCGAATTAAAAATGTGAAATCAACAATACTATTTTCTATATTGAATTGATTATATAGAGTACATTTTAGAAATACACTTGATTAATCTAACGATAAATCCTGTAGATTTAGCAATGAACATATAACATCGATAACTTTTATATTAACTTTTTTTTACCTGATTGTGTAATAAAGTACACTGTTCCCTAGTACCTGAATAATTAATCTCATGGAAATATCCAGAGGGATACCGCAGGAAAAAAACAACTTTTCCATTATCTCAATGACAGAATGTTTTAATGAAAGAAGGCAGGAAGGTCTTTTTTTCTCTCTTGCTTCCCCCTTTCAGAAAGTAAACTCCTTGAAAGAAGGAACATACAAGTCAACTCCTTGAATTGGTTTGGTGAAAAACAAGAGTGGCATAAATTAGCTCATTCCAGGCATCAGGTACACCAGGAAGACACCAATGGCTGCAATCTTGCCGCCTTGTGGAGACTTTCTTTCCACCCATTGTATTCTTGCCAAAGACAGATGGGTGGCCATCCTTGCGGAAATTTGTCAGTCTTGTCACATTTAATAACTTCACTGGAACCTTCATTCCTTGGATCACTTCCTCCACAATCTTCATTTTCAAAGGATAGTTATCAAGGATGGACCCGTTGAAAACCGGTTCGGTTTCACCATAACATGACCCGCCTGAGTCCCAGTCCCCACCTCTGTCAATGATTCATGAGCAATATGATACGGTTGAAAGAACAGTTAGTTTCTTATGTTTTTCTTTCCTCCAATTATGATGAAATAATAGGCTCTAGATTTCTTCTACTTCCACATAACACAAAAATGCATTGATACCTGAAATGGGCAGAAGAATATCCGCGATAGTAGACAATCTGTTTTTTTGGATTGATATTGCCATCGATCCATTTTGCCCAGGTCTTTATAGCCTTTCTGTATGCCTCAACTGCATCAAATTTGGGATATAGATAATCACCTTCTTTATAGTAATTTATCCTGCACAAATCAGACAGTGTCACTTTTTTTGCTAGATGTTTTTTATTTTAATTATGAATATTTTTTTCATAGACAACTTGTTAATTTCAAGGAATGAAAGACAAACCAACTCATAGCAGTGAATAAAAACTAATTTAAGAAAAATGGGAAAGTTAAAAAATTGACCAGATAAATAAGTTAGATAAAAGGGTGCAACTTTTCTGAAGAATAACTTTGGAAGTGTAGTGTTCCTAGTTGCTAAGAGGAGTTTAAAATTAAAGGTCAACATTCTTGTGCAGCAAACAATTGAATGTACTCTTTAATTAATTAACCAAGTTAGAGTTTAATAAACATAGGGGAAGCAAACAAACACACACAGCGAGTTTCCAAAATTGATTGCATACAATTTCAATGCATAGATCAATCAAAATACAAAATAAGTGCGTCCTAACCCTCGAGCAGTTTTGCCATGAGTCCACCAGTGGCCAGTATTGAAAACAAGAATGTCAGCCCTCTTCCAGCGGCCAGATGTCTTGTCAATTCGATCTATTGATAATGTAGGATTTGAGCTCCCTTGTCCATTAACACGAACTCCTTCCTTCACTAGGAAATGAGATCTCACAAATTCCACTGAAGAATTATAGTCCTGTCCAAGTGTTCCAAAATCTTAGCATAACCAACTGCAGTCTGTCCATCCACATTTTCTTGATACAGGAAAATGATGCAGTCCAGCTGGCCTGATCATTTTGCATGCAGATTTCACACAATTATACAAATTCTGTACTTTATAAGAAACAATGAAGTTCTAACTTCTAAGAAAGATGAAATCATTTTCTGGAAGAGGAAAAGAAACGACAGCACCAGCTAGATTTATATTTGCCAATGATTTGGATTCAAGCCAATCAGACCTTGAAGAGAAAAATTTACAAAGAAGTTGAATAAATGAGAAAAAAAAACCGTTTTTTCTAAGAGAAATATAAAACGTGACATTTCATTGGTGCTTAGAAATTAGAAGAATATAAATAAGAAGGAAGAGAAAATTTGACCACAAATTTAAAAACGTAGTAGCCTCTTCCTTTTGTTATTTTGTGTCCATGTATCTCATACATTTTGCTCTTATTGTGCAGGCCTTCACGTAGTATGCACAGAATGGACTCAAATTGGTTCCGGTTCATAGAATCTCCGACCAGCATCAGTCTTTTACCTTTCAGTCTCACCAAAAAGTCTGTGGCATTAAACCTAGGAGTAACATTTGAAAGAAGTCAAAGAAACAGATATGAATGGTTAATTTTCCAGTCAACTACAAAAAAGATGAAAAGTAAAAGATAGCTGTTTGAAAAACACAGTAGCAACTATATGCGATTAACTGTTTCGCCACACTAGAGTGAAGGAAATGCCTGTAGTCAACACAAAAAGTTGAACATCTAACCAGAAAAAATTGCAAGATACAGCCAAACCATTGTCTGAAGGTCTAACCAATAATAACAGCAGGTTGTAGTGTTCAACTATATTACAGAGAGAAGCTATAAGTAAGTATGCCATACTGAACAGGATTGATCATTTCCATTTCTCGACCAAAGAAAGAGCACAACTCTTTGCATGACCAGCAAATAGTATTTTTAAATTGATATGTGGAATAATGAACAACAAAGCATGCCACTCCCCGCTCCAATCGCATTTAAGATGCCAAAAGTATGCATGACGATTTATAGCTATACTAATATGCGCAACAGCTCAAGTACCCACATTGAGATGATACAAATGAGATGGTCAAAACTCAAAAGTTATACAAACTAAGAAGGGAGAGAAGAATTGAGTTGCCTTTCAGCAATTGACACAAATAATTGAAGAATTACAATGCAAGGATATGTTTCCACAAGGATATGTTTCTTTATATGTCAAGTTGAGTTTCCACACGTCATTAACAGAAGATACGTAAAATGTTCCCACAAGTTTGGTAACATTTCCATAAAAAATGGCTACCAGGAACCATGTTGCCGTAATTTTCAATTTGGATGAGCATGGTTTGAACATCCATAACAAGTTTATGTGTGGAAAAGCAAAGCTTCTCAAACTCTCTAAATTAAACCAAAATACTCGAATCCTGTTTATATAATAATACCTTGGAAGATCGCAAGCGTGAGGCTTCCATCGCCAATTGGTGTAGAGAGTATCGACTCTACCGTTGATTTTGCAATCATAAGCCTCGTCCACGTAAGGGCAAGAACCTGGTTGGTAAATAGGGTAATTTTCATCCTTCACCCACGTCCCCGTGAACAAATCACAGTCGTTCCAATTCAATACTTGAGCATCACCCGCATTCTCAACCGTTTCCGTTTCCGTTTCCGTAACCGTTTGGGTACCAGATTCGTGGTCGGTGACGTCGTTAATGTCGGGGACAGATGGGGGTTGTTGGGTCGTGGTGGTAGCGGGAGAGGAGAGTGGTGGCGGTGGCGGTGGTGGTGACGGTGACGGTAACGGTGACAGTGGGGGCGGAGAAAGAGGTTGGAGTTGGAGATAGAGATCTGAGTGGATGGATGGAGGAGGGTGAAAAGTAGTTCTGGTAATGAAGAAGAAGAAGATGGAGAGAAGGATCAATGCGAGGAAGAAGAGAGTGGTCACTGTGTAACGATTCTTGTGAGATAGGGAAAGCATGTTGAGGGAGTGAGAGAGGTTCCTTCCTCAAATTCAAACATAACATGCATTTGCATTTCCTTCTTTGTGGATAATCAATCTGTTAATCATTCAACAACATAATTACACCAACTGAGAATATTTTCACCCATTTATTAATTCGTTAATCATTTGTTTATATATACAAACATTCACTCTGCAACTATCATTCACACCAAATCATCCTTCATTTCGGGTAACTGTCCCTTATATGTATATTCAATCAATCAAATCTATTATAAAAAATATCATTTTAATTATTTAAATTTAAAAAAATTTAATTCAAAAATTTAATTACTTACTCTTAGTACTACCGAGTAGGCATGTATTAAAGATATATTTAAAAAATTATAAAAATAACTTATAATGTCTATAATTTTGTAATATATTTTAATGAATTTATAAATTTATTTTAATTTATTTTATAACTAAATTTATTATGTAAAATATTATTCAATTTTTTAATAAATATTTAATTAAATTGTATATATAATTTCGGTTTAAAAAAATAAGCCTTTGAGGGAAATTGAATTACTTAACTCGAATTCAGGCCAACGCAAAATGATTATAATACTAATTTCATCAATCGATATATTAATTTTCCGTAAAATGCAACCTTGCAATTTCTTTGGGTGATATATTAATTTCATGGTGTGAAGCCAGTTCGTTTAATTTCTGTATGCAACTACATACTCTTTTTTTTTTTTTTTATCACGTGTTAATTTAGTTTAAAATTGAATTTACATATTATTAATATATATATAAATTAATTTAAATTATATATTATATTGAAATTATATTTTGTATTAGAAAGTGTGAGAAATAATTTTTTAATTGATTTTCAAACAAGTATTATATCAATTACTACATACGGTTTTATTTTTACCTGACAGTAAAAGGGGAAAAAAAATGTAACAGTGACAATGAAATTTAAACTTTTGACTTTATGCAACACATTCAAACCCTATATATATATATATTTGCTATTAAACTTTTGTAAATTTTGTTCTGATGAACCAAAACATTTATCATTAATTAAAAATTAATGACTTAAATTCTAATTGCAAAATAATTTTTGTCATTGCAATTACCATTTTTTTTTTCATTATTGTATTTTCGTTTTTTTTTAATATGAAAATTTTGTTTTGGTCAACTAATCTGAAATATGTGATGGACATTGCTTCTAATAGCTCTTAACCCACTGTATTGAGCCGACCCAATCTAGCTGGCCCAATTCACTAAAATGTTCGTTAAATCAATCCAAACCTTTTTGACAAAGGAAAAACTTTAGGTTTAATATGTTTGATTTGCTTCTTAACGATATTTTTTCAAATCTTTGATTTAATCTATGCTTTCTATTCATTTAATTTGAAGCATTTGTGATTTTAGTTTTACAAGTTCTTTTAACTAGTTAAATTATTTACTTTAAGAATTAAGTAATTTGATCTCTTAATTAATTTTCTTTCATTTAAATTTTTTTGTTTATTCAGAATTTTATAAAATAAATCTATTGAATCATATAAAATTTTTATTTAATTCAAAATTCATCAATCAAAATATCAAATTTTATTTAAATAAAATTAAACTTAAAATTAAAACCAAAAGCTTAATTTAAGCAAGGATCAAAATTTTCCATATTTTTGTTTTTATTTTCTTGTAGAAAAATATTAAAATGGAAATTTTTCTTCAAATGGATAAAATTTTAAAATAAAAAATCATTAGTTAAAATTGTAATCAATATTGAAATTGATTGACATTTTAAAACAATATTTTTAAAATGATTATTTATGCTATAAAGGTAGCTTATTTTGATAGTAAATTTATTAGGATGATTGAAAAAAGTATTTTGATAAATTCTAGCAAGAAGTTTATTAAACGAGCTGAAAAAAAAAATAAAATAAAAAATATATATATATATATATATATATATATATATATATATGTATGTATGTATATTGTTGTAAGTTATCTATAAACTCTTTCAAACAATTCTTGAAAAAATTATAGAGAAGCATTTTCACAAAAAAGAAAAAGAAAAAAATTTGAAATAAGGTAAAAAAACAGACACACATTTTGAAAATTTAAACTTATCTCATTAATTTGATTTTATGTATTATTAATGTAAATTTTAATAATATTTTTAAAATTTGTCAACCACTGTTCATATTTATTTAATTTTATTATTTTAAATGAGTGTTTTTCACCTTTATGAAAAGACGATTGTTTCCTTTAAAATAATAAGACTTGCATTATGATATATGACTTGTCCTAAAATTTACTTTTGTCCCAATCCTAATATACTTGCATTCTTACCTCCTTGTTTGTTACTCATTTTACCTTTTACATATATATAACTTATAGTACCTTAAAATCTTGCAACTTGCATATTATAACGTGTTTATACTGATAAAAACTTATATATAAAATGTTTATATATTAATTATTGATGTATTTATCCGACATTTTGATACATATGATGTATCTGACTATCCATACTGGTATATCTACAATTTTACGAGGCTCACCCATTATGGGTCACATCGCTGACCTCTGCACCATTTGAAGGTGAGAAGGAGAGGGTTGGACAAGATATAGATATAGATATATATATATATATATATATATAGAGGTAACTAACGTTCATGTTTTAACAGAAATGGCCGGCTTTAATGAAGCACCAACTGTCGTTTCATAACTCCCGCGTTCCCATTAACATATTCATATTCTCAGGTTGATTCTGTTGCTTAAGAAGGGAACTTATATATAAATATTATGTAATGTAGTGTAATAACACAAACCAAAACACTTGCAACTTGCAACCCCACATCACTTCCATCGTTCATTCAATCAAAACTCTCACCCAACAAGACGTGCTTCAAAAGCAAACATTGATTCAATGCATGCTACAGTCAAAACCACCCATTTAATTTTCCTGCAACCTCTTTTTTTTTTTTATCGATGAGTGTCAGCTTTTCAAGTATGGTCCTCAAATCAAGCACCACGTGCTGAAGCTCCTCCGAAGAAGAATTTCTCTAATCCCAAGTGGGTTTTAGAATTAGAGTTTATGTATAGGCGTCTTTTGTTATTGTTAGTAGCTAGGTTGCCACTGTCTAAGGAACAGAATGTTGGGCTTATAGCTCTATATTTTACACATCATTTATGTTCAAATTCCATTGGGTTTGAATAAGCTACACATTGTCAAGTAGAATTGAAGTCAATTAATGAGGTTTGGTGAAATTTCTGACCAGAGAGATGTGATGTATCAAATTCAAAGGTCTTTTACTGCATATCCGAGGTACCATAGTTAATGTCCCATTCCTAGCCATAACCCCCTCTTATTATACTCATCTCTTTCCCTCTCTTATTCACTAATATCATCAGCACCAATTCCTTTTGCTCTTACTTTCCTCTCCCTTTCTCTCCTTCTCTGGTCGCTTTTCTAATCTGTTGTGGCTCTTAATCTCTTTTATCCCCTCTTCTGAGTCAAACACTTGTTTTTACTGCTTGCTGCTATTTTTGAATTAAACTTAATTAGCTTGTTGAGATGAGAATACCAGAGCTTATGCTTGTGTTGTGGCTTTTGCTGTGGGCTTGTATTGGGTCCAACACCGTGGCAAGAAAGACCGTTCTTGTTAGCAATTTGTTTGATGGAGCAAAGAAGAAGAAGCATGATGATCACATTCACAAATGCAACCCCAAAAGACACTTTTCTTGCTATGATAACAACACTACGTCATCAGATGACAAAAGACTGGTTCCCACAGGTCCAAATCCATTACACAACAGGTAGAAATTAGAATCATATATCAGCTCTGCGTAGCAAGACATCGCCATGATCTCTCTTCCATGAAGTGATGTTTCTGTTTCTCTATGTTTCTGAAATTACTCGATTTCTCTGTTGAATTCCCCCCCTCCCCATTTCTTTTGTTTTTGGCTTCCCTTTTTATTTAGTCTTGTAAATGAATTATTGAATGGTTTCTATGGCACCATCGTTACGGATAGCTAGCTACCTTAAATTGTAGTTTTATATGTGGGCACAGAAACAGGCTCGTATGTAAATGACGCAACCATTTCCATGTTTGTGCTGCGTGTTTAAGCTCCACTGCCATGATCCAAAAAGTTGATATTGTTTTATCCCTTTTCTTCAATGGGAGCACTGCATTATAGATATACTATCACTATTTTTATTTATTTATATAACAAAAAGCTTATTCTTAATTATCTTATTTACTTAAGCAAAAGTTTCAATTACGAGTAAAAATTAAGTTACTATATGAATAATTTTGATGAGTTATTTGCTTAATAACTTTTATAATTGTTAAATTTTATTGGTTCAATTTTTAAATAAAACTATATATTTATGTTGATCATTTATATCAATTTTTAAATAAATCAAATATTCATAAATATATAATTATATAATTAAAATTTAATTATATTTTAAAAATATATATTAGACGTGAAAATAAAATTATCTAAAAAAATATTAATTAATTTTTATTTGAATAATATTTTACATGCTAGATCAATTTTAAAAAAAATAATTCAACGATTAAATTGATAAAATTTAATAAAAACTTACGAAAGGTAATATTTGTCAGAGTCATTTCTATGGTAAATTATTATTTTTGAAGTAAAATTAATTCTTTCTCATGATATATTATTATTTCTTTATTAATATCTTTTTACCTATGTATAAATTTTAAATATAATGAATAAAGTATTCACATTAATTAAATAATCTAAGTGATGAAGAAAAATCCATTGATAAAATAATTAAATTTTTTGTTATATATATGTATATATATTATTTTTACATAACATGTTGAATGGATGAAATGGGTGAAAAGGAAATAGAATAATGAGAGAAGGACAAAGTAGAACTAAGTACGTATATTCGAGTGGGGCCTGAATGTGATTCATTGGTTAAAAAGAGAAATGATATGATCGATAAGGTGCATTGCTAATGAAGAAAGGACATTGAATGAGTGTCGGGGGAGAATTTAATGTGGTGCCTGTGACTGTGGGTTATCATATATCTGCCAATGCCATGCACTATTAATTAGAAGAGTGAGCTTAACACACAAAAGTCATTTTGCTTTTGTCTCTGTCTCTTTGTTTGTATCCCCTCAAAAGCTACTTTTTGACACAAACCATGGTGCTTTTCCATTCTTGTTTACGGTCTCTTTCTTTCGTTGTATATCTCGAGATTATCTTATGCACATTCAATTGTATTGTATGCATCGTCTCATCCCTTTAGGCAATTCAAAAGAGTCATAAACAGAGCAATGGGTATGCCGTATTAAGGAGAGAGAATACTCTAAGTCATTGCCTTCTTCCTTTCTTTTTGTCTCTCTCACTCACAATTCTATTGTATCTTGTTTTATGGAAGCTTCGGAAATATGAAAGGAGAAGAGAGGACTAAGATTAGTGAGGTGTGAATGTGATGTTGAATTATTGGGACTAGCTAGCCAGGGAATCACTTGGTTATCACTCTGTATTTCAGCTATTTTACAAGTAACGTTACTCTTGCTTAAAATTCTCACCACACTTTTATATAACATTTGTTTTTTTTTTTTTTTTGCATTTTTTTTATCTCTCTTTATCGTAAACAGTGTTGTGAAAATTATAAGAGTAACATTTTTTGTTTTTAATCAGATGCATGACATCGGACTTGGACTTTGTTTTTTTTCTTAATATAATTAACAAAAATATTAGTGTAGTTTTATCAACCGACATGCGAATGAGTTCGAAATAAATTTTACTATGGTGTTACAAGGTTAATCCAAATTTTCTCTCATCCTTTACACTCAGCACTTGATCCATTTTTCTTTTCTCGTTTCGTAAAAATTCGCACTGAATTACGTTATATGAACTAGTACTTCTCTTTTATCAAAGAGATAAGTAGGTTATCCCAAGTTATATGTTACTTATCAAATTAATATACACGTAGTAGCATTTGAAAAATAATATGTTAATATTTTAGCTATTTTCGTATAACAATAAAAATAATATTTTTAATGAATTTCTTGTCATAATATCAATGATTGGTATTTTAATCAGTAATTCTAATTCTAATTCTTATTTCCTAAAAGCGGTGCCAAAATTTTGATAAAAATATTTACCAGTCAGCAACTATGCTATGTTGACCTCTCACTGCATTCGATATATAAAATTACATTGATTTATTCACCAGTTAAAAATATGAGCTTTCACTGTTAATCATGGTTAGTTCAATTCATAAATTCTGTACAAAAAATCAGAAGTTCAACGGGTTTTTTAATATGTGTATAAAGATACATAACAAAAACTGTTATATATTAATTTTTTATTAAAATTATACAATATTATTAAATTCAATGTATTAATAATATCAAAATACTATTTTTTTAATAAAAAAATATTATTTATATTTTTTTATTAGACACACATGAAAAATTATACAAGTTTTTCGTAAGTTTATGCGTGATTTTGAGTACACACAAATTATTAACCCTTGTAAATATAGACATTAAGTTTGGAAAGTATAGAATACTATTAACTCGTAAGGAAAACCTCTTAAATTAAAGATTTGTATTTGTCTATACACTCGTTGAAGCAATTTGTTTAGGCTAATTAGAGCAACACTTATCACGAGCCTTACTGCAAAAATTAACTTAACAGAACTCTCTCCTAAAGGATATATACCCTTTTCGCAACTAAAGAAGAATTTGTACCAATATTAATTATTTGTGAATATTTATGAAGTGAGTTATAAACACAAAATTTTGACAAGTATTCATTCCCGTATCTATACACCTTGAAGCAAATAAAATACATACTTTGTCCTAATGTTTGGATTTTAGTTAGAACTTTCAAACCGTGGATTGAGGCTTTCCTAACACTGATTGGATCATTCTTCCGAGGACATGGGTTCTCATTTGACAGAATAATTGGATCATTGGTCTTCAGATACTGGTGCTTTACGTAGGAAAGCAGAATCACTGGTCACTGGAGTTGTGAAAGTCTCGGATATGTCTCCCCAAGAGTGGTTTTCATCATCCATTATGCGCCTTCGATCAAGGAAGGCTGGTCTTGATGGTGTTTTAACCATTTCAACTTTGAATGTTAACAGTGCTACGATCTCTGACATGGCTGGTCTCAAATCTGCATGTGCTTGAAGGCATAAGAAGGCTACGTGGAATGCTTGCATAACATCCTTTTCTACCAACCCATCTTCTATCAGCTTTGGATCCACAATCTCCATCAACATTGACTTCTCATAAAGTTTCCATGCCTGTAATGAAGATTTATTACTCCATGCATTTTAATCCTTCTGGGAAAAATGGTACACATAATAATTTAAAATACAGTTTTTTAATCGGAACCCAACAATAGTCCACCATAAGAATATACGTGTATACTATGTTTTTATTAGAAATAATAGGATATAAAAAAAATCTAATGGATTGATAATATTAATATTAATACTATAATTTTTAATAAAAATGGTAGAAATGTAAGATTTTACATATTCAGGGAGGTATTGCATTTCTGATGATAAAGTAAGATCTGTGTTTTTCCTGCAACTGATGATTTCAAGCACAAGAACTCCAAAGCTATAGATATCTGCTTTTTCGGACAGTTCTCCTCTAATGGCATATTCAGGAGCAGTATAACCTCTGACCAAAAAAGACAAGAAAGATCATCAATAGAAAACTTGGCTAGAAATAATTGCGCTGCTTGTAATGAATTCGTGTATCTCTGATTCAAATCATTAGAAAGTGACATTATCATATTTTTGATAAGAAGTTATAAGAGAACTTACACATTAAGAATATAAAACACCCTTCATGAGGTTCCTTAATTAACCATGCAACCATTCTATGGCATGGGAAAGTACTTGTGGAGCATTATGTTAATTATGTGGTTCATTTTATTGCAACAATTCTTACATTCATTTGATTTATTAAAGTAAATAACAATTGAGGATAAACTCTTTAGGTGTTTATACAGGAGTCAAAAATCATAGGCTTGATATGCTGCTAAAGGTGATTGTTTTTATCATATTGGTTGACGTGTCTCCAACCATTAAAACTCAGCAAAACAGAAAAATTCAGTATTCTTTGTAATTGGCAGCACTAATCATGATTAATACCTTACAATATGAATGATGAACATGATTAGGAACATGATTAGCACTAAAACTAGTGATGGGTGCTTTTGAGGAGTATCATTTGAATAAAGGACTTACAATGTTCCCGCGAACTGAGTGCTAAGGTAAGCTTGGTCTTCAGGGAAGAACCTAGCTAGCCCAAAGTCTCCAATCCTCGGCTGAAACTTCTCATCAAGAAGAATGTTACTTGCTTTGATATCTCGGTGAACAATTCTTAAATGTGAATCCTCGTGGAGGTATTGCAATCCCCGGGCTACTCCAAGAATAATTTGGAATCTAGTGCTCCAATTCAGAAATTGATCACTCTTTCCTGATCACATGATCATCCAAAGTGGGAATTGTTTTTTAGGAAACTACTTTTACCAATAACTACCATGCACTTATTTGACATGTAATAAACACAATGCTGATCAAATATATGAAAACAAATCAGGGATACCATGTATTAAGAGGTCCAAACTTCTGTTCTTCATGTATTCATACACAAGTATCCTTTGGGGTCCATCTGTGCAACATCCAAGAAGGCGAACCAGATTTTTGTGTTGGATGCTTGTGATCATTCTCACTTCTGCCAGAAATTCTTTTTCTCCTTGTTGAGATTTGTCAAGAGACAATTTCTTGACTGCAATTAGCCTTCCATCTGCCAACTTTCCCTGTCAAAACACAAGCAATTTAGGATCTTAACCTTAATAGGAGCACATCCATCTTTTGACACCCCAGTAAATGCTATAAATATTTAGTTCATATCAATTTATCACATTTTGTACTACCTACTAAAAATTTGATATTATCATAGTTACACAGATGCGTCATGATAAAGATATTGTGTTCCCAAATATCAACAAACTACTCAAAATTGTCGATCAAAGCAAGCATGACTAGATTTAGTACCTATACCTTATAGACAGGCCCAAATCCTCCACTTCCAAGAAGATTTCCGGGATGGAAATTTTTAGTCGCCCTCCTCAATGTATGTAAACCAAAGTAGCTAATTGTCCGAAGGTTTCCACTAAAAAACTCCATGGACACGGATCCTGCACAATACGTGTAGGAACTTCAATAGGGGTCTTACAATGATATGATGCATACATGAATTTAAGTGTCAAATTTCTTTGAACTACCTGGCTGTTGTATAGTTGGGACTATCATCTTCATCACCTCTGCTGATTCAATTTATTTCCCAAATGGCAAGTGCAAAGCACAAATAACATAAGTGTGATCATTATAAGCGCAATCAGCAAAATTAAACAAATATGCTGCAGTCATAGATAATTCAGATAGTAAATATATTTCTTTTTATGTTGTGACTTTAATTGTGATGCTTTCTCCAAATTACCATGCTGCTGACTTGTTGGAGCTGTCTTCTCCATCAACGCTGTTGGCCTTTTGATACGCTTCCGAAATATAAACACAAGAATCACCAATAAGATGAGCACTGCAATCCCTCCAAGAATGATGAACAGAAGTGTTCCAGATTCGTGGCGCGACAAGGAGCTCTGTGGATCCACAGGAGATGAAGGAGGTTTCTCTGCAGTCAGTTGATCACAAGACTTCATCATCATTGTTTCAAGAAATAAGAAAATGATAATTCTGAAAAGGCTAAAAGATTTATTTCCTACATCATATTCTAATGCCTTGATTTTCACTGTGAGACAAGCATTGATTGCAATTGGACAGTGGTAACCAAGCTATAAAAATAGAATAAACATGAATGATGCACATGATGTATGAATTGTCAATCGTTTATGTAAGGTAAGTGCAAATAGAAAGGTGAAACATTGAAACATTAAACCTTGGAGTACTCTTCGAGGCATGGTTGGGGACAAGCATTCTGGTTGAAATTGAACTTGAACCATGTCGATCAATATTACCAAGGCCAAATATGAGTTCAATATTGCTATGTGGTTTTGTATTTACTAATTCTTTGTTGTTGTCAATTGATGCGTTGGAAAACAAAAAATGGAACTTGGAAAAGCATTCTATTCTAAATTCTAATTTCTAAGGGTGTCCCATAGAATTGATCGAAAACAATGTAGTAATAATATTGTCGGATATTTCAATTGGGGGACATTATAGATGCGGTCGAATACAAAATTAACATGTAATATTTGTCTACTCTTTGATTGTTAAGTTATAAAAAAAATAAAAAAGTGTGAGAGGGATTCACTTTAATTTTCTCTATCACTGTGACAAGTTGGAGCACTTTCAAGCTTGGTTTGAAACATTCTCAGTTCATTCTTTTGTTCCCTTCTAAATTTCTAATGCCGCCTTGTCTTGCCACATGTCACTTTCTGGGTCCGTGATAGTTTCTCTCTTCCCAGTTACCACCGATGGACCCGTAGGCCCCACTTTTTTGTATTTATTTATTAATTTAAGAGCCCAGGCCCAAGGCTCGTCATGCCAATTCCTTCTACCCTAATTTCCTTGGAATTAATATTTTAACATAAAAACTTATAACATAATTCTTAAGTTTTTATTTTAAATTATTTTTTTATTTTTTTATACTTCTATCAATCTATTAACAATTTAGATCTTATACATCAAGTATATAGGTTAAAAAAATGTAGTTTCTGATTAAAATAATAAAATAAATATTAATACTTTTTATATGGTCGGTACTTCTTTTAAGATAAATATATTATACAAACTTTAATTTAATATTACAATGTAAATAAATATGTAATTATCAAACATGGATTTTTAAACGAAATATAATTCTAAATAAATTTTATTAAAATGTTTTTTATTTTTTAAGTGTATGTATTTTGAGAGAAGAAAAAGACAAAAGAAAAGGAGAAAAATTAATAAATTTAATAACTAATATGATAGAAATAAACAAATTAAAAAAATTAAAATGTATTTAAAAATTAAAACATAGTGACAGATAATAATTTAAAAAATATTAATGATATAATTAAAATTATGTCAAATATTATCAAATGATAAAATCAGAATCTACGTTATAAAATAAAATAAAAAACACATGACTTAATTACAAAATTGTAAGTCAAATTCAATAAATATGGAGCAAAACTCATTAATGTGAGTTTTAACAAATTTAAAATAATAACTTTTAAATAGGTGTTTTAAAAAAATTATGTATTCTTAACATTTTTCCTTTACATATGTAAATTTTATATTAATTTTCAAGCAGCGTTCATAAAAACCATGCATGCATCCTTCACTTGTCATTCAGACTGATGTTTCTCTTTTCTTGTTAATATTCGACACATCATAAGTAAGCATTTCATTATATCAATATGAATCACATATTTAACTCAATTGTGTCATTTGGTATACCACATAATAATTTGAACTATATTAATAATCTATAATTGAGTCTCTTAAATATTGTGATTAAGATTTAATTCTTATATATTGATTAAAAGCCTTTGATTGATGCATTAAAAAATCATTTAAATCAAAAAGGAAAAATCACACGTTTTTTAACATACATAATTCCTTTTGCTTTAAATTTTACACAAAATAGTATTAAATCAAAACAAGATAATGATAAAAGTGTGGTTGTGGACAATAATTGGTAAGGATGATAAAGTTTATGATTTTTCTTAATCAAACCCGTAAATTGAGTTGTGGTCGCCCCCATTTAATTGGAGAATGGATAACTTCAGGGGATGATGGGGAGCTGCAGTCACCCTATGCATAGTCGCAGTCCATAGCTACATTATTGCAAAATAAAAATGTTATATAAAAGTGAGAGGACTTTCTTAATACAAAAAAATAAGAAAGATAAAATTTACCTTATAATCATAATTAGATTAAAAGTTTTTAATCATCATATAATCATTTAAAAATGTTACATAATGACTTGACATTAAGACTTGTTATTTTTATTCTCATATTAAATACTTCTCCCATTTTATACATTCACTACTTGTAAGAGTTAGTCTTGCTATGTTGGTATTTTTTTATTTAAATATAATTATTTTCAGTGAAAAGTATCTCTGATCTAAATTAAAAATTTATATATAATACAATTTTGTGTACATTACACGGTATAAATATTTATACTGTATGAGAATAAAATTTTTATATGAAAACATAAAAAAGTATTTATTTTATTATAAAAGTGAAAATTTTACACAAAATCATATTAGTATTTAAATTATAGGAGAAATATTTTGATCGTAAATACTTAATTTTTATTTATATATAATATTTAGGTCTGCTTTAAAATTATATTTTTATTTATATCTTCACCCGTGGATCACACCGATGAAGCTACAATAATAGTGTATATATATAGAAACACTAACCCATGCAAGAAAAGGAACATTTGGCACTTACATATGTTAGGGACCATTTGTTAACCCAATCCAAACGAATAAAGAAGAACACCACTTTGGTATTGGAAGGTGATTGGATTTGGATGTTGAAGTGGACTGCTTTAAGTTTGTTCATGCACGTCATTGAAGACACAATTTTGGCTCTGCATGCTTTGACTCCATCAATAATTGGGTCATAATAGTAAGCTTATGTGAACCAACCTCACTCTATGCAAACTGTTGCCAAAGATAAACATCAACTGTAGTCTATAAGTGACCCCTCACCGAACAGCCTTCAATTAAGAACAAGCACATCCGGTTCAGATTATATTATATATGCATGAATATGGAAAATTAAAACTACTCATAATTTATTAATTAAGCTTGATCTTTTAAATCCTTGTAGTGTTATTAAAAAGTTTGATTTTTATTCCCCCTGGTTTTAATTGCTACAACATCATTAATTCTTTGAAACTTTACATAAATCAGTGCTGATCTTGGAATTTTAATTTTCTATTGGGCCTTCTTGTTGTTCTCCGTACTTACTTTGATCTTTGTATCTTGAATGTAAGGGAAAAAAGTAATTAATTAAATTTATCCTATTAATTAGGCACAGATCAATAACAATTAATTGCTCCATTTTATTTTGAATTGGGATTTTGGACTCTGTCAATCTGTCCCCAAATAGGTTGCATATATAATCAGATCACAGTGCTAATTATAAAATTCATTATGGTTAACACCTAAGTAGGATCTCCACCTAATAATAGAGGCGAAAGAAAGGATAAAGTCCCTTATCAATGGTATTTAGTCTTTAATAAAAGGGATATGTATATTAAACGATATTATGTCAAATTTAACATTTTATAGGGTGAATATTATAGAGGTTATATTTTAAGTTGCAATATTTAGGGAGTTCAGAGCTCTATATTAGCGATTATAATTAAAACCAATATAAAAAAATGGCGAGTCAATAAAATTAAAAATGGAGAATGAAAGAGGTTGTGGAAGAAGTAGGCATTGAAAAGAATAGATTGATCCTCGCCTGTTCAAATGTGAAACACGTTTCAGGTCTGCCACGTATTGAATATGAACTATAGTAAAAACTTAGGTCATTCATGCTAAAATTCTTAGAATTAAATAAAAAAAAAATTCTTTTGCCACTCTCTTATGAAGATGTTGTGATTTCAATATAAATTTGTGATGTACTACATATGAAGATCAGTAATTTAGTGATGATGAAAAGTTTAAATTAAATTTGTGATTTCAATATTTTTTTTGGTTTTTATATTTTAAGATTTTTTAAAAATATTGTTTTTTAATACCTGATAATATACTTAAATTTGATTAATGATGCTTATAATAATGGTTATAGTAAGCTTTCTGATAGTCTTTTTCTCATATAATTGACATTAAAGATTCTCAGTGCACTTTTAATACCACAGTATAAGAAATTGCTATTAATACACTTGAATTTAATGATGATTTTTTTAATAACTTTTATTTTAGGTCTTGACATTATTTATCACATTGATTTGACAAAAAGAACTGTTATTTTAAAATGCTATTAAAATTAGTTTTTAGTACTGTTATGCAAGTTTCTCACGGATTACATACATTTTTTTTAAGTTTAAATAAAAAATTAAAATAAAAACATCTGAATAATACGACTATGATAAAAAATAATAATAAATTATATATTTCAAGGAATAATAAAATATATTTCATTTAAGTCAAGACACATTAATTTTATGTCTATTAATTTTATATAATGTATCAAATTCAAATTTTAAAATGAAAATCAATCTGACATTATAATAATTTTAAAGTCTATTTTTTTTTTAAGAAATAGATCTCTTAAATTTTATAAGGTTATGTAAAATTTTAAATTTTAAATTGAGATTAAGGGTCTACTTGGTTAAGCTTTTAAAAAAATAATTTAAAGATAATATAAAAATATTTTTTATCAAATTTATAACAAGCAAAAGTTATACTTTATTCTGTTACAATAGTAAAGCATTTTTTATTTTAAAACGTAATTATAAACATGAATTTTTTTAAAGATGTTGTTTAAAGCAGTTTCTCAAAATAATAAAAAAATTATTTTTCCTAAAAAAACTTAAACAATTTTTTTGAAGATAGATGCAAATTTTTAATAGAAAAATTAATAAAAATATTCCAATTAAATTTAATGAATAATATTAAAGAATAAAAAAAAAACATAAATGATGATTTTTTTTGTCATAGAAAATTTTCTAATTCAAAATAAATATCTAACTTTGTGTAATAGAAATAATCATCTTAGCTCATTTGTGCCACGCTAGGAATTCTCATCCTCCATTCTTTCTTATCCTATGCAGTTGTAAAAATTTGACTTATTTAAATGGAAGACAAGAATATGACTCATGATGTCTTTATCCTAATATTGAAGAGATATCTCTTTTAACGTTTATTTATTTATTTTTCTCTTTTTGGACAAAGCTGGTTCATTTGAAAAAGCCATTGATGGAATAGCCGACCCCAACTTGCCGGTGGATACCAAATCAATAACCAAAAGTGAATTTAGTATATATTCCATTAAGTTTTCAATTAATTGCCATGTTTTAGTTCTGTGGGGTTAGTTTATGATCCAATTCTGTAAAACTATTAGTCATCTAAATGGAAGACAGCAATATCACTGATAGCAACCAATGATGTTTTTATCTTCAAAGTTTATATTTTATAAGCTGTTCATGGAATAGAATAGACTACCCCAACTCTATTGTAAGCAGAAAATTCCAAACTCAAACGTTTTTATTTTACATAATCATTGTTAATATCCCAGTAAGACTCAGTTAATGACAAATTTGACTGGCTATGAACATTGAGTTGATCTTGACATGCATACAATTCTTTATTCTTTATTAGAAACATAGTTTCAGCGATTATGATGAGAGGATGCGGCAAAATAAAAAACTATCATTTCCTCTCATAAAAAGGCAAAAGTATCTGATTTCTGGCTGATATTATCGAGGAGGCAGGGCCAAGAAAACAATAATAAAAGAACGCAAAAGTTTATTCGCACCCATTAAATTAATAAGTATTAAATGGGCTCACAAATAAAAATAAATAAATATGATAAATGTTATAACATAAATATAAAAATATAATACTCAATTCTTTGGAGTTTTATTTTTTTATCACTTTAAATTCATGTTCTAAATGTAATAGGCATATATTTTTTTTCATTTTTAATGTAATATATTTTCTTTCTTCGTTAACAATTTTAATCGCATAACTCATTGTATAACAGTTACTTATATTTAAACAAATTATATTAAAGAGTTGTGTTTAAGAGAGAAAAAAAAAATTTGTTTAAGAATTTCTTAATTAGGATGTGTTCCTGTTAAGATAACAAAGGTCTTCAAGTCTCTGACGTATTAGTTTCTCTAACCGTTACTGTTACTGACGTGGGAGGGTACCTGCAAAAGACACTGCGATGTTGAAGTCAGGATTCGATTCTGAGTAATAAATACTATTTAATAATGAAAAGTCAACTCTTTACCTGTTTTTATCTTCCTTATATAGGCACTGTAATGGGACAATAGGCCTATCGAGCCAGTCTTCATTTTAGCCCTATATTTAAAATAAATAATATCTTGATTATTACCTTTAATTGGGTTAATTACTTTTTAATCCTGACGAGGGGTATCCAGCCTATTATGCCGAATAGATACTCAGTTTCTTTTTTTTACAAGTAGAACCGAGTTGATCTTTATCCAGTACAAGAAATATTTAGGAAGTTTTTTTCAAATCCTTTAAAGTTTTTCTTAATTAAATTTTTATAATATAAGAGTTTTTTTTTCTAGCACTCTCTTGTATACTTAGGATTTTAATTTTTTTTTAAATATTAATTTTTAAAGTGATTTTTTTTTAAAAAAAGTATAAAAAATAAAACTATTAATTTTAAAATTATTAATTTTTAGAAAAAAATATTTACTTTTTATAAAAATATAAAATATAAAATATAATAATATCATTTATATAATTAAACCTTTAATCACTTTTTTTTCTCAATATTAAACATTCTAATAAGCGAAATTTATCCTAATTTCTTCAATACCTTTAAACTTCCAAACAAAATTTAAAAACTCTAAAACATTAGTAAAGTTCATTAAATTGTATTAAAAATGACAATAAAAATGCATTCGTGAATATTTTTAACAAATTTTTTCACTTTTAATTATTTAGTCATTACTCTTAACGTTAACACCTTAGTTAAGATAACCAAAATGAGATTACGCGTTTTGCAGCTTGATTATGTAACCTGGGAGCACGAAACCATCTTTGGCAAGAATCTGGTGCAATTTGCAACCACCACTGGCCATAGATACCATTGGTGCCCCAACACCTAACACTGCCCATTTCTGCAGTAGAAATTCGATGCCTTTGGAATGACCCACCATTTTTTTAAGTTCACATTTCACAGCATGATTCGAATTTCTTTTATATGATCTTTTTTATTTGAGGTGACTGTGAATAAGAAAAACACATATGGTACTATAAAGCAATTCATTCCCTTTTCTTCACTTTGCTTCAAGGGATTTTAGAGGGAAAGATTTTAGGAAGAAGGATCTTTAGATAAAAACATAATTTTACACTGATTGGTATGCATAAGAAAAAAGAGAGAAAAGAACACAAATAAATACGCTGCTCTGACATCAATATTTTATTTTAAGTTTGTTGTTTAAACTATGAAGACATTGAATATGACACTGCATATATTTTTATTTTTATCTATTTTATATGCATGTATCTTAAATTTACATAAAAAATCACACACACAAAAACTATGAAAATATCCCCATCAAAATGTAAAAACATTTTTATTTTGCTCTCATGTGCCGGAAAAAAAAAAGGATAGAGTGAACAAGTTAAGCAATAATAAGACTGAGGATGTTTTTTTCAGTAAAATTCCCTTTTCACTGAAAAAAAAATATCTTAAAACCTCCGTTGCATTCTCTCATAAAATATATAACTTATGTTTCCAAGTTAATCAACGACAATCTAAACACGTTATTAATGCTTTTCACTTAATAAATTTTTATAAAACTTTTTGTGCAAGGGATAAAATAATAATTGTGAAATATGCATTAAATGTTTAAATCTCTATTAATTCACATAAAAATCTAGATTCATTACCCTAGTTAACATACGATATGTTAAAAAAATACTAGAAAATAATTTAAAAGGTCAAGTTAAATTTTCAAAAAGAAAGAGGATTAAACTTTTAAAAAATTGTATCAAACAAACAAGTCAAAATGATATCTTTTCATTCCTATTTCTAATTAACGTGAAGGAAGTTTCTTTCCAAATGCCTAAATAATATAACATATTTTGAAAATTCTCCTTATTAATTGACATAGTAAAAAAGTGAGAAAGCACAGCCTCGATCAAGTCGAGACTCACAACACTGAGCAGAAGAAGGAAATGGTCTTTGCTAAGAAAGCGTATAACATATTCCATTTCTCATAAATTGTTACAAATGAATTATATGTACAATCTCAATGTTCATAACCAGCTTTGCACGAAAGCAACATTTGTTTTGGCAGAAAGCTGATATGATTAAACAAGTAATAACTCATTTCTCTACCTTCTCCGGCCCCTTAAATATATTAACTTCAAAGTCCAAAATAGACCAGTGATTCCTTCTATACCGTAATAATTGTATCCACTGAACACCTGTATCCATTGAAACTTTCCATCTACAAAATAACCCAACCCTCCTTTATACGTCACATTTGAATTGAAACTTCCCCTTGTACCACTTAATTCTACGTTTTGATGACATAATATGAATAACAACCTATGGAAAGCCATTGTTTTTCTTTGTCAAGAAGCTATGAAAGCTTAGCTAGTGACCTAACTATCCCATTCTCAATTTCATTTAATTAAATTATATATCTCTCTAAAGTTATGCATCAAGAGTTGTGGTCAAGAAGAATCATATATACGTAGGATTATAGGAGTATGTTCTAATTTTAGTTTACACTTACTAGTCTCACCAAATTAAAACAAGTTTGATGTTGGATAAAAGGGTGTTAATTAAGGGTACTTCTTCCAACTGGAAGAGAAGGAACAATTAAACACACATAATTAATAATACCACCGAGTAATTTGTCGATTCATGAAACTATTAACTAAAAGAAGACTAGTACCATAACCTAGACAGCTGCCATTTTGATTTGAGGTTTGAAAGCCAAAATTTTCTAGTGCGTATAATAAAAACTTTGGGTTGATGAGAACCCAAATAATTCGAGAACATTTGGATATATCATCTCTCATTAGCTGTCATGGTCCCCACATTCAGCTATCCCTCCACCAAAGACAAGTCAACCCATATCTCTCTCTTGCACTCTACACGTTTGTAAATTTTTTTTCCCAACCACTTCCACCACCTCCAAAACCCAATGTTCCTTCACATTCATAATTGCCTCCTCTTAAAGCACTCCCTATATATATAGTTTCACAACTTTGCATGCACTTCATTCCTCACCAAATTCTTCTCTTGGCTTTTTTTGTCCCTCTATTTCTCTCCACAATTGGTTGATATTTTCCAACCAAATTGATTAACCCAAATTTAGGCATCACTTGCTGGAATGGCAAATGAGATACTCACTGCCTTTTTCCTCATAAACTTTGTGGTTGTGGCCTTTGCTGGCAACTTCAACCAAGACTTCGAGATAACATGGGGTGATGGTCGTGCCAAAATCCTCAACAATGGGGAACTTCTCACCTTGTCCCTAGACAAAACCTCTGGCTCTGGATTTCGTTCCAAAAATGAATACTTGTTCGGAAAAATTGACATGCAACTAAAGCTTGTGCCTGGTAACTCTGCGGGCACAGTCACAGCCTATTATGTAAGGGTCCTTACTTGCATTTGTTTCTTTATTAATTAATCTTTTGCTATATAAATGTTGATTTAACAATCAAATAATATTAACCATATTATATTTGTTTGCAATTGTGGCAGCTATCTTCTCTTGGGAATGCTCATGACGAAATAGATTTTGAATTTTTGGGTAACTTGAGTGGCGATCCTTATATTCTTCATACAAACGTATTCACACAAGGGAAAGGGAACAGAGAACAACAGTTCTATCTTTGGTTCGACCCCACCAAGGACTTCCACACATATTCCATTCTTTGGAATCCACAGAGCATAATGTATACATATCCGTACACCTTAATCTCTTATACACATGCCCTACTTCATTAATTGAATTGAATTGCTAAAAAGGGAAAAAGAAAACATAAATTACTTTTTTATTCATTATAACTTAATGGGTGTCGCTAGCTCATACTTCAAAATATGCTAATTGACTTTTTTTATTGAAAAACACGTTATATACATTAAAATACGGTAGAATAAACTATGACTAGACTAAATCTATCTTAATTTTATGATTAACCCCTTTTTTTCTCTCATATTAGATTCTCTGTGGACGGGACACCCATAAGAGAGTTCAAGAATCTTGAATCAAAAGGGGTTACATTTCCCAAGAACCAAGCCATGAGGATATATTCGAGCCTTTGGAATGCTGATGATTGGGCCACAAGGGGTGGCCTAGTGAAGACTGATTGGAGCAAAGCCCCATTTACTGCATCTTATAGAAACTTCAATGCCCAAGCATGTGTTTGGACTTCTTCTTCAGGCTCCTCTTGCTCTTCCAACAATCCATCATCAAACCAATGGATGAAACAATCACTGGATGCAACAGGGCAAGCTAGAATTCAATGGGTGCAAAAGAACTACATGATTTACAACTATTGTACTGACACTAAGCGTTTTCCACAAGGCCTTCCTACCGAATGTTCACTCGCATGAAAACAGAGAACTACTTCTTAATGTTATAGAACCCTATCACACCCTCACATGTTCAATCTTTTATGTGTCTTGTATAAATTTTAATAAAAGAATAGGATCCTCCTTTATATTTTATTGTTCATTACATTGTCCGTAAAATAGTATTCAAATGAGATTCGTTGTAATTTTGGTTATTAATAAATTTGTTGAGAGACTCATAAATTTAAGAAGCTTTGTGGACTCACGGTTGCTTTTCTTCATCTTCTTCCACCAAAAGTCAGAGGTCAAATAAAAATCTTAGAAGAAACAGAATGTAGAATGGCTGAATTAATATTAAAGAAATACAGAATTCAAACAGGAAAACTGTCTAGACTTTGTCAATAGTTCGACAAAATAAAGAATAATTTTTACCAAACTGTTGGTTTGACGGAAGGAGAGTGGATTTTTAAAAAGAATGATTGTTATTTATTAAGTCTTATAAAAAGTATATTAATTATATTTTTAATTAATATGAAATATCTTAATATGCCTTCTCATATTTAAAATTAGAGATTTAGTATGTAAATTTTGTAAATTTGAATTTTTACAAATGACTTAATATTAAGATTAAGTCGACTTTGATACTATAATAAAAAATAGAATTTAACTCACTCCTTAAAAAATAACTAAAAAAAATTGACTTAGTATTTATAAACTCCATTTTAAATTATAATTGATGTACATGTAAATGTTATTTAATTTTTCTTTTACTCTAGTAATACTTATAAAATCATATAATATTATACTACTATTTTTACTTTATTTTTATTTTTAACCCAGCAAGAAAGCCCTAAACCAAATATAGAGTTATGTTAGTGTGGATCAATAAAAATCCACATGAATATTAAATTAGCAAATGCACGTGCTTGATTGATTTTTTTTTTTTTTCGTTCTCTGTTTCTTTACTGTATATATAATATCAATTTGAGTAAATATTTGAAATATTGGTTTGGATTTGATTTTTTTTCTTTATTAAAAATTTTACATAGTTTATATAAATTTTATCAAATTATTAAAAATATAAAGAATTATGGAGATATATTGGTTTAAGATTTTATAGGATTTTAAAAGACTTTTTTTAAGTAAAAAAGTCCGTTGATATTTAATCAAAATTTTATGTCACTTAAAAATAATCAGTAGTATTCAATCTAGATTTTTAAGATTTTTTAAAGAGTCCATTAAAATTCATTGATATTTATTTGAGACTTTTTACAACTTAAAAATAATTTATTGATATTAAAAATATAAAAATTTTAAAGGATTGTTGTATTAGAAAGATTTTGAAGGATTTTTTAGTGGTATCTATAAATACCAAATTCATAAAACAATTACATCCAAACCTATCAAATTTTATAATATTATTTGAAGTGACTTTTCAAGTGCTTCAAGAATTTTTAGGTGAGTTTTTATCTCTTTTCTTTTTTATGATCCTGTCTTTTTTATTTTTTTTTCTCTACTAATAATACTGTATTACTATTCTCATTTTATTCCCTTATTTGGTGAAAACATAAATGACATTACTATTAACTTTGTTCCTCAAATATATAGCACAAAAAACGCTTGAAATTTCAACTTTTAAGTAATAATTTTTTTATAACATGCATTAAGGTAAGTGCTTCATAGTTGTAATAAGGAGGAACGGACTTAAAGTGGCTCAAGGTAAGTGCTTATTTTTTAAATAATAATACTAATTATTATTATTATTAGTATATTAATATTAATATATTGCATATGTAATTAGGTAAATATTTTTTTGTGGATTGTGGATTTCTTAATTAACGCCAATTTTTAGCTCCATTTCGAGATGTAAGATACTATCTACAAGATTTTGCATGTCAGGGTAATAACCCTGTAAATGAGAAAGAATTGTTCAGTCTTCGTCATGCGTCTCTAAAGAATGTGATCGAGAGAATATTTGGTATTTTTAAATTAAAGTTCACAATATTTAAGTTAATACTTCCATTTTTATTTAAGACACAAGTAGAACTTGTATTAGCATGTACAATACTACATAACTTTCTTCGCAAAGAAAGTCGTTCTTATAAATTTCTAATTGAACCAATGGACGAACCTTCATCTTTAACATTACCGGTTAATAAAGATCATAATTTCGAGTCTATTATTCAAACTCAGGAACAAAACTGAGAAGACGCTAATATTTAGAAAACTAGTATAACTATGAATATGTGGGTGAATACTATTTAGAAAGATATGATATTACGAAAAATTATTATTATTTATTCCGATATTTTTTATTATTTTTGTCTTTGACTCTTTTTAAATTTGAATATATGAAAAAAAATCTTGAACTCTTTATGTCAAAAATCTGCAAAATTTACAAAGTCACGTACAATCTAACTATTAAAATTCTGACTTAAAAGTCTTGTAGAATTTATTACAATCTTAATTTTAAAGTCTTGCAGAATTCTACAAAGTCTTAAAAGTCATGAAAATCCTATAAAGTCTTTTAAAATATGCAAGACTTTTTTTAATTAAAAAAATTATTTAAAATCCTAATCCAATACACCTTCAGATTTATCAAAATACATCTAATACAGATTTAAATTAATCTCCTAAAACACATTAAATACAAAACTCAATTTACAAATAGAAATTTAAATCAATTATCATCCCAAACAATAATTTCCAATTCAACAGAAGAAATAAAATTTAAATTGAGATATGACGTTGCTAAGTAAATATCATTGACATGAAAATTTCTTAAGTAAAATTATTTAATATACATCTTAAATTTAGTTTAAATTGAACTACTTCTTTAATTTTATTTTTAAAAATTGATCTAATTAAATTTTTGTTTAATGCGATTGAATTAATTGAGATTTGAATATCTCTACGATATGAATACTGATTCTTAAGAATAAAGACAATGGAAGATCCATGTATTCTTGGGATAGTAAATGAATAGAAAGGAGAAGAGAAACCCATGTGCTGACTAACTGGCTTTGAGACTAGATTAGTGCTACATATGACAATTAGTACTTGAGATTAGTATCGTCCGTGGCAATGCAGAGAGAATAATTCAATAAGACAAAGTATATGATGGCCAAGACAGAGATAAATGAGATACACCCTCATCTCTAGATTCCGATTTAGGTTGATTGCTTAACCAAAAACTAGCTTAATGCAAAATGTTGGACAAACAATAACGATGAATTTTCAGCCATATTTTAATTTTTGGGGGACTAATTTCAGTAATTTATAAGTGTGTCAAGCTCAATTGGTTTGGATAATTTAAATTAGAAGCGCCCAGGGTCCTACGAATATTAGTTGAGTTAAATGAAAAAACTTATTAAAAGGTGTAACAACGGAATTCTCGTGTGATTTTTAGTGAACCCCTCCACATGATATCATTGAAACTTCTCATTTATTAATTCCTTAACTCAGAACAATAATTACCAGGATCCATTGTTAAAAAAGACGATTGTTACTGAAACAGTTAAATAGGATATCTATTCTGCTATAGAACAGTGGCCACACAGAAGTTTGAATTTTGAATTCAAATACTAAATAGAGAAGGAAATGAAGCAAGGGTGGCTTCAACTTTACACACACGGTGTACCGGGGCACATCCTCGGAGTTGCCTGAAAAATTGACATAGCGTATTAATTTATTCACATACCAGTTCTACATTTATCCGCATTTCATCTTAGTCATTGTGCAATTTTTTTACCAATTCCAAGAATACCAAGCCAAGCCAAGTATGATTCACTCATGAGAACATTGCAGGTGGACCAAGTAGTCTCAAAACGACAATTCAGTTATGCACCCTGACCAAATTCACTTGAAGGATATCGGTATTCCCCATTATTAATGGGACAAGTTTGACACAAGCAACATAAATGTGACAAAGGCTACAGTTAAATATTCAGCTGGTACGCATACAAGACTTCCATTAGGTTCAGTTTGGCTGGATGCATGTTTCCCTAAAACTCATGGAAATGCAATCCATTGGCCCATTACTATCAAGCAAAAAATGGACTTCTGAAAAGATGAGCTTGCCAAACTCAAAGCCTTTCTGCCTGTGGAAGTTAAAACTTTGGTATTAGGAACTGTTTAAGAATGGCCTTTTCTTCATCAATTTTTTTTTTCTCTACGTCCTTAGGTTTCAGTATTCTTTTCTCTCCCAGCATCCACTTAAAAATTTCACGTTGTTGTTCTTCAGGGATAGGAGCTCGTATTTGCACAGGTGCTGGGACAGGCATAAAGAAATCATCATAATCTAAATCATTTGAACTTGTGATGGGTTCAGGAGGAACTTCAACGGCAGTTTTTCCCTTATTTCACTTTTGTGCTGTTCTTCCATTAATTTCCACTGAATCTCTTCGCTTTGCCCTAACAAATAGAAAAGCTGCAAATAATGGAGCCAAAAAAAAAACTGATCAGTACATTTCAAAATGTCCCCTAAACCAAAGTGCAAAAGTCATATATGCTTAGGTAGCCATTCACATTTTGTCTTAACATTCAAAGTCTGGAAAGGATATGAGCAGTTGAAGACCAAACAAATAAATGCTTTTTTACCTATGATGTAACATCGTTTGATCTGAACAGGAATAATCTTGTTATCTGTCAAACGTGACCATTTTCACTTTATCCATTTTAAATTAAAAAAATCCTGAAGTCATTAGATTTTTCTCTAATGGATTAAATCATCAGTAATTGGTGATGACAGCTAGGCCTTGACATTGCAGTTGGAATAACTCAATTGACCAATGATTTCACAGGCGGAATTATTGAACATATATATTCCATCAAACTCCAAAATACTAAGGCATTATTTACAAAAGACATCAATCACTAAACTGTCAGTTTCTCACATTTTCATCAATGTAACCAAGAACCAAAAAGAAAAACAGAAGACAGACCCACTCATTTTTAGACTCAACACATTAACATTTTTGAAAATTAATGTTAGGCAAGTCCAAATAGTACCAGTTCTCCATCACAAACAAATTATTCATGTTAAAAAATGGGACTAAATACCAACACCCACCAGCAATAATAAAAAAGATGACCTGCACTGGTGGTGCTCACCTTTCCTTGTCTGTTTCAGTGTCCAAAGAATCTTCTTTGTTGGCTGGCGTCAAACATTTAGTTTAGCGTAATACATTCACTGTAGTACTTGTCTCCCCTTGATGAATTGACTGAGAGAAACTCGTAACGTCAAATGAAATTGGAAGCTTGACTAATAAAATATCAACGATGGACTGTGCACTATCACCAACAAAGCTTGAGTTTGAAAAAGAGCCTACTACGCACTATCATCAATAATTCAAGATCCATTCTTTTGTATCGTTGTGATGGTAACCACGCCAACAATGTAAATGGTTTGAAAATGAATAAAGTTGTCATACTTCTTAAATATAGCCTAGTGATATCCCAATATGAGTTGAAGTATTATAAGACAATCCCACAGGTTAAAATCCAGGAATTTGAAAAGTTTCTAATTGAAAAGCTATAAGAAATCTTATATCCTCCATATTATCATTTTTCAGCCTCATAACAAAGGTAATCATCAAGCATTTAAAAGCTATTTCATCATATGAATGACAGTGAAAAATATCTTGGAAGGCATAGACAAAGCCCCTTAAACCACAAGTCAAATTGCTTTTCGATTGGAGCAGAGATCAATTATCACAATAAACTTCAAAAAAATTCATAATGATAACTAAAAGAGTATGACAAACAAGTCATGGAAACACAACCCCATAACAACATCAATGAAATTATGCAGCACGTGATTTTAATTTCTTCAGGCGTTTGACAGACGGGGAAACACCCTTTATTGCCTTCCTGGCCTTCTTCAGTTTTGTCTTTTTGGTAGGAAGAGGCATCTCCCTGATGGGACCCGGGGGTACACCCTTTTTGAGTGCACTTCCTCTGGGTGTAACAGAGGGAGGCAGTCTCAAGCTCTGAGGAGGTAAAGGATTGTGTGGCTTCCACACCAAGTTATTTTTCATGGAAAATCTTACCTTCTTTGTACTTTTCTCCCCACTCTTTGCAACTGCAATGTCCTCAGCATCTCCACCGTCCAAATCAAAATCCTGAGATGTCTTTCCTTTTAATTTCTTTGTTCTCTTTCTCTTCTTAGATACAGTTCCCGTTGATCTAGCCTCAGGGGTATCACACGCACTTGCAACTCCATCATCCAAACCAGCTTCCTCAGCAACCTTCTCAAATTGCTTTTGCAGGTTCAAAATCACAGTTTCATTCAACGATATCATGCTTTCGTCATTAACTTGTTCATCATTTGAAGTTCCACCATTTTCACATGCCACATTTTCCTTGTCATTCTCAGCAGAATTCTTCTCACAAGCCAAATCCGACCCATTACCCTTCTTCTTCTTCTTCTTCTTCTTTGCTTTTTTGCCACCATCATCCTTCTCACACTTCTTCAACACCTTACCATTAGTAACAACCTCAGCAAGTCCCAAGTCACCTCCCTCCACACCATTACCAATGGGAACCAAATCCGGCACTTCCTCATCATCCTCATCAACAACATCAGGAATATGAAACTCAAACCCAGAAGCCGCCGCATCCTTCTCCAGCTTCAAAAACTCCGAATGCAAACTAAACAGCACCTTCCTATTCCCCTGACAACATTCAGGAGAAGAACCCAATTCATAAAACTTGCCAGAAAAACCCATAACAAACGCAATCGTCCCAAAAACCACAACATCATCATCAGAATCAACCTCATCCCCTCCCTTCTTAACCTCAAACAACCTCTTCCCCATTCTCAACAATACATCGAACACACCAGACCTAACCTTCCCAAGCAAAACCTTATCCGAAAACTTCCCCATAGCAGAAATAAACGGCTTCAAAAGCACCTCAAGAACCTGCGGTTTAAGAGGAAGAAAAGCCCTGAGCTCTTCGAGAAAAACAGTGGCAATGTGGTAATTAACCCCATTCCCCTGTAACTTATCATGAGCAGAGAAAGTTTCTTCATCCAAAACCTCCATAAGTCGCTGCACGAGCTCCAAATCCCATCGATTCTTCTTCAAAAGAGAGAAAAACTTGGAAATAAACCTACGAATGAGAAGGTAGAACTTGTCTAACCTAAGCGCGTCGATCCCCGACCACTCGCGACGCATGGTGAGTAAGAAGGTGGAGAAGTACTGAACGGAGAGAGAGAGATCGAGCGATAAGAGAAGAGAAGAAAGACGATCGGTGAGGTCGGATTGAGCGAGAGGCTTGTCGGCGTGCCACATGCAGTAGAAGAGACCTTTCCATAGCTTTTTGGCGTCTTCGTCGGAGAGAGGTTGGGATTGCGATGGAAGCCATGATTTGAGGAGAAGTCGAAGAGCCTTTTCTCTGGTGGTTTTGTTGCAGTATGCGAGCTGCTTTATGAGGGAGCGACCAACCTTTGAGATATGATTCTCCATTCGTATGGTGCGGGAAAACCCTAACCAGAAGGAGGAAGAGAGACTTTGAGAGTGAAAACGTTGAATTGCAACGGTTTTAAGAAAACCCTAACGGGTCACCACGGCTTATTGGGGCTGCCCCGATCTGGGTTAGATTCTAGCCGTTGTTTCTTATCTCTCCTACAATAACTTTATTTACAATAACTTTTTGGTGTTTTCGCTAAAACAAGTATATATTTTAATCAATGTATTCGTAGAAGAATATATGATCAAAGTTTTATAATGCAAAAAATTAAATCAAATAAATTTGGTTTTAAAAGAATGACTTTTTTATTTAATAATTGTATAATAATTTTTTAAAATAATGTATGACTTATTTATGAAAAAATTATTTAATTTATTTTACATATTTATTTTATATCATAAAACTGAATTTAAATAATTTTTTTGTATCATTAAGTTAAATATCAAACATATATAGTTTATACATGTGTAATCTATATATCTTAGTTATCTTTATTTTTGATTATTTTAATTGTTAAAAACGTATTAACAATATACTCTTTTAAATATATTCATTATTATAGATTAAAAATTATGCAAATTTTACTGTCAATTTCATGACTCTTATTTGTTTTTAATAGAAAAAAAAAGAACAATAATAAAGTTTAAGATATTAAATATAAATTATTAGAACAATTATAAGAAGACTAAATATCATTTAAGTCTCCCAGAAAGTTTGCATCGTGTATTTTAGTCTTTAAAAATTAAAAAAGATCACGTTTGTTTTTTATTTTTATCTTTGTCAGGTATTTAAGTTTATAGACTTAGTCGTCGTTAATAGATAGTAATGGAATGTTGACATATTACGTTAAGTGATGCGTATTATTGCTTATATGTCAAAACGACGCTAACGTGTCATTGATTATGTGACAACAATAATGTTATATGTAGTATAGTATATGTTTTTGTTTCATTTTAATTATTGAGATTATAACTCATCGGACATTTTACTTCTTAAAATTGTTACCGACAAACATTTTAATCCATGAAATAATAATTTGTTGCTTTATGTGTTTGTTTTGCTTTCATCTTTATATCTTTCTTTCACATCCTCTTTAACTTCTTCTTATGTTAATATGATTACACACTCTTATTCTTCATAGTTTTCCTTTGTATATATTCATGCATTCATATCCAGTATTTGAGCTTCACTTGAACACAAAATTTTGAGTTGTAAGTGATGAAGTTATTCGTGTGAGTGCAATTTATTACATGGATGTAACTTGAAATGATAGGTTGGATTCTGAACAGCAACGACTGGTTTTGATGATACTGCAATTTACAATAGGTTAGGACAATGACAAAGATTTCAGCATGACTTTTCTATCATTTGACGAGTGCAATTGTCACGACCCCTTTTTATAAGAATTAATGACATTCTAAATTACCATTTCCAATTTAATTTCAAATATAAGTCAATATAGATATATTACAAATAATATAGTTTTCTTTATAAATCTTTAACTTAACATCCTCATTATCACCTTAATAAACCATACATTAATAAAGTCTCAAAAATATCTTACATATCATATAGATAGCAGAAAAGTACGCATATGATTACAACAATGGCTCCAAATGCAGCTCATAGTACACAAACTTTGTATAATAGTTACATCAAAACTTTAGCTTTACTCAAAAACCTAAACTGCTAAAGCTAAAAGGCATATCCTAAAATCTTCGGCCTGGATCACTCTTTAACCAGACTCCTTAGCAAGTAAATTAGACACTCCACCTATTACTCCTGCTTACGTATCATCGTACGACCATTGCAACACAAACACACAACAATACAAACAAACACAAGGGTGAGCTTATTTAAATAAAGATCATAATTACAGAGTATGAATATAGCAAAATCATTTGCACAACACTTATGGTTTACAACAACCAACACAACAAGTTCAATCAATTAATGCAACATGTCCAGCCCCTTTCCCAGCCCATCTAATGCAAATGCAGCAATTAAGTTTCCATCTGGTTTCACAGCCCAAGTAATCCAGAGGAACTGTTATGGTCTAGAAGCGAACCATTCCGGTATCTAGATCCAAACAAGCACAATTCAACGTTTTATGCAGCTTTGAAATGATGAAAATGAATGTGGTGCAGCATAATTAAATCAATATCATACAGTAATATTAAATCTAATTTCAGTTTCAGTAAGACAACAATGTATTCATTTTCATCCAGTATTGACAGCACACCCATACATATATTATCACAGCAAAACCAAGCATTCCACATTATTAATTAAACATTCCAGCACTTATTGCATAATAAAATTAAGCCGCTTAAAACATTATTTAAGTATTTCTGCGTATTTAACATCTTCAGCATATACAACATAACATGTCCTACCATAGCTTTTCAGTGAATTATCATACAACAGAGATATATACTCAACCATACATACTTTGGATTTTATCCTAAAACTTGTTCATACAATAGTTGGTCCTCATCTAATACAAAATTATCTATCTCATGTACCAAATTAGCTTAGTTAAGCAATTGAGAAATTTACTCAGCTATACTACTATGAGTTTTAATCTAGAATCTAACCATTCAACGATTTATTCTCGGCTATAACAGGACTAAATTCTCAATTAACTCCGTAATTATTAAACAAATAAATCAGCTTAGATAAGCTCCCTTTACTTGGAGCGAGTTCTAAGATCTTGTTTCTCGTGAGTTTCAAAGAGATAGATCAAGTGTTTGAGTACGAGATACAGCTCGAACAGTTCAGATCTACTCAAAACGACATGTATAAGTCTCTTAAGAAAGAGAAAGCAAAAAAAAAAAAGAGTAAAGACAGAGAACTAAGCTCCAAAAACTCACCTAGATGTTGATGAGATAGATGATCTCACTTTAATCGGGAAAGAATTCGACTTCAAGGAGGTTTTCTCTAAAAAGAAGAAGCGAGAGAACAGGAAAAATGGGAGAGAGAAGCTGGTGAAAAAATGAAGTTTCTGGCACTGAGGCTTCTTAAATACTTCTCCAGATCCGCACGCACTCGCTTGAACGAGTTCCTCTCTCGCCTAGGCGAGTTTACTCTCGCAAAGGCTAGAAAATCAAATAGTGAAACTTCTCAGATTTCTACAATTCTTGCTTGAGCGAGCTCCATCTCCCTTGAGCAAGAAGCATTCTCGCTTGAGTAAGAAGCACTCTCGCTTGAGCGAGATCAAGTTCAAAAAGCCATGCAATTTTCCTGCTACTCCTCGCCTGAGCGAGATCCCTTCTCGCCTGGGCGAGGGGACAGTTGGAGAGATCCTATCTTGTCTCGCTTGAGCAAGATTGATCTCGCTTGAACGTGAAAACTCTAGAATGTTCCATTCTACACAACTTAGTCTCGTTCGAGCAAGAACTACATTGCTTGAGCGAGACACTCATCATCCAGAACTCTCAATTTCTCCTAAAATGGAACAATACACACCCTTAGCTATAATTCTTAAGTTATTACACATACAACACACTTAAAACTCAATCTCTAACCTACACAGTTAACCATTTTCAACAACACCAATCTGCATTAATATAAATATAATACTTCTTAGTCAATACTTATACAACTTTCTCTCGTAATCCAAGCATATACAACACCATAAAAAAAAATGATTATGTAAAATGTTTGATATCTAATCAAAACTTTCCATACTAGTCTTACTCAACAATTTACCATACGACTCTGTAACTCGCAACTTCTATTTGGTAACTGCACAGCTTATCCATTCACAATCTAGCATGTGGAATTACATATTGTCCAAATATATGTATTATGAATTAATAGGAACAATTTATTTATAAATATGTTGACCTGACTGTAATAACTTTAATCTCTCTTCCTTTTCCTTCCTTTTTTTCACAAAGCCACCAACCATCTTACAAATGCAGTTCTACATGAACCTTTTCTATCATCTCTTCCATCATATCTTTTTTCAACATAACCTCTATCACTCTTTTTCTCTTTCTCTCTCTCATAGTCTAAAATGTTCGTTTGTGACAATCTCAGGAACTAAAATGTTCGTCAGTAACAATCTCAAAGACTAAAATACTTAACGAGTTATAATTTCAATGACTAAAATAAAATAAAAATATATATTATACTACATATGACATTATTTTTATCACGTAATCAATGACACGTGTCACTTAACATAACATGTCAGCATTCTATTACTATTTATTAACAACATCTAAGTTTAGGAATTTAAATGTACGACAGAGATAAAAGTCAAGAACTAATATGATAATTTAAATTTTTTAACAATTAAAATGTAAGAGACAAACTCTCTTAGATTGGTTATTATAAGATCTAAGAAAAGAATAAAAATTAACACAGATGAAACTTAAACTTTAAATATAAGACTATAAATTGAGAATAGAGAAAAGGCTAAAATAAAAGCCACGGATATATGTTTGATTTCATTCAGATTCCATCGGATTTGATTTGGAAAACCCAACAACCAAACTTTGTGACTTGTACCAACTTAATTTTTCCGAATTCCAAACCTTGCCAGCCTCCACCGACAACGTGGATATGACTAGAAAATCTTAAACAATATAAAGCTATTTACAAATATATTTTATTTTAACTATGTAAATAATATAAAAATCTCTTAATTATTTTTATAAAAATCCGCTAATATCACCTTAGAAGTTAATTTTAAACATGAATAAATAATAAAATTTTATTAAAAAAGTAATTATTACATTAAAAATATAAAAAGATTCCGTTGTTAAAAAACTAATTTTTTAAGCTATGATATCCCTCAAAAAAATTTAAGAAAAACGTACTTTGAAAGATAATTGAGAAAACCGTACATACCCCGTTAAATTACACCCGAAATAAAAAAGAAAAAACAGAGGATTATCCTGAAAAAGCCACGTTTGCAATTCAAAAAATGAAAACGAAAGTGGCAGGCAAGTTACATTTGTTGAGACACTCGTCCTAACTCTTTTTCTTTGTTGGAGGCATTATTATTGTCGTTTTTGTTAAGAGGAGCATATCCGGAAAAAGCTTGCTTCCATATAAGATTGGCATACTCCGGATGATCAACAAAAGGATTCCGATTTTGCTGATAAAATTTGCATATCCTTTCATTTCTCAATTTTTCTTCCCTCGAAGGTGGATCAACTTCATTCCATTTTAATAAAGCGGAAAGAAGCCCCATCTCCCTGTTTTCTGCACTTAATAGATAATATTTTCGTTATGACACCAATTTCAACTTATAACAAAAGTAATGAAAGCAAAAGTGGTTTCAAAAATCATGAAAATCAACTAGAGAATTAAGAAAGACAAGATATGACTAAACACAAGCAGCGTAGTTATTTTCTACTTGATACTCCAACATATTTTGGCATTAGTAAATCAAAACCTGTGAAAAAACAGAAGTTATCCACAGCAAAAAAGGGAGTTGCAATGTGCAAAAAATAACAAACTAAACTTCAGAGAAAACTTCAATTTTAAGCTTACGTACAGTTTTACATTTGCAGAGTAAAGCAATAATCAAAATTAAACTCTTTTTAAAAGAAAATGGTTGTTTTACAAATGCAACGCTAAAAAATGTCATGAAGAATCAATTATTTAGATATTCAGATCCTGCTCTCCTTATGGGATGCCTGGTTTTAAAGATTCTTACATCTATGACTAAACATGCGCTTGAGATGATAAAATTACTATTAACAGAAATATATAATATCAAGTGATAAAACTAATCATCTGAGAAACAACTGCTTAAAAAGCAAGACAATTCAGCGATAATTTGATCAAAACATGTGACGCATGTATATAATCCCTTGGGGATTTGAGGTCAAAATTCAAACACTATAGTTGAATGAGAACTTCAACAGTTCAAATGTTCAACCTACCAACGTTTGGGGTGTCTGAGAGGCGAAGACCTGGACTTGCCCCTGACTGTTGGAACCCATAACAGACTGCCATGTACATTAATGCCCTTGCAACATCCCCTCTGACCTGAGGTAAGTTTAACTTCAACTGATATGTATGAAAGAGGTAATATCCCAAATGAAGTTTGAGCAAAAAATAAATTAATTGTCCAGGTGAAGACACAGTAGAGTTGACAGCAAATAATGAAGTATAGTATTAAGCCTTTCACTATTTTATCCAGGTTCCTTTAACAGCTGTTATTGGTATCCACTGTACAAGTTACCTGTGCAAATCAGCTTAAATGATATGAATAAAATATTATGGTCATAGGGTTAGTCTATGGCAAAATGCTCCACCCCAGTCCAATAAAATAGCTCAGATGACACAATTTTAACAATAGGCAGGAAAACATACAATATAGATTAACATATGACAGAACTACCGAGCCAGATATCTATCAAATTTCAAGTATGATCACCAGTCAATTGTATAAAAAATGATAATTAAAAATAAAAATGAATGATAGAAAAGATTACCTGCACCGGTGGTGCCCACCTCTCTTTGTCTGTTTCAGTGTCCAAAGCAGCTTCTTTGTTGGCTGGCCTCAAACATTTGGTTGAGCTAGTAATACATTCACCGTAGTACTTGTTTCCCCTTGATGAATTGACTGAGAGAAACTTGTAAAATCAAATGAAATTGCAAGCTTGACTAGTGAAATATCAAGCAATGATTTCCTTACCATTTACATCAGCAGGGCGAATGTTGTGTAAATCAGACAAAGCCGGACCATTAGTCAGCCCATAAGATCGAGGCCATAGATGCTCCCCTGTAAAAGCATTTATATATATAAATAAGTGACTACGTGTGCATGGGTGGGTTCTATAAACTTAATCATGCTATAGGATACCCTCAGCAACATACAAAAATCTATTTTCCATCTCCAATTATGTGAATAATTTTACTATCACTACTTTCATTTTGGTTCTATGACTTCCACAGATCTAGTGTTTGAAACAAGATTCATATACAGTTGTACACAAGTTAAGAAGTTAAGCATAAATCTTATAACTTTGAAATGACCAAAAAAGGGAGCTTGATCAAGTATATGTATGTTTCCTTATTAAACACTGCATTTTTACCCTTAGTTACAAATATGAACAGGGAACGAGCATACTACAAAAAGGAAACAACAGCTAGAAAAGCATATGATAATTAAGGCTAGCGAGAAACTAACATCCAAATCATGGCAAGTCCAACAAGTTGATTAGTTGTGACTCACTATTCCATCCCTGTGGTTTTCCTGATAACCGTTTTGGGACAACTCTCAATGAGTATATTTCAACTCTGCATATTGTCAATCATTAGTTATGTAAAAATAAGCTAATGTGATAAACAGAAGATATTACTAAATGGGAAATGTAAAGCCATAAAGGCCATGATAAGTCCACACATTCCTGATGAAGCTTCTGGTTTATCAATATCAGCAGCATCGAGAACCTTTAGGGCATCCCACACCTATTAATTAGATAAACAGTTCGGGCTTATAGATTTGAAATAACACACAGAAGTGTTTAGGGAACCAATAGCAATACTAGATTTAAATCAAAATCGATGAAGCATGTATTTAAAACCAGGAATGACCTCTCGGTAAGTCAAGGAATGATGTGGGGCAATGATGCTATTCAATTGCCTCTTGAGTGCTTCACCTCTTAATCTTAAATGCTGCACTGGGGAGTAGTAATTGCTAATGTCCTCACAGGCATAAGTAGAGGGAGCTGGATAGTCAGAGGCTGCAGCGGCAAGATTGAGAGATAGCAAGTAAAAGGAGATGAGCCTAGAAAGCCATTTCCATGAGATATCAAAACATGTTGGCCACAGTTGTCCCCTTAAGGCCCTAAAAAAAGCAACAGTAGTTAGCTTCTCAAATCACAACCAGAACACAAATTTGTATGTTGACAATGAAGGAAGAAAAAAAGACAAAGCTCCCTCATCCATTGTAATGATGAACTAATTTTTAAATGCTCTGCAACCTAGGAATAAGAACCCCTAAAAACATGGATCACAGGCCGACAGTGACTACATGCAGGATACGGATACACTACAACAAGGTTAAAGCTAAATTTTAAAGATTATTGAACACAACACAATTGTAATACCTAGTATAAAATTAGTATTAAACTAACATAAAGTACAATTCTCAAATCAAAAGTGAGAATCGATATTTTAAAAGTGAGGGTGAGTCACTATGGACACAATAAAATACTATAATTATCATTTTTGTGGTATTCTTAATTGCACTGGTATTAAAGTTCAAAAAATAAAAATTATAAATTATAAAATGCAGCTACAAGTTTGAACATGGATGCAAGTGCGGTTACTTTGGAAGGCGTACGTGCTTCCTTAGCTATCACAAATTGGAAGCGTTTCTCGTTCGATATGTCAATTTTATGATGATTCTTACTAAGAACAATTGTGCCGAATTGAACACATTTAACAATTGTTTTCCTTGGCAATCAATGAAAATGATGAATTCAGAGAAATAACGCAATGCACAAACTCCATCTACACCAGTCATGGAAAATAAAAACGGGCACATTACCTTTCATCGATATTATTAGAAATTAGAATCTGCGGTTTTTGACGGCATGCATATGCGGCCCAATCGCGGCATCGCCCCCGCAAGGTTGGTCCTGCGGGTATGTGACGTTGAAGTGTTCCAATTTCCGGCGAGTTTCGCCGGCATGAAAAGGATGCGGCTGGGATCAGCTCACTCGTACCTAAACGCATAATTGCAATGAATGAATACGCCACTGCATTATCGACAATAGAGATGAGCTTTCTCCAAACAATACCTTTTCTACAGGATAATGTATTATCCATAATATATACTGTAGATAAAAGTTTTGGACAATTTGCTATGTTTTAGTTAAACATTCATTTTTCATAAAAAGCAAAAGTTAAATATTCATTTTATTTTATTTTACTTAAAAACCCTCAACTTCATCTAAACCCAGCTTATTTCTAACTATTTTAGAATTTCTAAGTCATTATTTCGTTATTTCGTTTTATTGTATTTTCTCTATTTATATCCGTTTATGCATTTATTAATACACAATCTTGAGGTTATCAATAAACATAGTCCCTTGTGTCGTACACCACATTTAATACAATTATCTGATTTAGCTTTTCTCTGCATATCTCATTGTAGTTCTCTATTATTTTCCAAAAAGTGACTGTATTTATTTATTTATCTTTTTTTATAAGTAGGTAACATTCAAGTAGGCTTATTTGGATAATTTCACACTCTTAATAAAGTAATGTTGTCTTGCCTAATATATTTGTTAAAAAAGAGTATTCATAGTATCGAAATTCAAAGTAATCTGAAGCAATTTACATTATTACATATGATAAATTAGTAATGTAAAGACGTTATTATACAATTAAAAAAAAGGGTTATTAAAGGGGGAAAAAACCAATGAGAATGGAGAAGCCGTTTAATAATTAAAAATAAAAAAAAAGAGGGTGCTGAATCCTAGTAGGCGTGTAAACGTGGACCATATAAGAGATTCATAGAATGTGACAAGGGGAGCCGAAGCCGAACCAATCTTATTTGGCATAGGAAACAAGAGAGAGAAGTACCAAAAACAACATCATAGTATTTGAACTAATGGCACCAAAACAAAGGGGTCCTTGTGGAATGTACCAACACGAGACGCTTGGCACCTTCATCAACCAACATGTTATGGGTTTCGGTGCTTTTCCCTTTTCTAATTAAATGCTCCACCACCCCAATATATATCCTATCCATCTATATATTCACATCTATTCTTATTATTCCATTGTATCTTTTATATATATATGCCTCCTCTCTGCTTGCGCCCGATCGCTTCACACATGGAGTGGTGGCATAAGATTAGAAGAACTTGGACTGCACTCTCTACCAGAATCAAGCTTCGAAAATCTAGTGGGTCCTCTCTTCCCTTCTATCTCTTTTCCTTTTGCAATACCCGTTATTTATTTTATTAATTAATTAATTCTATTTGTTTTGTCAGCAGCAGGGGTTGTGGGAGGCCGAGGTGCCAGAGCGGTTGAATACGGCAGCGATTGTGGCAGAGGCAGTGGTGGGTTGTTGAAGCTTCGAGATGATGTGCAAATGTGCGGGTACAGAGATGTGGAGGTGATGTGGAACATGTTGAGCATAACCTTACAACCTGAGCAAATGGAAGCTGCAAGAAGCGACAACACAAAGCTTCACAAGCGTGGGTGCACGCAGAGGAGGCTTTTCTTTTGGACTAACCATAACCCGTAACTTGGTATCTAAATTTTGTACAGCTTTATGAATATTCAGTGAATGATAAAGTTTTGCAATGGAATGTGAATGTATCTTGGGTCCATGTATGATAATAGTCAAGGACTTTGGTCAATGAATCTTTATTTATTTCTTAAATTATGTAAATAAGAGAAGTTGAAGTTGGTGTTGAGTTCCTTTGCACCGCCCACGCTTGCTATTTTGGTATGTTGTTGATAAGTAACCGTTCTCTTTGTCCTTCTTTGTGCATATAAGGGGAAACGAGCATTTTCATGTTTATTGCCAACTAGGTAACGCTATAGGAAGAGGTATTTGGGCACACGGTATTTGGTTTCACCTTTTTCTTTGCTAACAAGGATAAAATTGGCTTTAGTTTGGCCCTTTTTCCATTTTCTTCTAATTGACATTTCGAAACTTCACGTTTTGCATTCGATATGGTTTGGCACTAGTGTAACCATGCATGAAATATGCCATGCTTTTATCAACGATAATGGAATTAATGATCAATCTTCTTCTTAACACATGCTTTTGTATTTAACCTTAACGTGTATTTGTTGACTATGTTGAGTAGTAGCCATTAGCCGACCAGGGCAAATATACGTACCTAAAGGGCTGCAAAGTTGAATTGCGTGAAGTCTTTTATAATTGTATTAAATAACAGTGTTATAGATATCTAAGAAATATTAATATTCAATTATTAATCATTAAAGAATTATTAATATTTTTAACCGAAAATATTTTGTTAAAAATAAAAAAACTATAAAAGAATATTTAAATAAATAATAAATAATCACAATAAACTTTTATACTAAAAAAATATATGTATATAAAAGAAAATTATAATTTTTTATTTAAAAAAATATTTAATTGGTAAATCATAATAAAAATATATAATAATTTTAATAAAATAAATAAAAATAAAAATTAACAATATTTTTATATTTTATATTTTTTCAAAATATTTGAATATAAATAAATTATAAAAATAATATTTTAAAATTCAATAAATTATAGTTATGCATGTTTTGTATTACAAAAAATATTATTTTAAATTAAATTTTAAAAATAAAACTTAAATATTATCAATAAATAATTTGTATATGTATTATATATGAATATACTTTTAATATGTGTTACAAAAGTTACTCTTATATCAATCATATAATAATTAAATTGTAATAGCCTAATTTAATAATATAAAAATAATTAAAAAGTTTATTAAAAATAAAAAAATTATAATTTATTTTGTTATTAAATATATTTTCATACTAATTTTATAAAATAATTATTTATATGAGATAAATATTTATTTTTTATTAGATAAATTTTTATAACATAAATTTTTTTATTTTGAATAATATAAATATTTATAAAAAAAATTCTTCATTTTTACCTTGATTTAAATTTTAAACACCTCCATGGTATAATGAACAAGGTTGTTCGGTAGTGAATAGCAGGTGTAAATGGGCCTAAGGAGAGAGAGGGCTTAGAAGGGCTAGCTTGGTCGCCATTAATAAAATAAGGAGTGTGGAAGAGTGTAACTATTGAATGACAATTAGCATTGGGAAATTGCAATGGCTTACATGAGTATGGGGGAAGCACATAGAAGGATCACAGAGTATCTGAATCGCTTTTCCGACGCGGTTTCTTCTCAAGACGGAGCTTCCTTCAAGTCTCTCTTTGCTCTCTCCTCCAACTCTCACTTTCTTCTTTCCCTCTCTGACGCTCTCAATCTTTTCCAAGATGCCAACAGACTCATCAAGCAATCCGACAACTATTCTCAGTTCGCGGACATCCTGGTTCCTCTGTTCCGATCCATCCAATACTACAAGCAAGGCAATTCGCTCGAAGCCTATAACGCTTACGAAAAAACCGCCATGTATCTATGTTAATCTTTTTCTCTGTTATTACTTGTTATTTCATTTGAATTGAATTGAATTGAAATGGCTGCGTTTCAGTGCGTTTATACAGGAGTTTCGCAATTGGGAATCTGCGTGGGCTCTAGAAGCTTTGTATGTTATTGTATACGATATTAGGGTTCTTGCGGAGAAGGTGCACGTGATGTCAAATTGATTTTGTAACTTTTTTTTTTCTCTGGAAGTTTGATTGGTTTGTGATTTGTTTTTTTTTTATTATTTTATTTTAGGCTGATAAAGAATTGGCTTCGAATGGGAAATCCCCAGAGAAGTTGAAAGGCGCCGGTTCCCTCCTTATGAAAGTTTTTGGCACCCTAGCAGTATGCAAATGTGTCCATCAACTCTAAATTGTGCAAAGAATGATTGTAGCTAGACATGTGCAAAGAATGATTGTAGCTAGCTTTAATACTCTCTTTTATTTATTTTTCTTGTCCAACATATAAGGTTACTGATTGTATATCTTCCTTCATCTTAGATGTACAATAACTCTAACTTGTTCGCTTGTGTTTTTATAAGCTTGTCTTTGAAAATATTTGCTTGTTTTCCACATAAAAATAGTATCCTTGCTTGTGGACTTCATTGGGCTGTAATGCATTTTTTTTCCATTTAGAACTAGGTGGAGGAAGAGGTTGTAGGATTAAAACTTACAAAACATGTGAGATTTAACAGTTGGGACCTCCAAAATAGTCATGAATAGTATTTGTTACTTCTATCTTTGCAGTCTATAATCTGGCCATTTTTGAACCTGCTTGCTTATGTAGCACTCAAGGGAAAGAATTATTTCTTTGTCTACATAGTCTTTCTACATGTTTTGGGAGGAAGCAAAATTTGTAATCATATGAATCCTTTCTAAGGAAAACTTGTCCATGCTTTGTGTTTTTATTGTGCAACATATACTTCTATGTTGACTGCATTAAGTGGTTCTGTGGAGTTTGACTTTCAGAGGACTCTTTCTTACCTTGATTGTATTCCAGGGAAAAGGCTCTAAGCGTGTCGGAGCATTATATGTAACTTGTCAGTTATTCAAGATTTACTTTAAGGTATATGTTGCATCTTTTGCTTCCTCTTTGGTGATTCAAACTGCTTCTTTTATGATCTCATTTGTTAGTATGCAATGGTGCTAGTCTGAACTTGTAGCAACTGAGTTAAGCATGACATGTTCAATGGGACAGGGCAAGTTTGACTAGGACATAGATGACATGACGTGTGGTTGAAATTAGAGTTGATTTTATTTTGTGAATGTCTTGCAGCTCGGCACAGTTCACCTTTGTCGCAGTGTAATAAGAAGCATTGAAACAGCACGCATATTTGATTTTGAGGAATTTCCTACAAGAGACAAGGTTTGAGTTTGATTCATTTATATATGCATATAATTTCTACTTTCTAGATTACTTATCTTTATGATGTGTTTCAGGTCACTTACATGTATTATACTGGTCGTCTTGAAGTTTTCAATGAAAATTTTCCTGCTGTAAGTGATCTATATTTCTTTAAAACAATTTTTGACTTGCTTGTGTTATGAGTTCCAATATATATTCTGCAAGGCATGCTGGCTTTGTATTTTTCTGTAATGGTACCTTCTTATTTATATTCTTTTTAGTTGATGCTATTCTCAACTGAAAACTTATTCCTATACGGTTGCAAGCTAGAATGAATGAAAATATTGCTTTCTTTAATAAGCCTATTATTATTACTATTATTTTAAGGGTTTTGTTAACTTTAGCCCTTAAGATTCAGTTTAAGCATCCACTAATAAAATTTTTTTATGAAAAAAGTACACAGTTGTTATATTGAAGTTATAAAAATACAATAAATACTTCTCTTTCTAATAAAATTTCACTATTATTAGCTGCTTATACTCAGCCAGATTAATAAAATTCTTATTTTAAAGAGGATTACTCAACTATAGTCAAATATGTCAATAGAATTCATTAATAAAAGGACAGCAGTTGTTGTTGTTGTTAACTTGTCTCATGGGTATTTCATCCCCAATTTTACCTCGGTTATACTTACCCAGTTGTGCAAGAGCAAAAAACATTGGAAATATACCTCTGAAATGTTATTAAATCATTTATGCAGTTTACATTTCTAACTTGACAGGCTGATAATAAATTGTCATATGCCCTGAAGCATTGCAACCCTCAAAGTGAAGCCAATATAAGGTTTGGTTCAGGTGTGCCAACTGTGTACATTGCATTTGCATGAAGTTAGTTTCAGTAGGCTGTATGCATTTTGATGGCTGTTATACATGCACTGTAAATATGTATATTTTTGTGGATCTGGGACATAGCTTTAGAATTTTAGTTTATCAACTCAAACCTTCCAAATGTTTTATCATTTAAGTACTCTTACTGGTTCTAGCTTCTAAGCCAGAAAAGAAATATCTGAGTAAGATAGATGGGTAGGCATCTAATATAGAGATTGTGACTGAGAAAAATTATCAATTGTTAGTCTCATTGTTATGGGCAAATCAGTAAAGAAAGCCATGGTATAACTTATTGTTGTTGTTTGACATAGGATGATTCTTAAACATCTAATTCCAGTGAAGCTTTCAATAGGCATATTACCTAAACACAGTCTCTTGGAGAAGTACAATCTACTTGAGGTATGTTAGGAGCTTTATTGAGGATTTTTACTTTTCCTCTCTCTCTTATGGTACTATAAGTCTTATTTTTATTAACTGTTAAACCTTTAAGTTCTTATAGGTGCTAAATGAGTTATATTTCCTTGCATGCAGTAACATAGTTTACTTAATGACTAGGTGGACTTGTGAGCTAGCTCAGAAAAGTAACAAAATAAATATATATAAATACAAAGGGTTTATTATTTTCAGTTTGTGGGCTGTGTACACATCAAATTCCGACCATTCTTTAAAAAAATCTTTGATTTGAATAACCACACTTTATAGCAGAATAATTTCTGTTCAAAATGTATTAATGTAGTCATCATGATACGGATGATGGTTATCATGTTTATGTTTCTACCACATAATCTGTAATGATATAACCACCTTAGTAGATTTAGTGTGGTAGTTTTTTAGGGAAAATGGTTATTCAAACTTCAAAGGAAAAAAACAAATCTCTCATTCACATCAAGCGCTGGGGTGGAATATGCAGTGCATGTTTATTTTATACTGCAGAATAATGTTCCCAAGAAAACATGCATCGGCTTTGTTGCATTTGGTAGTTAAAATTTTAAAATTTACACTATTTGCATCTTTTTGTGGCTTAGAAATGTCAATATAAATATTCTTTTTTACGTTTGGACAGTACAGTAATATTGTTCTAGCTCTAAGAAGGGGTGATCTTCGACTTCTCCGGTGTGCACTCCAAGATCATGAGGACCGGTAGGTAGAATTGCCAATAATTGTTTGGTGATGTGGAATTAGTGTTGTTCTGAAATTTAATCTAGAAAACATGATTCAAATTGCTTCTTATTGTAGGTTCTTGAGATCAGGTGTATATCTTGTCCTAGAGAAGTTAGAACTTCAAGTATACCAGAGATTAGTAAAGAAGATGTAAGTATCCAGTATCAGCTTGCACCCCTCCTATTCCAAAGTATGTTTGGGTTGATAAATGACTTGGCTATTTACTCAGATCACTAGTTTCTTATTATTGCTTGGTTGTAACATGACAGTTACATCATTCAAAAGCAGAAGGACCCAAGCAAAGCTCACCAGGTGAAGTTAGAAGTTATCGTTAAAGCATTGAAGTGGCTTGAAATTGACATGGATGTGGATGAGGTAATTTCTTTAATTTTCTTCCTTGTTCTTTCCTACTTCCAATTTGTTTATATTTTTCAGGAATAAATGGAGGATATTGCTGTTTTCAATTTTTAATTGGCATTTGATGCTTTGGCAGGTAGAGTGTATAATGGCCATTCTGATATATAAGAATCTCATGAAAGGTTACTTTGCGCACAAAAGCAAAGTGGTTGTATTGAGCAAGCAAGACCCGTTCCCTAAGTTAAATGGAAAACCTGTCAGTTCATAGGGACAACGTCATTAAAGCGCTGCTTCAGTTTTAAAGCAAGCTAAATAATCTTGTTCAGACGATGCTAACTCTTGCAAGTGGGATTGTAGTTTAGGTTCCGCTTGCAGTGTGGTATGCTGCAAAAAAGTTCTGACAGTGATCTTTTGGATTGTGTTGTATCCTATAATTTATTTTAGTAACATAGCTTACTTAATGACTAGGTAGACTGGTGAGCTAGCTCAGAAAAGTAATAAAATAAATATATATAAATACAAAAAACTGTAGAAGATGCTGACCTCATTGTATTAACCTGATCTTTTGGATTGTTTATTGTTTATTTTAACTACAACGTATTATCTTACAAATTAAATTCAGTCAGTTATTTATTCATGACACCTGTGCAATAACATTATACGAAGCATGTTCTATAAATAACAAATTAAGTACTTCGATTTAGATAGTTTACCTAAATTACCCTCGACTGCATCAATTTATGTTCTTGTAACCCTGTGCGTAGTCCAAACTTTCCATGAGGTCATTATGGAAATTTTGCTTGATATCGTCTAACATTAACTAAACACAACACTAACACCAATACGCCTTTTCCCTAGTTGGATTAGCTATGTGGATCAAATGATGATAGTGTTCTATTATGAATCGTGCCATTGACAAATCATTGTCACCCTCCCAAAAAATTATGCTAGCAATATCACGTTGAGCAGCTACAAACAAGTGCTCTAGTAATCAAATATACCAAAGGTTGAAAGGAGGACGAACTAGAACAATATTAATAGTCAAGAGTTCTACATTCTGTAGGTTCAGGTATCCATCTCGAAACCGAGGCCCTTTTTTCCACAGGTGACTGGTGAGTGAACATTAGCTAGGAAGGGAAATCTTTTAGAGCATTTTCTTGCTCTAGGCTTTAGCTTTAAATTTAATTCCTCTTCCTCTTCCTCTTGTTCAAAGAATGTTCTCTATTCTGTGGTAGAAGTCGAAATATAACTAACTATAAATTACAAAAAACTTAAAAATCTCAGATAATAGTGTCATATTCATTTACAAGAGTTGATCATCAGATGTATTATTATTATTAGGTGCTTAAGGGATAAAAGCGGTACTAGAGAATGACTTTCTACCTGAAATCAATGCACATTTCACATCCGTATTAGTAACAAGCAAAATAATCTGCAGGGGAAATCACAATGTAATTGACCAAAAAAAGAAATGACAAAATGTGGTAGTTTCATTTAGAAATCAGTGGTGCCACGTGAACTCTTCACCGTCATGCATCTAGAAAATCCTTAGATGGATTTACGGGCAACTTGCAGGAAATGATATCACAAAATTGCATGAATTCACCACAAACTGTTATAACGGGCAATTTATGGTCATGGAGCGGTCGAAGTAGGGGTAAATTTAAAAGCAAGATCAATTATTTGAGTCAGTTTGGTTAAAAATACTATATAATTTTTCATATACAAGTGTAATAATCTCCCAAATCATACTGATTCTTAAGGATAAAAAGACAACGGAAGATCCATGAATTTTTGGGCTAATAAATGAATAGAAAGGAGAAGAGAAACCCATGTGCTGACTCGGCTTTGAGACTTGAATTACTGCTACATACGACAATTAGTACTTGAGATCAGTATGGTCCGTGGCAATGCAGAGAGAAGAATTCAATAAGACAAAGTGTATGATGGCCAAGACAGAGAAAAAAGATACGCGCTCATCTCTAGATTCCGATTTAGGTTGATTGCTTCACCAAAAACTAGCATAAGGCAAAATGTTGGACAAACAATAACGAGGAATTTTCAGCTGTAGATAGCCATATTTTAATTTTTGGGGGTCTAATTTCAGTAATATATAAGTGTGTCAACCTCAATTGGTTTGGATAATTTAAATTAGAAGTGCCCAGTGTCCTACGAATATTAGTTAAAGAATTAAATGAAAAAAATTATTAAAAGGTGTAACAATGGAATTCTCGTGTGATTTTTAGTGAATCCTCAACATGATATCGTTAAGACTTCTCATTAATTCCTTAACTCAGAACAATAATTACTATGATCCATTGTTAAAAGGACGATTGTTGCTAAAACAGTTAAATAGGATCTTTTCTGCTGTAGAACACAGTGACCACACCATAAGAAGTTTGGATCTTGAATTCAAACACCAAATAGATTAAGAAATGAAGCAAGGGTTAATTCAACGTTTCACACAGGGGGTACCGGGGCACACCCTCGGAGTTGCCTGAAAGATTAAGTAAAACATAGTGTATAATTTCTTCACATAGCAGTTCTACATTTATCCACATTTCATCTTAGTCATTGCGCAATTTTTTTACCAATTCCAAGAATACCAAGCCAAGCCAAGTATGATTCACTCATGAGAACGTTGCAGCTGGACCATGTCAAGCACCAGCACACAGTTAGAGGCACCAACTGATTCGACCACCGAGAGCCAACATGGAGAAGGAGCCACGCTGCCATAAGCATGTTAATTTATTTTCAGTGACACATTTCCAAATGGATCTCATGTTCTGCAGTTGTAAATAACTAGCGGTGACTGTGAACAAAATTTTGTTTTATAACAGGATAAATTGCAGGACATGCATCATCAATGGCCATTAACTGCAGTAGCACCAGTGCATTTGGGGACCATGAAAGCCACCTGAAGCAAGTAGTCTCAAAACGACAATTCAGTTATGCACCCTGACCCACTTGAAAGATATCGGTGTTCACCATTATAATGGAACAAGTTTGACACAAGCAACATAAATGGAGCAAATAACCATATGTCGAGTTAGATTCCCCTGCTCACAGCACTATCATATCTTATGTCTTGTTTTGCAAGTGTGTCTGCATCCCCCACATTTCATAGAATTTACTCATTAGAATAGCAACTGACAAGTAGCTCATTCATATAGGTACATAATCAAATAGTGACATCACATGTATAGGACGAAAGAATACAATTGACAAGTAGAGACCTGGTAAGAAGGGTATAATGATTCTCATTTTTAAGGAAAGCTGTTAGTGTAACACCAACTCAATAATATTATTGCACAATATACTGTGTTTCGTGTAAATGTGACGAAGGCCACAGTTATCACCAAATATTCAGCTGGTACGCATACAAGACTTCCATTAGGTTCAGTTTGGCAGGATGCATGTTTCCCTAAAACTCTTGGAAAATGCAATCCATTAGCCCATTACTATCAAGCGAAAATGGACTTCTAAAGAGATAAGCTTGTAAAACTCAAAGCCTATCTGTCTGTAATCTGTCAGCAATATTGTTATGTAAGAGAACGAGTGGAAGTTAAAATTTTGGTATTGACTTTGCACGCAAGAACTGTTTAAGAATGGCCTTTTCTTCATCAATTTGTTTTTTCTCTACAGGGTTCTTAGGTTTTAGTTTTCTTTTCTCTTCCAGCATCCACTTAAAAATTTCACGTTGTTGTTGTTCAGGTATTGGAGGTCGTATTTGCACAGGTGCTGGGACAGGCATAAAGAAATCATCATAATCTAAATCAATTGAACTTGTGATGGATTCGGGGGGAACTTCAACAGCAACTTTTCCCTTATTCAACTTTTGTGCTGTTCTTCCATTAATCTCCACTGCATCTCTTCGCTTTGCTCTAACAAAATCTCTTCGCTTTGCCCTAACAAATAGAAAAGCTGCAAATAATGGGCAAAAAAAAATATATTGATCAGTATATTTTAAAATGTCCCCTCTAAACCAAAGCAAAAAATCATATACGCTTAGGCAGGCATTCACATTTCGTCTTAACATCAAAAGCCTGGAAAGGATATGAGAAGTTGAAGACCAAACAAATAAATGTCTTTTTTACCTATGATGTAACATCATATGATCTGAACAAGGATAACCTTGAATTCTATCCGTCAAACTGACCATTTTCATTTTATCCTTTTTGAATAAAAAAAATCCTAACAACATTAGATTTTTCTTTAATGGATTAAATCATCAGTAATTGGTGATGACAGCTAGGCCTTGATATTGCAGTTGGAATACCACAATTGACCAATGACTTCGCATCGTGGAATTATTGAACACAGATATTCCATCAAACTCCAAAATACTAAGGCATTATTTACAAAAGACATCAACCACTAAACTGTCATTTTCTCACATTTTCATCAATGAAACCAAGAACCAAAAAGAAAAACAGAAACAAACATCTTAGAAAATTCATGTTAGGCAAGTCCGAATAGTACCAGTTCTCCAGCACAAACAAATTATTCATGTTAAAAAATGGGACTAAAAACCAATACCTATCAGCTAATAACCATTGAAATACACCAATTATTTCCCTCAACTCCTCCATCCCACACCCGCAATAATTTCAATTTCATCAATTCAAGAAGCTCCTTTCTTGAATGCCAAATGAATGCGAAAGAAACCCTCCTGATATCACTTCAGACTCAAGTCAAACATCAATATTACAGTGACAAACTGACAATTAGTAAAGATAATCAGTAGAAGCCTTTCCATGCACAACCATCCATCATCGTAGGGACGAAATCATAAAAACGCAAAGAAAATACAGAAGAAATAGTTCAGTACATAATAATAGGTAACAATGCAGCAATTTAGCCAATCAATAAAAAAACATTAATCAAAGACATTTTTTGTTAGACAATGTATCGAACAGATACAAGGCAAACACTTAAAACGGCAATGTAGTGCACGATCACACTAACAAACAATAACCCATTATTCATGAATCCAAGGATAAATAAAGAAATGACGATGAAGTGAGAAAGAGACAAAACGGACCTCCAAGAGCAAGATTGGAGAGCAAGAGAAGGCGCCAAATGAACTTGCAGCGCTTCATGAGTAACCCAGTTGGAGGCACAGGTGGGGGAACCTCGTTCGTTGTCATTTCATCAAATGAAATGATCGCTGTGCACTCTGCTATCAAACAAACCTGAGATGTTCACGTTCTTGATCTTCACACTTCACGAGTCGTTGGTACACTCTTTTTCTTTGTCTTTTTCGCTGTTCTTTTTATTAAGAATTCCGTTATTGGAGTTTGACCTTTTATTTAGGGCCCATTATGGTACGTTAAGAAACATTATGGCTAGAAATGGGCCATGATACGGCCCAATCATTGTCAATCGTCCCAATTCCCAACCAAAGGAAATTTTGTAAAACCAAAGGTTTGAAAACACAACCTTGTCCAAAAAAAAGAAAAGAAAGGAAATTTTGATAAATGGGTTTGTATAAATTTTTTATTCTGGGCAATTCTCCATTTATAATCGTTGATATGCTTTCAAAAACTTATTATACATGCATGGAATTTACTTTTATACAAAACTTCTAAATAATCCTAATTGTAATCATTCATTGTTCTTATTCAATGGGCAATTTTATTTGAGGCTTCTACTTCTTCTTTTGAAAAATTAGTACTAAAAAAAAGGTGCTTAGCTTAAAGATTATATATATATATATATATATATATATATATATATATATATATATATATATATATATATATATTACCTACGATTAATAGTTATTTATATTTAAAAAAATTACATTTTAAATTATTTACGAGTGCTTTGTTACAACTTAATTATTATTATTAACGATGTTATAATAATAATAAAGATTAAAACACAATAAAACTTGTATACAATGATTAAAAGATAATTTTTTAAACATAAAAATAATTCGTAAATGAGTGTTAATTATAAAAATTATATAAATAGTTTAACTTATTTTTAATTTATATACATTTTAAAAAATCATATATGACATTAGATATATCGTTAGCAAAATTCATTAAATACCAACCTACATGCATGTATCGAAAAGAAGATGAATAAAAGTAAAAACTTGATCTCAAATTTTTACGATCAATCATAAAGAACTTTGCTTACTAACATAACGCCTCATAATATATATAGATATGTACTTCAGTTTTTTTTTCCTCACATATTCTCGTTATTATTTTTTGTAAGAAGAAATCATGCCAGCCATTTTCCTTTAGCAAGACTTTGAACCTTGATTTATCATGTTATGAGATACTAAACTCTTCTACTTGATATCATTATTGGTTGAAAATTTAACAAATAATTAATAATAACTGTAAAATTGTTGACCTAAAAAAACTAAAAATTGTCTTTTTTATATTCATGGTTGTAAATGTATGCGCAGAATTTGTTAATATATTTTCTTTCAAGTAAAGTTGCTTAACAACACTTTCTTATATCTTTTATAACAGTATATTTATAAAAGAACTTTTTTGGTGATTTGGGATCATATTATTTGCTAACTCAGGTCTTGTCACAGGTTCACTTTTTTAAAAAATCAGAACTGCGGTGGTCTAATACCATACAAAAATTTATCTGTTTATAGAGGTTGCAAATGTATGGGTAGCGCTTACCAAACCTAACTTTTCCAAAGTATAAAGGTTACAGTGGAGTTTGTACACCGTTGATGTTTATAGAGGAAAATCAACAAGCAAGATTGATAGTACAAGTAGCATTACCATACTAAAAAAATGCTGATGTTCAAATTTCCTCCAAAAAAGATAATGTGATTCGTTCATTTACCCGCCCATAATTTGATCGCATTAAATTGATTTTGTTACCTAATACAAAGCGTCACCCGATTTGATCCAATTGAAACTGTATATACATTGTGCCATTTGTCTCCAACTAAAAATGGAATACTGATCTATAATCATTGCCACCATTGAAGGCATTCTGACGTTAAGTTGGGGGCTGTTGGAATACTCTTTCTGCATGTGAAGAGGGAAGGGAGACATTCCATAGGGCCATAGGTTAAATATTGTGAAACGGACAAAGTCCAAATCAACAGGGCATCTCACAAAGAGACCTCCCACGACACAAAAAGCTGCATTCCAAATATGAATCATCACTTTCATGATTGAGAAGCTCGTCAGGTCAATGAGGAATAATTATGAACTTTTCAAGTGAACCGTGGCGGAAAGGGGATATAAAGCAGACGAACCAACGTGGGCAAGAAAGAAAATAAAGTAGTCCCGTTGCTTTCTCATCAGAATCTCTGGCTACGTCTACAACATTCTGCTTAACTATAATGTGAATACTGCTTAGGATCAACTTGCAATTGATTGAATAAACGGGTCGAATACTCTTTATTATATATATAGTATATAACTATGCCCACACACACCCCAACCCACATGTATATAGTAGCAACTAGCTAGCTTAACTAACTACACAAAGAGCATGCGTTCAAAATGAATATGATCAAATAGTGATAGGTTCTTAAATATGCTAATTATGATTCAGTTTTTAGTTATATGTATAAAAAAAGTTTTATCAGAAAAAAATTATTCCGACTTCAATGATTTCTCTATCATGAAATCGCAAGAGTTGTATGTGAAAATATTTTTGGTGTGTGTGTCACACATAAGTGAGCAATGACATGTTCACCGTAAAACCCTTGAAAAACTAATTGAACGTGCAAAGATAATAGGAAATCCATGAACAAGGAGGGCCAGTACGCTTTTCGGGCATCTACTTGTTCAAATCAAACATAAGTTATTCTGGGTACACAAAATCATCCACAACAATACTCTTCTCGAACGCAAACCATTGATCTCACACATTAATGATCTAATCAAAACAAGAAGATAGAAACATAAAAACAAAAAAACAAAAAACCTAATTAAAGATGAAAGAAAATCGGTGTAGCTCTAGCTAGCTAGCATATTCATCCATGAACAAGGCCATAAGATAAAGCCATGAGCAAGATCGCAGCCTCCTTCTCGTCCTGAGGGAAAACTTGATGCATAGCCAACTTCTTACTTAAGCGCAACGTCAAATCCTCAAAACCAAACTTGTTTCTACTTTGGGATGGCTTGGCTCCAAGCTTGCGCTTCTTTTTCATCTGTGGTGGAGCACACTCAATTCTAGATTTCTTCTCTTTTTTCAGCAACTTCTTTCCTTTCAGAGATGTCTCAGATTTCACAAGAATTGTTCCATTTGCCGATGCTGCTGCCATGGCACGTCTGGCCTTCCTTTGTCTAATCCCACATGCGTTGCAAAGTGACTGTTACACACATCAAAAGAAACAATAATTTCAATTACTATAATAATAATAATAATAATACGTAATGATTAACACGATAATCATAAAACTATTATTCTAGTTAATTATACTTGTGGAGCTTTAATAAGCTTTAATTGATTTGTTTGTGTGCCTATGTGATTAAGATTAAAATGAAAAATCTAGAGCTTGGATAGTACGAAAATGATTGAGTATGAATAATTCATTGGAGTACGTACCTTGGGGCCTTTTGGTCCACTCCTCCAGAGAGGAGTCTTAGTAGTGTGGCAATCAGAGCAAACCCTAACAGTGTTATTAGTACTGTGGTTTGAATAATTGTTGTTGCTATTATGAGTTCCAAGCGGTGATAATGTTTGTTTTTTATCTTCACACTTGTGCGTAGACTTGCCTGCTACATATGCGTCAGTTTGATCCGACACCATCATCTTCCGCATCATTCTCATCTTTGAAGACATCCACTTCACCGAACCATCCTCAGAAGCTGCTTCAAAATTTTCATCCCTCTCTTCTTTCTTCCAAACTGTCATCTTGTGCTCACTTTCTGCCGCTGAATTATGATCCCATGATCCGCTAGAAGGAATAATCTTCTCTGCCTAAAAATCAAGAGTTTCATTACAAAGAGATCATATCTAATATCACTACAAAATATATATTACTATATAAATATAATATGCGTATATATGGGTGTATTCACCTCTTCATCACTTGGTAAGTGTGGCTTTGTTGGTTCCCGGTAGTATGATCCTTCTTGATCTTGAACAGGTGGGTTGAAGAGTATAGGGTATGATGATAGAGAAGAAAATGAAGGGGAAGCGTGATGATTTGGACTGAAGAGGTCATGGTTTTGATCATCATTAAGATCCAGAGGCATAACAGAAGATACTGAATGGTGATAAGTTGGAATCATGTTGGACGCACACACATAAACACACACACAGAGACAAACCAAGCCACAGAGAGAGAGAGAGAGAGATCAGTGCAATAGTGCAACTGAAACGGTCTTCCTTTTGTCCAATAAAAAGTTGGAAGAAGATTGAGAGGGAGAGAAGAAAGAGAGAAAGAAATTGCAAACAGTTCCTATATCAATTCCTCTACTCGTGTACATATAATGGGAAAGGAAGAAATAAATTTATATCAAAACCTTATTCGTATTTGTAGCATCATCTTTTATAAGCTTCCAAAGTAAGATTTAATTTTATCATCATTATTATATCAAAACCTTATACCAATTCAATTACGTTTTTGTCTCTTATTTCAATTATATGTGTAATATATAGAAAAGTGATATGATATAACATAATAATAATATAAAATAAGAAATTTTTACATTCCCTGCAGAAATTGTCCTGTATGTTTTACGGGAGAGTGGTAAGTAAAATAAAATGAAAAGGATAAAAAAGTAACTGAAGCAATTTGTAACAAAAGCCATCGCTACAAGACGTTCACGTGACTTCATGACACCTAAAGAAGACAAAGTTAAGAAGACAAAATAAATGGAGGGTGTGGAATGCTATTACGCTGACCCCATACGTATGACAAAACCTTATCTGCAGAAATTTTTTACCGCTACAGCCGCTTGCTGCATTACTTTCCCTGTTTCGCACTTGAAACTAACTATGTAGAGTGAACTTTCCAGCTACTTCTCCAGACACAATGGATCATTCATCTTAATTCATCAAAATTTAATAATTATTATTCCTACTTTTTTGTATCTATAAAATAACATTTATTTTAATCTTTTTTAAATTTAAAATTAAAATAAAAAATTATTTTATAAGATAAGAAAAACTAATAATGTTTTTAAAATTTGAGAGAAAAAATATTAAACTCGTTCAAGTTTAATGATTGAGAGTATATTGCTTTCTCATTAAATAATCATGAATTTACATTTATTTTAATGCTATTAATCATAATATTTGTACGTATTTTATATATGTTTACAAAGTTCGATGGTTTACTCGTAAATTTTGTGTTTTTGCAACATCCAGGGTTGGAAGATGAGTACAGCTACTGATGCATGGCCAAAAAGCATTGAATGCTGGTGCAGGCAATTGGACAAGTTCCAACACAACGAGAATTTTATTTGGGGAGGCGGCAAATCCAATTTTTTAGGTTTTTCATCCCTTTAGTCTCCATGAGCTCGATCGCGCCGTCTCTGTAATTTTTCATCTATATAGAATTATAGATACCATATACGTCTTCACAAGTAACAAATTTAAGAGAAATAAGACAATGATTTCTCTGACATATACAAGACGAGACATTCGAATATCGTGTTTTCTTTTCCCTTAATTTATGTAGTCAACCGGTCATATAAATCATCAACCATAAACACGATGCAGTGGCTAACGTGTTGATGAGCATGTACAAGATATGGAGTGAACAATATCTATATTGGTATCATACTAGCAACTACCTCGTATATTGTACGTATAGTTTTTAATTCAAATAAAAAATTTTAAAACTATTACGGAGAACACTAAATATTTGATAGGTTATATGTTATAAAAGGAATATAATAAAATATACTTTTATATTTTAAAACGAGAACTCAGATTTATGATATTAAAAAATGATAATAGTTTTGCAAAGGTAGATTTTTGTTTAAATTTTTTAGTACACGTACAAGCGATATTATTTAGTACTGCATTTTCGCATCTCACAAAAAAAAAAAGGCTAATTTTTATTTTCTGGCGTCAAAATAAATACCATGTACTCTCCTTTGGATTTTAATAACCTGTAAGATTAATCTACTAAACCAAAAACCTACTATTTTCCAAAAACATAAAAAAATAAAAATAAAATAAAAACCAACTAACTTTCGTATCTCAAGAGAAGTACTACGTTGATTTCACACATGTAAGAACCTGATCATTACCTAAACCAGTTAACATCTTGTTTCTTATGTATGTTTTCACTAATGACAATGACAAACTGATGGCGTGTCCATGTACCACAGAAATTAATGGCTCTTTCTCGTTGTCGAGATAAATGAAAGTTAAATGCCTAACAAAGAAAAACAATATATAAGGTAAACGCTAAAAACTATATATTCTTAGGACAGTAATGATTATGAGAAAAAGAACATCTGTGTTGTATGAGTACGGGTACTTGACACAAATACGAGTCCAAAATACAATAGTTTTTAAAATTTTAAAATACAAGTACGTTAGTAGATTATCATAAATATCTATAATTAAATAATTTAACAAACTTATATTAAATATATTATATTTAAGGATGAATGATTTAGTTAAATAAATGCTAACACTTAAGGTATAATTAGCTATACCTTAAATCATATTTAGTTTAGTTAAAGTTATATTTATGTTTATGTTGCATATAATTATTTTACCAGGTACAAAAATATGTTTGACAAAATACCCATATATACTTCCGAGGATAACATTTAATTCCCTCAAACATGTTCAATTTAAACTACAGAGGATAGACTATAATTAAGCCTACGAATTTGATCGATCATTTGCAATGTTTTCTGTCTGTTTTTTTATTTCAACTCATTTTTAAAAAAAAATGAAATTAAGTAAGGTGTTTTAAATATTCTTCGATCAATATTGTTAAAAGATTTGAACTATAGCGTTGAATGTAATAATTGATTGGGTAGCAGCTGCCTTTTATTGGTTAGTAAACCAACCGCAAAAATATCCAATAGAGCAAACTTGAAAATTCTGGGATATATAACCCTTTGTATCACACTTGTATCCGAACACGACCGATGGCCCATGAACAATTTGGAACATAGGAGAGCTATTAATTTCTACAAAATTAAAAACAATAATAATTGTTGTCTATAAGACCCCAAATGACAATCGTCGTAATTTTTACGATCACGAAGTTGGCTACGTATACGGTTTGTAAATCACTCCTGTACACGTTTGATGCAAGTGTCAATGCTGTCGCTGACAGGGACTCCGTGAGAAATTATCATGTATTTGTTGTCTGTAATACATAGTAAGTCCAAAATTATGGTACTTTTCAAAAATGGCAAGGGGGCCATTGCTTTTAAGCTACATGACAGTTTTTTTCTCTCAATACCAGAAGGCCCATGGCCCCCTCTCACACACACTCTCTCTATCCTTGGATCTGAGTGTGTTATGGTGGGTGCAGAATTTTCATGGGCAAAGGTAAGGCTAAGGTTAAATTAAAGATTTCATAATATTGTGGTATGGGATGTACGATACTAACCTAACGAGCTATTCATATGGACACGAATGGACGTGTAATATAATTTTGTTTAACGTAATTGAATGGTTGTGGTTTTCTGAGACGATATTATCGTTACGATTCCAGTCATTGTACTATAGCAATTAAAGGTGACTAATCATGAATGCAGAAGAGATGAATACAAATGGAATAAACATGATTAGTAAGTGAGAAATTATATATTGAAGGCAATAATTAATATCGATAATAATTAAGTAATAACGGTTTTGGTTTGATTCTAGTCAACCAAAATTGGATTCCATCTTGGTCAAGCAGGAAGAATTTAAAAGAGGCTTAAATACTATGATGGTATATATATTGTGTTAATAGGTTTGTTTAGAGGTTCACATGTATATAATCCACATTCCACACAAATTGATTCGTTATGGATGGCACTAAGAATTTAAGGTTTTCGTGCTTTTGTTGTGTTGTGGTCCTCAATAATTCCTTACATGAGAAAATTCTTTAGGATATTTTTTCTTAGTTTGGGTTCTTATGTCATAGAACTTCATTGTCTATAAGAATCCCTGTGCGGAAGCAAAACGGCAGTATCAAAGAGGATCTCTGGACGGAGAGAGGTTATAGGATTAGGCAAATCTTCTTATGAAGTCAATAACACAAATTCTTATCACTTTGACCTATTTAGAGCCTGATTGAGTAATTTTCAAAACTCCATTTTTGCTAAATAAGAAACAATGTTCTTCTTGTATTGAAAATTGTGTAAATCGAGTTACAATAAATATAGTAATTATTCACCACACGAAACATCACATCCCATAATCCACTGCAATAGAGATTTTTGTTTGCTTAGATGATTTTGTTAGGGTCAATGAATGACACGTAGATTCAGTGACTGAAATGGGTCACAATATATATTATGGCCCAGGAAAAGAGTAAACTTTATTCCGTGACCAATATTCATGAAAGATTACTAATTACAAGTTACATCAACGTTTAACACTTGGCCCCGCCACCTACCGCGGCGACCACAAACATGATAGGGATTGTGATGGAGATGGCGATGCCAAATACTGTTAACCATTCCATCATACATCACCGTAACCCATGTACCAAGTAGCCACCGGGCTCGCCAGTAAAGAAAGCCTTTTTCTTTACTTTTTTGGTTCAAATTTGTAACTTTAGGCTTGAGGCCCAAAACAAGGCCCATTAATAACTTCTACTAGGCCCGTTTTCTGAGAGCAGGTGCTACATTTTATTTCGTCAATCCAGTTTAGACAAATTCTTAACCCAATTATCTGACATGCCACAAAGCCAATAGTAAACAGCTATTATATTTTAAATTTTAAGTTTATTAACTTACATACAAGTTTAGGCTCATCAACTTATTTAAAAGTGTGTTTATAATCTTATTCAATAAATTTTATTACAAATTAAAAATGTCAGACCAGACTCAATATTAACATAATACCTAGATTAAGTAACTAGGATAATCTTGAACCTTTAATTTAAAAAATAAATTAAAGGGTTATTAATTTTGGGTTAAAATTTATAGGGTATTAAATATGTAATGCATTATCCATTATTGGCAAATTGACAGAAAAAGATGTGGAGCCGTGGAAAAAGATTAGCAAAGCAAAAGACAGCTTAGTTTAGGATGTGCCCAATGCCAATAGCTGTGGGTTAGATTAGAGGAAAGTTTTTGAACAAAAAAAAAGGGAGGGAACTTTTCTTGTAACATAGGAGTGTCAACGTTCCGGTTTGATTCGAATTTGTGAAAAAATAATTTGAAAATTTGAATCAAACATTATGGGGTAGCTATTATCGGATTATCTGATTAAATAATTTAAAGTAAAAAATATATTAAAAAAATAAAAAAAATATTATTGTTTTATTTAAATAATTCTTGATACATAATTTTAACATAATTACACAATATTTTAATATAAATACATAATATTTAAAACAAGTCTCAATTCAAAAAACACTTCAGTGTATGTGAGGGTATATTTTTTAAAAAAATCAACACAAGTCAACGGATTAATCAAATATGTCATTGGACCTATAAATTGGCACTGTGTCAACTCATGATCTGAAATTAAATTAGATTGAAAATTTGATTAGTTTAGATTATGTCAAATATGGTAAGTGTCGATTTAGATTTTTTTTTATTTGAATTGGTTTAAATCATTGGATTCGATGGTTTATCATATCCGATAGACACCCCTATTATATAACATGTTTTATGGTGGATTAGTTTTTAAAAAGTTAAAATAAGTTTTTTAAAAAGTAATTTATAAAATAAATATTTTATCTTTTTAAATGATAAACTAATTATATCAAACGTGCTAAAAACAAAACATGTTACTTATGTTTTTCTTTTGATTAATTTATGATTCAGATTCAGCTTCCATCAAGTTGTTAACTGACTATGACATCCACCCACGATTAATTTCTGGTCTGCTTCCCTTTAATTTCTGCAACACTCCTCTCCAAAGCATATACAACTTCAGCACTACTCCATTATAGTTCATATACCGTGTAAAGTAGATTACTTCTAGTTACGATCCATTCTGAAATGAGTTTTGAATATATTTGACGACACTCTCTTCGTGTGAGAAAAAATAAACAATAAATAATAAAAATTTAAATCCATTTTTGTCAAGTTGTAAAACGTTGCTTATATGGATCGTTCCTACACATGGTTACCAGAAATTTTAAGAAAACAAAATTCAGGAGCTGCTATTGGTCTAACCTTTTACATAAACTAATATGTCTAAGATTTCAAATATGTCCATTGACATGTTTAAAGCCTTTGACTATAATTAAAAAGAAGGTTTGGATCTGGTAATTGATTCTCTTAATTAGATTGGGCTTATTACTTGTATTTTTGATTTCATACTGACCCATTTTATAATGAGAATGGTGTAAGAAAAAAATTTGATGGTAGAAAATGTTATTGATCCCAACACCCTATTATAATGCGTGATTAGTTTAAAAAGTGTTCCACTTGCTTGTGCTCCTACACCAATTGAATTATTGTTCATTCTTATTTATGATAAATTTTAAGTCATTGATAATGCAATACATTAATGTATCAAAATTAAATTCTAGAATTCAATTAAAAATTATGGAGATATATATTAATAGAGGCAGATCAAAAACTTTTACATATAATTTGAGTCTTTTATTTAATTTAAATTTAACGGATTATAATTTATTATTTTATTGATCATTAAATTTAAGTTAAATAGAATGTTGAAATTGAGTTTAAGAGTTTTAAATTTATACTGATGTAAAAAAAAAAATTTATATTAATAATATTCTTTAAAATTAATTTTATTATTTAATTATTATTAAAAGAATACTTGGGGAGGGGGAGAAGGACGTTCTTAACTAATAAATAATTATCGAGTCTATGAGACAGCCTAACTAAAAGAAAATCGGGTTGGTTTTGGGTACAGAATTCAATTCTTTATCTGCTACCCAATAAAGGATTGTTAGGAAGTCAATGATTCACAAATCAAAGTGCATGGGCAACATCTCTGATGCATTGTAATCATTAAAAAAAATTGTTAGAGTTGAATAAAGCGTATAAAAATATATATTTTATTAAAAAAATATGTATTCATTTTTATATTTTAAATATAATAAAGTCTTTTAATAATTTTTTTAATGTTTAAATTTAACTTTACAAGTTAATGTTGAAAAAACGTTTTAAAAAGGTATATACTCAACCAATATTTTGTTAAAATGAACAATCTTCCATTATCACTAATAATATATATGAGAGTTGTAATTGTTTCACCTGTTTAATGGAAAGCAAAACTATGATTAATCATTAGTGGAAAGCATTTTTTTTTACCGAAAATATTTGGACAAAATCAGATACACCTTTTATTTTGTTGATCGCAATTGGTAACTGATTCTGGTGACAAGTGCAGTGAAGCCAGAATTGGGTTTCTTTAATTTCTGGTCATCATAATTCATAGAACAGTTTTCACAATGGGTGATTAGGTGGGTATGTTATGGTTTGGATTGAGCATCTAAGTGGTGGCGTAGTAGTGTCACTCCCATCCCCATTCTGACTCTTTTTCCCTTTTGGCCTTGCTTTATCAATTTCAGTTTCACACGCCATGGCAATTGCTTCCTCTTCTTTCCGTTTCTCTTTCTGGTAGTAACATACAAACTTCAACTTCAAGATATTGTTGTTGCCTTATCAATTCTCACATTCAAGATTAGATTTGATCATCCCATGGTGTCTGTTCGTTCATCCTTATCTCGCGTGGAGCAATAACAAACAGTAATTGACAATTCTTTGCTTGATATATTGGAAAATTTTGAAAAATTAATAATAAAAGGTGGGTTCCAGTTCCAAAAGATGATGTGGACATGTTCATTATCCAATAATGTAGTAGAATTTTGCTGTTTTGAATTTGTAGCTATCAAGTTAAGTATTATTGGAGGAAAAGGAAAGTCCTTGAATATATATATATATATAGCTTTATGCTTTTAGATAAAAGGAGTAATATTTATTGTGTTTGCTTCTGTCAGTGCCGAAATGTTACAAAGTAAGGCATGCAGAAGGGATAAAGGGTACCAATTTTGATGAGGACTATCTCATTTGTGCCTTTCAAAATGGAGATGAGGATTGCACACACATCTTCCTCTCTATTATTTGTACTACACAAAAATAATAATAAAAACATATTATATATATATTTCTACTTAAACACGTGAAAATTTGAAATTTCCAATATAAAAATGAAACAATACAAATAAAATTTTCCAGTTTGATTATAATTGAAACAACGTTTGGCAGAATGTGGATGCGTTGCCATTACCGAATATATTATATTTGTCTTTAAGCAACGTATGAATTCATTATGCCTACAAACTGGCATTCATTGCAATAATGCGTGTTAATTATTATTATTATTATTATTATTATTATTGAATAATTTAATTTAATATTCATGCAGGCTAATGCAGGCTAATACTATTTTTAACATTTAAAGTTACATGTATAATTCTCTTCGGTTATAGAAATTAGATATTTAATTTTATTTTTATTTAAACAAAAATTAATTCGTTTAAATAAAAATTTATTTTTAAGCAAAATTAATTTAATTTTACGTTTTACTCCTCTCTAACCTTCTAGTTCTCCTTTTTTCTTTTCATTTTCTTTTTATACTCGAATCTTTTTTTTTTACTCCATTCTCATATTCAATTCTTTTCTTTCTTTTCTTATTATACTTTAATATTTATTTTTTTCTTTTTTATACTCAATTCTTTCATCTTTCTTTCTCAATCCCTGTGCATCTTCAGTAACTCCCTTTTCCTCCTCCATATTAGAAATGTTTAAAATTAGCTTAAGTGAAAAGTTTAAACTTTTTTTTTTATATACATAATTGCTCAACTAAAAAGGTTCGATGATGCATAATGTGTGTTCCTCGGAACTGGTGATGCATTGATGGCACAACTTTCTTGTGGATAGTGATACGTGGCATGTTATGACTGCTTTACAAGAATAAAGAGTCCGGGATCCACCGATCCACGATCCAGGATCCAAATTCAAAGATAGGAATTGGAAAATGCTTCTAGTCAAAGGATTTACGTCATTCATACACGGGTTTCACCAACCCAGTCACTATTCTGTAACATTCCATTTCACCAAAGCAAATTTTACCATTATTCAGAAAATACAACCACTCGTTTCTTTACATAATTACGCTTTTTCTTAATCTTTTCCACTATTCCACCAAAAAGTATTCAACACTGTTCTAGCATAATAAAATTTTACTTTCGTTAAGATCAATCCTAAAGATTTATTTAAACAACTAAAAATATATTACTTTATTAAAAAATAAAATATTTATCACATTTTTTATATAATAAATATTTTCTGTTTCAATACAAACTTTTCCCTATTAATAACTTAAAACCAGTCTTTAAAGCTACCGTTAGTAAAATCCCTTGGATTTTCATAAAGCCACTGACCACTCACTCACTTTCACCAATGCATTCAAAAGTAATATATTGAAAATAAACGAAATATAAAGCGTAAGTACTAAGGCTCTAAATTTGTGTTGTTCTTAAACGTGTCAACAATAGCAACAATAACTCATCGAAAGAATTTTTTTAGTTATAGATTTTGATGTAACACTTCACCACAGTAGTACTATACTCACTCAAGGCCCCAACATTGCTTCCATCCGTGTACATTCACAAATGGGTGGAACCTAAAAAGAGCATGACTTTTTTCTTTTTTTTTTTAATTTTGGGCACTAAGCCAATAAGAATAATAACATTATAACAGGATTGGATTCAAAGGAGTTTAAAATAACGTACGTGCAAGGTGGAATCTTCCTTTATGAGTAAGAGGAGCAACATGTTGCAGTGAAAAAGTACCAGGAAGTAGGTCGCTTTTTATGGCACCTAAACACCACATATTTGTCTTAAATGTGCACTCATTGTAAGAAAGGAAACGAAGATACATTTACCAAAGGCCAAAGCAAAGGCTTAAAATAGTTTTTGTAGTTTCTTGTGTTGTGGGGTCATTGGTCAGTGCATTGGAAGGAAGTAGAGAATGGGTCCCGGTCCTAGACTCCAAGGTTACTTTGGATTTTCAAATGTATATAAAGCAATTGCAGGCTTCTCACAAGCTTCACTAGCCATCAAAACCACGCACCTCAACTACCATAGTTACATTAAAGTCTTTGCCTGCCATCTTTTTTTTCAATCTCAATAGAATACAAAAGGCATTGTGAACACATAAAAACAGAAGCCCGTTTCTCTTATTCCCCCTTCTTATCTATTGTAGTGTTTTTAAATGAGTGAAGGAGACAAAAGTTCATTGCTTTGAGAAACAGACCTGTTATGGGTTCACGGGTGCTAATGGACAATTTACTGCTGAGGGGAAAATTTCACATTCTTCTGTTATTTTTGTATGTTTGTGCAGTCACAGCCTCTGTGACTTATGATCACAAAGCCATTATTGTTAATGGGCAGAGAAGAATTTTGATCTCTGGTTCCATCCACTACCCAAGAAGCACACCTGAGGTACTCACTCACTCTGGCAACATATACATATGCTGCTTCAAATTTATTTTTCTGAATTATTCTTTCTGTCACAAAAGAATTTTCACCTCTCTGGTGTTCACTGTGATGAGTTTCCTGTTTCTCATTGCCTCTGTGTGGCTGCAGATGTGGCCAGACCTAATTCAAAAGGCCAAAGATGGAGGCTTAGATGTTATACAAACCTATGTGTTTTGGAATGGACATGAGCCTTCTCCAGGAAAGGTGGTGCAATTTTTTTTCTGCCTTTTATTTTTTTCCCACTTGTCACATGTTTTTTCCTTCTCTCAACGTGTTTTTTTTTTCCAAGTGATATATGCTTGATTTGACTTAAAATAAGGTTTTATTTCAACTTTATGTACAGAAAAAAAAAGAAAAGAAAAAAGAAGCAGCTAGCTCTATCTTGTTATGTATAGTTTAAGTTGTACAGGGTTTCTTTAGTCTAGACCAATAAAATAAAATAGAAAGCTCACTCTTTCCTTTTTTGTTTTATGCAAATTTTGGTTAAAAAATTGCAGTATTATTTCGAGGATAGGTACGACTTAGTTAAGTTCATCAAGCTCGTGCAGCAAGCTGGGCTTTATGTTCATCTCCGCATTGGTCCCTACATATGTGCTGAATGGAACTTTGGGTAATGATTTTGATTATTTTTATAACCCGCCTTACAATTGTATATAATATTCAGAATATAATTCATATTTAAATTTTGCTATAATATTCAGGGGATTCCCTGTTTGGCTCAAGTATGTTCCGGGTATTGCTTTCAGAACAGATAATGAGCCTTTCAAGGTTGGAATGGATTTTCGATTTTGGGTCATAATTAATTTTATTATTATTTTTGTTGTCATTTGATTATGAAATTCTGTCAATTTTGTAATGATGTAGGCGGCAATGCAAAAATTTACTGGGAAGATTGTCAGCATGATGAAGGCAGAGAAATTGTTTCAGACGCAGGGAGGTCCAATAATTCTGTCTCAGGCGAGGAAATGGGATTTAAATAAGATATTAACTTTCAATTTTGCAATTTGTCATGTTATTTTTTTTTAATTACTGGAAAGTTTTAGTTAGGCCAACGGCCAACCAATTTTTCAATTGTGATGATTAAATAATGTTTTATTTTGTTCAAATTGAATATGACAGATAGAGAACGAATTTGGACCAGTGGAATGGGAAATTGGTGCTCCAGGAAAAGCTTATACACAATGGGCAGCTCAAATGGCTGTAGGTTTAAATACTGGTGTCCCCTGGATTATGTGCAAGCAAGAAGATGCTCCTGATCCTGTTGTAAGAAACTCACAAGAAATCTTATTTTTTCGAATAAAATTATGTGTCCCACCTATGTTGTGTTTTTTTTTTGGGGGTACATTTTTCAACTGTGTTTTGCTTATTTTGTGGTGTTATTTTGTTGGGTTAAGGTTGTTACATTTACTATTGATATTGATATTTTGATTTGGTTAATCGGGCCCCTTGACTTTTCTCTGTTGTAGCCTTTTTTTTTTTTAAAAGAAAAATCAGCAAGTCCTTTTTTTAATTCACTTTTTTCTCTTAACTTATGGGTTATTCTATAGCGGTAATTAACGTTCATATGTCTCATCCACCCCTGAATGTCTTGGGAAAGTAGCAAAATTAGTTGCAATTTAACTTTTTTTGGAGATCTACATCTTGTTGCAAATTGATTCTACTCCCTTGCATCTTTCTCTCTCTTATGTGTTTACCCTGTGCAATAGATTGACACTTGCAATGGATTCTACTGTGAAAACTTCACTCCTAACAAGAAATACAAACCCAAAATGTGGACAGAGAACTGGACTGGCTGGTATGGTATACAAATAAATGATAATAATAGCTGATCCAGATCCTGTGTTTAGTTTTATTTTCCTGTTTCTATAGGTACACTGAGTTTGGTGGTGCTGTCCCGCGTAGACCAGCAGAAGACTTGGCATTCTCTGTTGTGAGATTCATACAGAATGCTGGTTCATTTGTTAATTACTATATGGTAGGTTGACCCATTGCAATTATGAATGATTTTACCTACTGTTGTTTTCAATAAATATTTCCCACCTTTTTGTGTGCTATATGTATTAATGCTGTGGAAACTATGGTTGGAGTCTAATGTGTATCATTTTTGGATCCAGTATCATGGAGGAACTAACTTTGACCGGACATCTGGTGGCCCCTTCATTGCCACCAGTTATGACTATGATGCTCCCATTGATGAATTCGGTATGCAAAGGATATTAAGTTATATTTGTAAACATGCTGGGGATGATGACAGCATATCACATTTAAATCTTATAAAAACATATACAATTTTAAAAAGAACTTTTTTTTGGGGGGGGGGGGGGGGGAGGAGATGATCACTATTTTTTTAGCAAATTGAACATATCCACTATAGGTTAGGCATCATTATATTTTTCACATCACTCTGAGGTTATTCAACTATATCAGGGCTTCTAAATGAACCAAAATATGGGCATTTGAGAGATTTGCACAAAGCAATAAAGCTATGTGAGCCGGCTTTGGTGTCTGTAGATCCCACAGTGACATGGCCTGGAAATAACCTGGAGGTAAAGTCTAAGCTAAGCTGTGTTATGAAGATACTCAACGGGCTCAATTTTTAAAATTTATTTACTTATTTTTATTAATGTCATCTTAGGTACACGTGTTCAAGACTTCTGGTGCTTGCGCTGCGTTCCTTGCAAATTATGACACCAAATCTTCTGCAACAATTACATTTGGAAATGGACAGTATGACCTACCACCTTGGTCTATCAGCATTCTCCCTGACTGCAAGACTGCAGTTTTCAACACTGCAAGGGTAATTAAGACAATACTGCTTGCCATGTTAAATGTTTGTGTATTTTTATTTTATATTATATTTAACAATACTGCTAGCCTCATTTATTTAATGATGAAATCTAAGCTAAACTTCAAAAGTTGTGCTGTTCTTCAAGGACAGAAATATATTAAATAGTATTTTGAGCAAAAATCCTTTGTATTTACCATATTGAGATTTGTTTTTTCAAATATGAACATTCATCATACCAATTTTATACAGCTTGGTGCTCAAAGCTCCCAGATGAAGATGACTGCCGTAAACAGTGCATTTGCTTGGCAGTCATACAATGAAGAACCTGCATCATCTAGTGAAGATGATCCCGTCACAGCATTCGCACTTTGGGAGCAGATTAATGTCACCCGAGATTCTACCGATTATTTGTGGTATATGACAGAGTAAGTATCTTTCAACTGATATTGTCTTTGACTGCTAAAAGACATTGGAATATTCATCTTCTTGATACTTACTGTTTATGTGTTCTCCCCATCTCATAAATATTAGTATCTCTTGTTCAGTGTCAACATTGATCCAAATGAAGGTTTTATAAAGAATGGAAAATATCCTATTCTCACCGTAATGTCAGCAGGCCATGCTTTGCATGTCTTCATTAATGGCCAACTTTCAGGTGAATGAATTAGCAGTTTTTTTCTCAGTTTAGTGTTGTTATAATAAACTCCACTTTTACCTATCCGTCTCTTGTATGAATGCAGGAACTGTGTACGGGGGATTGGAGTTTCCTAAATTAACATTTAGTGACACTGTTAAGCTGAGAGTTGGCAATAACAAGATTTCTTTACTTAGTATTGCTGTGGGTCTCCCGGTTAGTTCAATCACATTTCTAACATCTGTGTGATTTCTATAACAATTTCAATGTTCAGAACTTTTTAACATTTTTAATCGTATATGTTTGATTAATACCAGAATGTTGGTGTGCACTTTGAGACATGGAATGCTGGGGTGTTGGGGCCAGTCACACTGAAGGGTCTTAATGAGGGGACCAGAGACTTGTCTCGTCAGAAATGGTCTTACAAGGTTTGTTTTGTAGCATTGTTTTGCTTAGTAGTTACATTGAATGGTTTTATCATAACATGAGTGCGTACAACCCGCAAAAAGGTAAAGATAAATACTGAGGTGAAGACCACAAAATGAAATGAAGAATGAGATCATAGAAAAATAAGCATCTGTGCCATCTAAGGATTCACTCGATTAGGAATTTAGGATGTAACTTCTAGGATGGATACGAATGCATGAGTTAAACAAAATTGAAAAATCGTGTTGGAACTAACTTGTGCAGCCTTTAATAGAAAAAATTTTAAGCATTATGTACATTCTTGCATCCTTTTGGCCTTGAGCACTATGTTGTTGAGCATATTTTGGTGCATACTTTTATTTTCATTCCTCTTTTCATGTAATTTTTGCTTTCTGGAAATAGCAGCAGTTAGAGATTTTCACATTTTCATGTTGTTTGGCAGGTTGGTCTCGAGGGTGAAGCCTTAAATCTTCACACTGTAAGTGGGAGTACATCCGTTGAATGGGTCGAAGGATCATTATTGGCTAAGAAACAACCTTTGACATGGTACAAGGTGAGACCAAATTTTCAACATATGTTGTATTTCTATCACTGATCACTTAAGTCTAAATTTATTCTGACTCATTTTTTTGCTCTAATGTCATTAGACAACTTTTAGCTCACCAGCAGGCAATGATCCATTGGCTCTAGACATGATTAGCATGGGAAAGGGTCAAGTATGGATAAATGATCGAAGCATTGGACGCCATTGGCCAGGATATATAGCTCATGGTAGTTGTGGGGATTGTTATTATGCTGGAACTTACACTGACAAAAAATGCGGGACAAATTGTGGAGAACCCTCCCAGAGATGGTAAGAGTTGACCCTAGTTGTTTACAATAGTGAATGATGTAACTTAAAATTTCGCATGATTCATGACAACCTATATTGTTGGCATTGACTAGGTACCATGTTCCTCGGTCTTGGCTGAACCCAAGCGAGAACTATCTGGTCGTGTTTGAAGAATGGGGAGGTGACCCTACTGGAATTTCTTTGGTAACAAGAACAACAGCAAGTGTGTGTGCTGATATATATGAAGGGCAACCAACTCTAAAGAACCGGCACATGCTAGACTCTGGTAAAGTTAATAGACCAAAAGCTCACTTGTGGTGTCCACCTGGGCAAAAGATCTCTCAGATTAAATTTGCTAGTTATGGATTGCCAGAGGGAACTTGTGGAAACTTTAGAGAAGGAAGCTGTCATGCTCACAAATCATATGATGCTCCTGAAAAGGTATTTTGAACAAACAGGAATTATTAGATATGTTATTTGGTTCTGATTCTTCTGATTGATTATAGCTTTTCTGATTAGCTTTAACATCTGTTATGCGTTATGCATCACTTTCTTGCTTTAACATTCTTCTTCTGATGCTTATTTATTGTTCCTGTGTTTACTATTATTATTTTCAGAACTGCATTGACAAGCAATCTTGCTTGGTGACTGTGGCTCCTGAAGTTTTTGGGGGAGACCCATGTCCAGGAATTGCAAAGAAGCTCTCAGTTGAGGCACTATGCAGCTAGGATCATGTTCATGTGATGCAACAAGTTGCCAAATAAATGTGGAGCAGATTTATTAGGTTCCGTATAGAAAGTATTTGAAGTCCAATAACGATACTCCTTCACTTTGGGTAGTTGAATTCTACACATACAGAATGCGAAGAGCAAATCATGCACTAAACAAATGTAGATAGAAGAATATGGGCTGCAAATGTTGTACATAGGCTATTCTGCTGATTATTACTTCATACACTACAGGGCTTTGAACAAAGAAGCATTGAGCCCCTCATACATATTTTTTCTATAAAAGGGTAGTTGGACATGGGAAAGGTGTCACTACAACACCTTCATTCCACCATAAAACAATCCCTTTATTTTTCTATTAAAATTTTATGTAAGAATAAATTGAAAGTAATAAATAGTTGATTCCAAGTGGGATTTGGAATATTTACCCCATTCCTTCATAGCAGAATTTTAGTTCTTAGTGTTTTATACGCTTTGTGTACGCGTCAAGAAATCTTAATTGAAGATTTGAGGTTGAATTATGTTGTAGATGAACTAGATCAAGGTACATGCCAGCACAAACCAAACCTGCTAAGGAAAAATTAAGTAAAGATATTCTTTCAACCATATATATGTGAACCCATAGTAAGATTCACCCAGACAACCAAACTGCATTCTGTGTGCGAGATTATGTTTTTCTAGAAAAATAATCAACTTCACAATCTTTATGAAATCTATTAAAATAGAATTTGGGCTTTGGCGTGTTGCTTTTGTTACAATAGCTTTCACATCTTGTTTTTTGTGCGATGATTAATATTTTGATGATAAAATTTCGCATGTTACTTAACCTGTTTATTTATAACCTCCTTGTCCCAGCTATGCAACTTCGTAGGTTAGAATAGAAAGGGCTGAAGCTTATGCTGAAATCGATTCAAGTTGGCCCATCATGGAATATAATATAATATTATTGAAACTGATAATAACTGCGTAGAAAACTGAGTTCTGGATAAGGGACTTCCAGTGACTATAGGATGAATTATTAACATAGACTCGTAAAACATAGTTAATGCGATTAAATGCTGCGGCTAAAATGTAGAGCTGGATTTATTTAATTTATTTGGATTTGGTTTATATTATATGATATTAGTTTGGAGAATGAAATTATCAGATGGTACTAAATGCAAATACATATTACAGATAAATATATCATTTGGGAAATTTCCCTTTCATTTTCATGCCAGTAGAGAGGCAAGCCCCCAAAATAAATAAATAGCCTATAGTAACACCCTCATTCTACCTTCCATAAGATGAATTCTGCGATTACTGTGGGCTACTGGCTATTGTAATTTTTTTTTCAGAAGGCTTAGTTGATATTGGTGTATAATAAAAGATTAATAGAGATTGTTTTAGTTAAGAAGTGTATTACACATAAAGCAACAACTTATAATTTAAATATTTGTTAAGAAAGACATTCATATTTAATATTCGACTATGAAATTGGATCACCTGTGGTTATATTTTGACTGCACTTCCCAACAGTTGAAAACTAAGGGCTGAAAGTTTTAGTATTTTTGTTTTTTTAACTTATAAACATAAAACACACAAAATTAAAGATGAGAATCTATCCAATTATCTTTTAAAATTGCAGAGGATCCTGATCCTCCAACTATTCCTTAAAAAAGATTATCTTAAGAGAATACTTATGGAAAAAATTGAAAAAAGGTGTTGGATATAGGCCAATCAATCAAGGGATTTGAGAATTATTTAACCCACAAGACTTTATTTTACTTTCTTGTACTTACTTGGAAAAGAAAATAACCTTTGTGTTCCACTGAGCTTTAGACACAGGAAAACCCCACTACCCATTACCCAACAAAGTAAAAAGGGGAAAAGGAAAAGAACTTTGGTTCATAATATTTTTTCCCCAATATAATACTAACTGTGTCCAAAATGATTGGATTATTGCTCGTCATATCACAAATCAGATTTCAAAAAGAGACTGATTCTCAACTCAATTACGGTCAAGGACATGTCCACTTGGCAATTGTCATTTAAAATACAATTTTATTAACTTTAATTCTCCAATTTATTTTTAAATATTTTCTAAATTTATTAAAACTTGTTATACTTTTACTTTCAATATGATAAATATTTTTAAATAAAAATATATTATTTTAATTACTTATAATTAACTCGAAATTTCTTTAAATACTGTGCTTTGTTTCAACTTCAAGTATCTTAAACGTTAACGCGGGCGAGAGATGCTTGCACATGTTTACGTTTGATTAATCTTTAGAAAATTATTTCACGCATTACGAAAAAGTGTGAAAAAATGACATTGGACTAAAGGTTACTAAATTTAATTTTAATGGAAAATTAAATTTGATTAATCTTTAGAAATTATATTGATTATTTTTAAGGGTAATTATGGTTAATTTTTAAAAAAATATTTATTCATATTTTAATTTATGCATAATTTTAATATTTTAAATTTTAATGACTTAAACTTGATTTTTATATTTTTAATTATTAAAATACATCTTTTATCAAAATATTTTATATAATAATTTATAAAAGTATAACCCTATGGATTTAAATATGTTCACTATATATATGTGTGTAAAATACTAAAATGTCTTGTAAAATATAAACACAGTCATAAACATGCTAGAGTATAATAATAAAAGATATAATCAAATAAAAATATGAGAAATTTTAAAACACTGCACTAATCTATAAGTAATAATATCTCTAAATAAAAGCAATTATTAAATGATTCAGAATGGTGTGGTATGACCACTTACATTATGTTATGTATTAATTTTTGCATAAATTATAAAATTTATATACATGATGTAATATGACTACCAGAAACTACATAATTTTATTAGATTAATCAGAATATTTTCCCTAAATTACACTCTGAGTGGCTACTACTTGATCTTTTTTTACCATTAAAAGGATTTGAGCATTGGCCATATCATCACGAAGGGCTTCCTTAAAGCAAATTCCAGATCTTCAGTGTGATCTTTCTTAAATCTGTCATCATTAGATCCCCAAAAATTAAGAAAAGGCTATTCATTTAGAAAAGAAAAAGGGGTGAGAGTCATAGAGACCTCCAATTCGTCTATAATTAAACTTTAAATTTTGCCAAAAAGTAAAAGTAAGCTCATTATGATAAAGAAGTTGGAAACGTAAAGTTAAAGAAATGTTGATTTGTCCAAAGGTGAATGTGATAGTAACCATACTTTTTGTTAGAGAATGATTTTTAAGTACATAAAACCGAATAAACATAAGACCAATAAGCTATGGGGTTGAGTGACATGCACACTGCAATTTGCATCATCACTTGTGAGCTCCCCATTTAAAAAGGAAGAGAAACGCAGAGATTATCCACAACATCAATTACTGTTCTTCATTTCCACGTGGAGATTAAATCAGAGGGAAAAATAAAGAGACTAATAATAAATATATTTTTAAATTGTAATTATCTATTTAAATTATAATCTATAAAAAATAAAATTAGACAAATATTATATCTACAAGATAATAATAAAAATATTATAGGTGAAAATCATTACAGTGCATAGAATATCAGTACAGTGTGTCCAATTTGAACGTCGTCAATTCAATGGTCGTGCCAATCAAATCCAACGAAATCAAAGGCTTGAACAGTTTTGTGAAGCATTAATTATCCATAAATTGAATGGTTGCCTGATTAATTCAACGTCATGACATTAATTTAATCACATCAACTCGATTTATTTCATAACAGACACAAATTTTGTGGGCAAGTGTCTTAATGGGGAAAGAGAAGGGCTAATATATCGGTGGTCATAATGATTATTAGAGGCAAAAGGGGTAATGTTTTACTTTAGTAATTAACATGTTGGAAATTTTTATAGGCACTTAGTTGGAGTAATTACATTATTATTTGTTCTTTTACGTGTCAGACAAAGACTTAGGCCACGGATTGCCTTTTCATATGCCAAGAAAGGGACAGCAATTGGGCCACTTCAACACTATGTAATTTTTATTTAACACTCAATTTTAATTATTATATTAAGTATTTTATATAATTATAACATAACTATTTTTTAATTTATATAAAATGTATGATATAAATGTTAGCAATTTTTGGGTCACACATATATATTATATAATTAAATGTGTTAGGGCCATTATTTTATTAGCCAAAATATTTAAGTAGTCTAATTAATATAAAATTTATGGCTAAGAGCATATATGTCATGAAAGACTGATTGTGTAGATACCATTAGTGATATTACAATTTAATGAGGGGCTAAATTATAATTATCAGTTTTGGGGTAACTGATGGAAGTTACTAAAATAAGGGGTTATGATCTCTATTTGTAGAGCGCAATAACACACGTGAAAACACACGACTCTTTTCTCTTCATCCCCATCAGGAGAGAAATCCAAGAAAAAAAAAGGCTCTCTACATTTGGAAGATTATCAAACCAATCTTAAATCTCATCATCTTGTTTGTTCCTAATAACAAATTCAGGTACGCTTCCGCATTTATTTTTCATCATGATCTTGAGTATGGGATAGAAAGCATGTGATTAGGTTGATTGAATGAATTCCTACAATTGGTATCAGAGACTCCTATACTTGATTCATGTATGAATTTGGAAATTTTGAAATTAGGGTTCTAAATTGGAATTTTTTATTTTAATTGGATAATTGATTTGACGTTGTGCATCTAAGTTTGTTATTGTACTGTAATGTGCACCCAATTGCAATTTGAATTTGCCGTAAAGCCGATTGAAATCGTATTATAATAATAATATTATAATAAGAAATCATGATTTTCTTTAATTGAAATTGTGTGCCACCGATGCAAATGTTTTCAAATGTCTATTGATACTATTTAAATAGCGTGATTTTAAATTGGGAGTGCACCACATGTTTTCAATGTCCTGTGAATATGCCATATTTCTTTCTAATTGAAATCTGTGTGTGGTATGAATATTATAGTACATACGAACCAAAATAAGGCACATGATTTAGCATTCTAAAATATCGTTTTATGAATATATCGTCTACGCTATCCATTGCAAATTCAGAGTCAAAATTGAAATTACTAGTCCAAATTGGTATTTGGGCATTACGGGTCAAGATTGGCAATAATGGTAATCACATTCCTCGATTTTTATGCATAATAGTATTTGGCCATTACGAACAAAATTGAGTTTTGGTTTTCGTGCATATTCAACGTATCCAGATACATATATTGCTTTGCCGTCTTTCAAAATTAACAATTTTTATGTAGTGATCAAAATTTTATTTTAAATTTAATATATTAATGTTCAAATTTTGGCTGCTATTTAATATTTTAACTGAATTAATTAAATCAAGAAATCACCAAAGTGACATCTTTTGTGTAGAGTATTCGTAAAAAATGTTAAATGTTAGTATGTATGTTTATCCATGCGAGTATTAATTGGCCTAAAGGAAGATTAATATTTGGCCGGTTTGCATGCACACTTGTGATGGTAAACATGTGATAATTATGAGGTTTTGCTTGTGAATGATAAATCAATCCAAAGAGAGGTTTATTGTTTGACATGTTTTATTATTAATGTTTGATCATTACAACAAGGATACCACTAGCAATTAATATTACTGTCCAAAGACTTAATATTGATGATGCACTAGGTATCTTGAGATGGGTTATGCCATTATTTGAACATATAGATTAATTTTTATTTCATTTTGTGTGAGCATAATTGTATTATTTGTTTTATTCTCATTTCAGCTACTATTGCTTCAATATCTGCCAATCTGAATTCGGTTCCAGTTCTCAATGGCACTAATTTTGAGGACTGGAAAGAGAACATTGAAATTGTTCTTGGTTGCATGGATCTAGACCTTGCATTAAGGATTAAGAAACCCTCTTCTCCTACAGATTCTAATACCTCTCAACAGAGGACAGATTATGAGAAGTGGGATCGCTCAAATCGCATGAGTCTTATGATCATTAAGCGCGACATTCCTGAGGTCTTTAGGGGTACTGTTTCAGATGAAGTAACAAGTGCCAAAGAATTCCTTGCTGAAATTGAGAAGCGCTTTGCAAAAAGCGATAAGGCGGAAACAAATACTCTTCTTCAGAACTTGATTTCCATGAAGTATCAGGGCAAAGGAAACGTTAGGGAATACATTATGGGCATGCCTAATATTACTTCAAAACTTAGGGCACTATAAAGCTTGAACTGTCGGAAGACTTGCTCATTCATTTAGTGCTGATTTCTCTTCCCTCACAGTTCAGTCAATTTAAGATATCTTATAACTGTCAAAAGGATAAATGGTCTCTTAATGAGCTCATATCATACTGTGTGCAAGAAGAGGAAAGGCTGAAGCAAGAAAAGACAGAAGGTGCTCATTTTGTAAGCACCTCCAAAGACAAGGGAAAAAGAGAAAAGAGTCGTGTGTTTTCACGTGTGTTACTGCGCTCTACAAATGGGGACCATAACCCCTTATTTTAGTAACTTCCATCAGTTACCCCAAAACTGATAATTATAATTTAGCCCCTCATTAAATTATAATATCACTAATGGTATCTATACAATCAGTCTTTCATGACATATATGCCCTTAGCCATAAATTTTATATTAATTAGACCACTTAAATATTTTGGCTAATAAAATAATGGCCCTAACACATTTAATTATATAATATATATGTGTGATCCAAAAATTGCTAACAATCTCTCACTGGTCACAAATATATATATCCTCACAATCCTTATAAATGTGTTAGACTTTATGAGCTCAAAATTTGCCATTACATACCTTGAGCATATTCCAAAATCTCGTCCATTGATTACATCCGCATATAGAACCAAAATAGTTTTCATTCTATCAATCACAACTAAACCCATCAATGATTACTAATGTTGACAGAATCAAATGACATAGACTCATCATGAAATGAGTAGCATGAAAATTGCGTGAAGGTGGCCTGTATACGTCTATTTTCAACTGGTCCTACTTTACCTCAATGAGATCATTCAATAACCTTAATGTAAAAAGTGTAATAACTGAATGATAAAACATATATATTAATATATCCAAAAGTCAATGTATGCATACATAAAATCAAGCATAGAACATAAAATACATAAAAGTGACTAACTCCCACTAAATTAAAGATTTCTCAAACTTTAGAACACCCATATGAGCAATATGCTCATGTAAAACATTGGGTGGAAGTCCCTTAGTAAGAGGATCTGCTATCATGGAGTTTGTCCCTAAGTGTTCTATGAAAATCTGTCCACTCTGTACCTTTTCCTTAACAACTAGGAACTTGATGTCAATGTGTTTTGACTTGGTCGAACTCCTATTATTGTTAGAATACAATACAACTGAGAAATTTTGTCACAGAGCTGCAAATTGTGGAAAGAATTGAAAGACCACTTAAGTTATATTGTGACAACAAATCAGCTGTATTGTATTCTAACAATAATAGGAGCTCGACCAAGTCAAAACACATTGACATCAAGTTCCTAGTTGTTAAGGAAAAGGTACAGAGTGGACAGATTTTCATAGAACACTTAGGGACAAACTCCATGATAGCAGATCCTCTTACTAAGGGACTTCCACCCAATGTTTTACATGAGCATATTGCTCATATGGGTGTTCTAAAGTTTGAGAAATCTTTAATTTAGTGGGAGTTAGTCACTTTTATGTATTTTATGTTCTATGCTTGATTTTATATATGCATACATTGACTTTTGGATATATTAATATATATGTTTTATCATTCAGTTATTACACTTTGTACATTAAGGTTATTAAATGATCTCATTGAGGTAAAGTAGGACCAGTTGAAAATAGACGTATACAGGTCACCTTCACGCAATTTTCATGCTACTCATTTCATGATGAGTCTATGTCATTTGATTCTATCAGCATTAGTAATCATTGATGGGTTTAGTTGTGATTGATAGAATGAAAACTATTTTGGTTCTATATGCGGATGTAATCAATGGACGAGATTTTGGAATATGCTCAAGGCATGTAATGGCAAATTTTGAGCTCATAAAGTCTAACACATTTATAAGGATTGTAAGGATATATATATTTGTGACCAGTGGGAGATTGTTAGTAATTTTTGGGTCACACATATATATTATATAATTAAATGTGTTAGGGCCATTATTTTATTAGCCAAAATATTTAAGTGGTCTAATTAATATAAAATTTATGGCTAAGGGCATATATGTCATGAAAGACTGATTGTGTAGATACCATTAGTGATATTATAATTTAATGAAGGGCTAAATTATAATTATCAGTTTTGGGGTAACTGATGGAAGTTACTAAAATAAGGGGTTATGGTCCCCATTTGTAGAGCGCAGTAACACACGTGAAAATACACAACTCTTTTCTCTTCATCCCCATCAGGAGAGAAATCCAAGAAAAAAAAAAAGGCTCTCTACATTTGAAAGATTATCAAACCAATCTTGAATCTCATCACCTTGTTTGTTCCCAATGACAAATTCAGGTACGCTTCCGCATTTATTTTTTATCATGATCTTGAGTATGAGATAGAAAGCATGTGATTAGGTTGATTGAATGAATTCCTACAATAAATGCTAAATTGAGTGTATTTTTATTATTTTAATTACAAAGTCATAACAATGTTTGTTAGTTTTATTTTTTAGACAGGCTTTTTATGTGTCTGAAACCAAAGGAAAACAAGTATCGAGTTTGGTTGATTTGGTTTGCAATAAAATCCAATACCTAATGGTTGGTAGGGCACTCTATGTTAGACGCTGTCTGTAGAAAATCTCTCGCCACTGAAACTATGCATGTGATGTGAGTCATTGCCTCATTCGATGAAAAGGAAAACAGTAAAACCATATATCATATAGGCTATACATTAAAGATTATGAATACAGGGGTTGTTGTTATTAAAATAAAGCATTGGGACTAATTTCAACAATGACTAGTCAAATCAATTATATATAAGTTGAGAATATGAGAGGGATTTTAAAACATAAAAAGTAATTTGAAGTTGGTGTAAAACAGTGATATCGATATTAAAAGGAAAAGAAAATGAATTTGGGTACGTGAGAGTTAGGACTACACTACTTGGCGGGGGTTAAACGAAAGTTGTGATGTTAATGGAATAATGTGGCCATAAGCACATACCACAAATTTGTCTCATTGCTAAGGACATTTTGGTTACTGGTCTGTTTGACTGCTACTGATCATGCGGGCAGAAGAGGTGCCACATGGGACCCTATCATTGGTCATGCCTCTAATCTCTATCTTATTTTCATGTGAATTATGGCAACTAAATCTTCCGTACATAATCTTTGTGTGTGACAAATTCATGTAAACATAAATGCAAGAACTTTATTAATTTTGGCCAATAATCACTTTGTAGTGCAAAACATGTCATTTGTACGGCAACAAAGGTCAAGACTCGAGATTTTTCTTTTAGATTCTAAATAATTTAAAATCAGTTAATAAGATAACTAAGCTTAATAAAAATGACTCAAGCAAATGAGTGGTTTGCAGTGTCCTCTGAGAGGGTGTTGCTAGGCCATATTTTGTTTTAGTAAAGAGCTAATGAGGGGTTTCCAAGCTGGAAAGACCCTGGTTTACCGGATCCTGTCCACTTGGGAAGCCAGAGAATACACATGTCGGAGTGAAACTTAATTCCATATCACATTCTGAATACAAGTAAAAAGGTTACATTCTACTTTGTTTCAATGATTTACATGCGATCAAACAAAAAGAAACTACACCCAACAGATGAAAATAAAATAACATTAGGAAAATTTGGCTTCGTATAGTACAGTTATGTCCCTATCTTCTCACTTTTCATCCCCCTTACAATTTTTATTTTTTTGGCAATCACTTATTATTATTAATTTCCTTAAAGAGAAAAGTGAAAACAATATCATAGAAATTAATGATCAAGACTTGAAAGGGAAGAAAAATAAACAAATACTAGTTGTTATATTATAAGTCTCAACACAATGAATAATATTGAAGAAGCCTATTAGCTTCCCTAAGGCCACTGAAGTAAGCTCCATGAGTTGTAGAATAATGGGTTCTGTGGGTTGCTTCCCCTGCAAATAAAATTTGAAGTGATGGTGAAGTAGAATGTTGACAACTGATATTTTTGGGCAATGGTTCTGCCATTGTATCTAAATCATCACCACTTGATCCAACTGCCACATGACTGTATGAGCCTAAAAATAATGGATCTGTTCCCCATTTGGTCTTCAAAATTTTACTGAATTTCACCTCATTCCCTTGAGAGTTAACCTCAGAATTCACATTCCCGTTGTAAAACTCATGTGAATCAGAACCATTTTGCAAGTGGGAATGTGATAGAAAGCTTGAAAATGTCTCAGTAACCCCTTTGATGATCTCTTCATCTTGGAGTGATTCAAGTGCTAGTGCTTCTTCCCCGGCAAACCAAGTCAAAAGAACACTAGAATTGTTGTATATGGGACAAAGGGTAGGTGTCCTCCTCATCCACCAGGGTATTTTCTTGTGTCTCAACTCAGAGTGAGGTGAATGAAAAACCATTTGCAAAAAGGGGAACCCTTTGGAGTGTTCATCTTTTCTTTCATGTGTTGGACTCAATTGCATAAACAACTTATCAACAACACCAAAGCCGAGCCTTGAAATTGCCTCAACCTTGAAAGAAGGTAGAGGGGGATGGAACATACCTGAATCATCACTGATAGCAGCTTTTAATACTCCTAGTGAAACTGTGACAATGACATGATCCGCAGACATAGTGGAGCCATCACAGAAATGTAGCTTCACAGGCCTAGAACATGATTCATTTTCCTTATTCATTTGGCCATGTCTTCCGGGTTGCCATTCAATTCTTGTGACTTTTCTACCTAACTGAATTAAACCAGGCGGTAGCACAGATGCTAAGGACTGAATTATGCTCAAGTAGCCCTTAGCAATTGTGGTTTCTTCACCTGGAAACGCTTGGTATTCACTCTCAGCACTATAATCTAGAGTAAACAAGTCACCAGCTGATGTATAGGTCCTCTGTGTGTTCTCATGCATGGAAAAGATGGCTTCATCAAGTAACTTCCTGCTCCATTTCCCATATCCCTTGAGCTCCTCTTCCTCCTTTGATGAATCCCAATAAGCATGGAGTCCTTGTCTGAGAAAAGAGCCAACACTAAGGTTTCCACAGTCACCTTTGGTCGTTGTTGTTGTTGACTTGTAGGCTAAGGTAGCGAGCTTATAACTTCTATGAAGTTCATTTTTTGCACCATCTTGAGTCAGCTTCCCCTGAGCATGATCCATCAGATTCTTGAAAAGCCTTGTGATGGGGTCAACAACGGAAGGGTTTAGCACAAAGCCACCTTCAGCAATGGTGGTGGCTTCATCCCAGTTACCATTCCCATCCATGCACTCCCAAGGCTTCTGAGACTCCAGTGCATGGATTTGCTGAGCTATTTTGTGAATTGGGCTGCCTCCAATTCCATGGATCCAAGTAGCACCCATCTCAATCTTATCACCACCAAACTCTGAAGTGCTGATTCTCCCACCTATCCTATTTCCACCTTCCACAACACACAGCTCAAACAAGTCCTTGGAGCCAGTGACAGTGTGAAGCTTGTTGGCAGCAGTGAGACCTGCCATTCCAGCTCCAATGATCACAATCCGTGGCTTCTTCATCACCATTTTTGCCACCTAGCTCTGCTTGTCTCACAGAAATTATAGCCAATAAAACAAAAATAGAGTGAGGAGAAAAAAAAAGATACACTGAATGGTACAATACAAGTGGTATGAAGGTGAGGTTTGAGTCACTGACAATGAATTTATAACTGGGCTATGTGCTGCGTCACTGAACGTGGTGGCTCTTTAGTGTCACATTATTTGTGTACAATCAAGCAGGCCACTTTGTTGTTTTCTTAAAATTCAAATGTTTATGTTTTCTCTTTTGAAAAAGAATGTTAGAATTACAAACCAAAATGAATTCCAAGTAACGTACTACTAAGTTTCAAGAACAGATACGTAATCATATAATTATAAAGTGACTTTATTCACTCTCCTTTTGCTAGTGACTTCTTTCCGCACACTATAATTTATTAACCCTAATAAAGACACGGCTCTACTTTTCTTTATTATCGTTCTACAACTATAAGCAAAGAGTCTCACTTGAACAACCAAGAGTGTAAAGAATCTGGTTGTGATTGTTTTAACTTAATTACTCATTAATTTCGAGTTAAAATAGTAGAAGAAATTTATATTAGAAATGCATGTAATATATAGAAAAGTCTCACTTGAAATTGCTAGTCGTGTATTGGAGAACCCCTCTTCAATAATTAATATATATTGAAAGAAGCCCCACCCAAATAAATGCCCACGAGTGAGTAATAATTCATACAATACATAACCAGTGGGGAAAACAAATCAAACAAATTGTACGATGAAAACAAAAATAAATGGAGAAAAAAGGAAGATAGATACATTGATAGTGCTTTTCACCGACCTTAGATTACATGTATATTGAGATGGAGAATAGGGGAGTCGGCTATCGTTAAGTCGTTAGCAGGATGAACTACAAATCAAATAATTACAATCTTTTTCTTTGTTATTATTGATACTACTTACTTTGGTGTATGCCAAAATCCCTCCTCAAGCGTAGTCAGCTTAGACCTAGTAATTACAAAACGATTCACATAAGATTTTACTTTAGTATATTTCATTATAATAATTTTGCTAATAAATGTTTTAATAATGAAAAGTTACTAGAAATAAAGCTTAATCTTTTATTAAAAATTCTGCTAAAAATATATTAAAATTATCATAAGAATGTGTTTTTTACGTATATAAGCCTGTGAGGTTAATAAAAACAATCAACATTGCTAGCAGTATGATTTCTCATAATATCTTCCAGTATTTCTTAAGTAGTTCAAAGAAGGTTTATTCAATTAGGGTAATCTTGTTAGTTTAATTATTAATTGTTGAACTTATAGGGTGTATTTTTTTCTCACTCCGTATTCATGATTCTGCCCCATTCAAAACTTTATACGGAGAACCGTAAATTGGGATGATTGAGACCCGTGTCTCCCCTCAAATTTGACCTGTTTACAATATCTTTGCCCGGTTGCTGCATTTGTTGTGCTAGAGACACATGATTGTGACCCATGTCTCTCCTCAATTTGACATTGAGTGATTCATATGAGAACGATCGTGTTTGAATGGGTACAAAAGTGGTAATGGATTCGAATCATAAAGATCATTACTTGTTGGGTCTCACTTTCTTGGCTTACACCATCAAATTATCTTTACACACATCATGTAGTGAAATCCAACAGATATGCCATGAGAGCCTCAGAAGTTTTTCTTTCCTTATCTTTTCTGGACTTTTCAAAGCTCTTTCCTTTTGTTAATCAATCAACTTAATTACGGGACGAAACTGATTCTTAACACAAATAATTAGATAAATAATTCCAGATAATAAAAAAAGTGTAAGAAAGGACTTGGACAATAGTACATAGATAAAATCAATCATAGAGAAATCTAACCAAAGGATAGGATTTACGAGCCACAAACTTTTTCATTCGACCGGCTTTGGTGTCTAGTACTAGTACACATCCTCAAGTTTCCCATGTTTAGGGCCAGTCAAGCCCTTTAAGTTAGTAAAGGCTTATTAGAAAATTTCAAATTATTTCATGATATTTTAATCTTATGTATTTGGTGTATATTAAAAAATACAAAATATTTATTATATTTCATTTAATACTTACCTTTTTAAATATTCAAAGCACTTGAGAAAAATGTAGTCAATGTCCTTTAATCTGTGAAACTGATATATGATATAAAAGGTGTTAACGTAAACAGAAGTCTAGTTACATATTTACATCTTAATAGTTACATATTATCAATAGGGAAAAGTCTAAACCCCCTCATAGTTTCTTTTGGTTTACCGTGTTTATCCAAATTTATCAAATGGTCATAGTCGAACGTTGTTGTTTTCATACTTCCCTTTCATGCGAATCTTAACATATTCATCATACCAAACACCACCTTATGAACAAAATCCCATATAATATTTAACTAATTCTTTCATTTGTTCTTAGTAATACTTATAAACACGAAAACCCCGATGCGAAAATCAAATATAAGAATTTGTGACCAAAAAAAATTATAAATTTTGCTTTTTATGTTTACAAAAATTTCTAATTATTAAATGAATAAATTATTCAATACTTTTCATATTTTTAAGATAATACATACCTATTCAATATTATTTTATAATACACACACACACACACACAAAATACCATAGAGCCATTTAGTGGTTGATTACACATCTCTGTTATGGAAACATATAATATTTGTAGGCCCAATTTAAAGTTGTTCAGCCAGCAAGTTTGTGGAACCATTTGTATGAGTCCATGAGAGTAGATGGGGAACGGTCCATTAAAAAAAGTTAGATGGGGAATTAGGAGTTCTCATCGATAGATTTCAGCGAGTATAACTTGGATAAGACAGTGGCGCCAAGTGCATAACCAATACCATTCAGAAATTAAAATTATATTCAAATATACGATTAATGTATTTTTACTTGGGTTTCAATATATTTTTAATGAACTTTTTAATATTTATTTATTAGTGTCTACTAAAATTTAAATGCAATACCCATTATTTTTATGTTACTTTTTAATTAAAATTTTACCCCAATGACAAATGCCAATCTTTAATGTCAATTTCTAGTTTACAAATTCGTAAGGTCAAACATAAGTCTTAATTAAAAGATACACTAAAACCATTTAAAATACTAGACTTGCTCACAACCATACTTCAATTGGATTTGAATGATCACAGATTGTCCTAACCATTGGCAGGGATGACAATGAAATTTATCACACTATCGAATACCCACAAAATACTCAAAATGAGTAAGTTAAATACCAACTCAATGTATTAATATCAAGATAATACCCGCAAAAATATCATGGAACACAGTATAAGTATTATTATCATATCTTACTCATTTATTCATACTATAATAAATTGTTTCAATTTTTTACATAATGCACGTAACAGTACGATCCACGTTCCACGAGATAAGAACAAGTATGATATGTTTAGATATTATTTATAACTATATTCTTAATCTAAAAATTTTCATAATATTTAACATAAAAAAGTCAAAAATAAAAATATTTACATAAAAAGTATTATTTCAAATATTAGTAAAATTTTTAATGATAAAATTATCAATCCTAGTAGAAGTGAACAGCCCTTTCCGCTTTCTTTAACGAGATCCCCATAAAATGAGATTAACCGCTCGACACTTCCAAAAGATACAAACATGAAAACATCAATCGGAGGGGGTAAATTGTCCCCGGAGCCGAAATGGTACACACACAAAGTCATAAACAAAATGCCCAACCCGTCTATTCAGGGAGACCACATATAACGCTGTGTTCATCAGCATTCAGCAAATAGAAATTACCCGAGAATCATGCCTGAAAACGATCTCAGATATTCATTAATCCTCTTTTGCATTACACATAACCAACACTGTTTATAATAGATTAAGAAGAACTTGAGTCACATGTAAAACTAAAACGTCCAATGCAAATTTTCATTTAAAGCTATCTGCTTTGCAAAAATTTCATCCAATTCGATCAATTATACATAAACGCCACAAGCAAGTAGGAGGAACAAGGACCCAAAACCCTGCCATGGAGATTTACACACATAAGTTTACAATATTATACCACTTTCACGTCAGAAAAGGACAGAACAAAGGAAATACAAACAATACATACCAAGAAGACTGATGCCACTGCTCCAGTTGTCAGCTCCTGAACAAGGGAACGAGTTTTTCTAGAAGAGGTTGCTTCATAACTGCAAATAACACATCCATTTATTTGAACGTCTAAAAGAGGAACCAAGATACAATATAAGCCATGAGTGTGGCATGACCATTCATAGTTCATGAGAGAACTTCTGATATCTTTAAAGCTTCAAAGCATCATCACATCACAAAAATATAAGACAAAAGGCAAGTAAAACACACACCTATGATCTATTACTATATGTCACCAAACAAAATCAACAATAATATTCAGTTTTAGGGTTCACATATTCAAGTAAGCCTGCCTCAACTACAGGCCTACTTTTCAAAAAACCAAAATTTTGTTATCCGCACTTTGCAAGGCTCTCTTAACATTTTTTTTTTCTAAAGGAGAAACATTCACTTTCCACCACAGGAGGTGCCAAATGCAGAAGCAAACACGCTCTACACAATTTTTTTGTCCAACAACAACCAGCTTGGTGAGGATGATAAAGTTGCCCATTTTGACACAACTATGGACATGTGTCAATGCCGGTTTAACAAAGACACAACTACTATTTAAATTGTCTACATACTTGTACATTAGCTGGTAAACAACAGATGGGCGAAGGGGCGGATTCAATCGAAGGGATGTATATCCTGATGGCCTAAAGTTGAAGACAAATTTCGTTGAAATAAAAACATTTCAGCATCTTAAAAAGGATACCTAATTAAATTACCTATAGTATTACCCTTGGCATGGAAGAACATTCTTCCGACAGCACTTAACGAATTACATCCTACATTAAACTTACTCCTACACAGGCAAGAACTCAGACCAAATCAGCCAATGGATTTGGCACTCATCAACAAGAAAAACCTGCATGTCCCACAAAGAAACACTCGCTACTACAAACAACTCATCCTTCATTTGGTTATCACTTAATTAGATACGAATCAAGCGCCGTTTACGTTGACTAAAATTCCTAATATTAACCTATCGAATCAAATCCGCTCAGAATTTGCAAATACAAAATCGAAATCGAGTGTGAATGTGGAAAAGAAAAGGCAGTGAAAAGAAGTTACATGAAGAAAGAAGCAGTTAAGAGGAGGCCGATGGCGAGGGTGAAGACGGAGAGTGTGGGATACCACGAATCAGGAACAGGACTGGTTATCGCTGTTGGAGCCTTCCACAGAAAATTCAAACAAAACCAAAATCAGAAAATTGAAATTGAAAAGAGAGCATCAAAATGAAATTGAAATTGAATTACCATCACAGAATCTGGAGATTACAACACTGGATCTCGCTCCTTCCAAACTTCAACTGCAAACCCCCCTTCCTCACGCTGACTCTCCTCACTCTCTTCAGCGTCAGCGCCTTTTAGAGCACCTCACAGTTCCGATGAGCCCAACTTTCAAGGCCCAAAAACTTAATCTCGGCCCAACATTTTTTAAGTTTTAGGTTTTAATACGCTCACTGGTTAGTGGGCTCGTAGAGACAAAAAAGGTTGAATACATGAATACATTATAGTAGAAGCTATATGGTATATTATATAATAAGGGGAGGAATGAGTAGAATTAGCAATATAATTGGGCGTGTAGGTTTAGGCAATTAGCTCTGTCCCTAAGATTTTAATTTCTAATATTTGTTAATATCCTATTTATCGAAAAATTAGGGTGAAGCACTTTGCTATCTTATCTTGACTACTCATATTATTTCAATTGTTTAAATTTTATAATTTATAAAAAAAAAATGCATACATTTGTTACATAATTGATCACGATCACATAGTTTCGAACTATAGAAAAATATCTCTTGTTTACCAGCATATTTACAGAAGATTAATAGATAATAGAAATTAATTAAAAGTTTATAATGTCACCATTCACCAATTTATGAAAACGTAGATGGAACCAATTGCTTGTACCCTTTTGTTTATCCTTCGCTGTTCCTAATTTTTGTGCTGACATGTTCTTTTACATGAAGTGAGTGCGACTCTTTTTCACCTGAGGACAAGCTTTGGTGCAGTGTTTACAGTGTAAGACAGTTCGTTGATACAATTTCTAAAAGTATATTTTTTATATGATAAAATATTATTAATTCATTCTCATCATTATAATTTTTATTAAGTTTAATTTCTTAATCTTTAACCAATATCCTTAAATCATATCCGGCGTTGGCGTGGAGTAAAGCTTTCACATTGAAGTTGTTCTCCTTTTTGAGCTTCACTTTTGTGGCTTGTCTCTTTCTATTTTCTCACGCTGTTTCATTGAAGTCGTACACAGACCATTAGCATACAATCGATTGCTTCAAAAATCTGGGGACTGTAATGTTAAGAAATGCACCCATGATATATAAAGTCCAACACAAGTATACAACCAAACAGCTATGTTTTGACAAATTTAACATTACAAACTTCTTTGACCCAATTTTATTGATGATGCAAGTGCAAAGACTATGTTTTTATTGTTTTATATGTTGCATAGGACAACGAAGCAAAAGATCAACTTCAGTAGTCAAAGAAATTCTTGGTTCCACCCACGAAAATGCTCCTCTTCCCTTCACACCAATTTAAACATGACAATGCACCTTTTTAACCAAAATATCTATAAATTTCAGTTCAATTATGCACCCTTATTTTGGATTAACCACTTATATCAATTAGACTACACAAATTTGGTTACAAGGTGAATGCAGACAAAGGTGAGTTGGAATGTTACTAGTGGTGTGGAGGAAGGGAGAACATTTCTTCTAGGAAGAAGTAAGGAGCCCTCTTCAGTCTTCTTTTTACCATCAAGGCAGATTCACATTGCTTCCCCTCTTTAGGGTTGGTACCAGTTACGGAATATGTTTGCAGGATAGCAGCAAAGCATGGAACATCCTATTTACAACTTGCTTCTATTCCCAAGTTGAGCCTAATAAGGCCCTCAAGCTGAGGAGTGGATGCCTCTTGCAAAATTGAGATTATGAACTGCAGATTCACAAATCCAGGGAGTGCAATATCCACAAACATAGTCCAAAAAATGCAATTGCCCTATGAGAACCTGATCATAACTTCAACATGGTTCCATGTTCAGTGACGCTGCCACTAGAAAGACTTCTAATTATCTGCCACAACCGCTTGCTTCTTCCAGTTCTCAGAGGACCTGAATAAGAGTTTCTTCTAAATGATCCAGATTCCAGCCTGCCAAATCTTGCTGATGAACTGAATAGTTCTGATGCTGACAAGCCTCTTTCAATATCAACTCCAGAATCAAAGTTAGTAGCTGAGAATTGGCTTTGGAAATTATCTGGTAGTTGACCAGAAACAGTCCTCATTCCTACATCTAAATCAATAGATAAATCTTCCTGGCTAGAACTTCTTGAACCAGCTTCTTCTCTCGTTTCATCACATTCATTACATACAAGTTTTAAAGCCTGAACAACCTCACCCATGAAAGGACGGTTTGATACCTCTGGTTGCACACACATTGAAGCAATGGCAGCAACTTTTGCCACACTATCAAAAGGCACATCAGCTCCCAGAGATGGGTCTATTATTGTTTCCAATCCTTCTTTACTTGTGAGAAGTGGACGAGCCCAAGCAACAAGATTCTCTTGACCAGGAGCTTGTGATAGGTCTACAGGTTTTCTTCCAGTCAAAAGCTCAAGAAGAACAACACCATAGCTGTAAACATCACTCTTAACAAGAAGATGCCCAGTCATTGCATACTCCGGAGCCACATAACTAAAACAATTTTCAAATATCAAAAATATGTATATATATATTTATCAGCATGCATGATAGTGAAAATCAGCCAGAAAAACATAGGTTTCAATGAAGTGAAGATATTGCCAAAATTCAATGGTTAATCCTATACTATTGAATGTAGATGTTTAGAAACGAGGGCTGCAAGTGTAGCAGACAAGAACAAAGCAGGATTAAATATCATGTGTATCCTCTCAAATTTTCTTCTTTGTGATGAATCATTTAGAAAAGTTTATATTGGACTGGTTAATGTACTAGCGTTAAGGCAGAATTTTGGAAGATAGTTTTGTCACCTAGATTTTAATATTGAGCATACTTCCGTATGGATAAGTTAGATAGAGTTGTGGCTGGATAGATAATTCCCATGACATATTACCAGAAATAGTACTTACCTCTATTATTGAAGGATTACAGCTTACAAGACTTAAATGAGACTTAAAATAAGTGACTACAGACGCAAATGCCTTTTGGCATGGTCACGAAATTAATTCATTTGACTTGACTAATCAACAGCTTTCATATTTAATATGTTAAAGAGATAATTTTTTCTAAAACAGAAAAAGAAAGGAATAAAAGTTTGTACCCAAAAGTTCCCATGACTCGTGTTGATATGTGTTTGTTCTCCTCATCTGTTGCCGTTCGAGCCAAACCAAAATCAGACACTTTAGGTGTAAAATCATCTTCCAACAATATGTTGCTAGACTTGAAGTCCCTATGTATAACACGGGGATTTGAATCTTCATGCAGATAAGCTAGACCACGAGCAGCACCAAGAGCTATCTTCATTCGGGCACTCCAGTCAAGTGTGCTGTTTTCTTTGTCAATCCCTATCAGAAGACAATAAAATAAGACATACATTAACAAAACAACTAGCATGCTACCTCAAGGATGAAGTAAGAAAAATATCAGCAAATTTAAGTACCATGTAAATGAGATTCCACGCTTCCATTTGGAATAAGTTCATAAACCAAGCAGCGGAAGCTACCCTCAGTACATATACCAATTAACTTGACCAGATTTCTATGGTGAAGACGACTAAGCATCTCAACTTCAGCTAAGAATTCACGGTCACCATGATGATCCTCTCTCTTTAGAACCTTGACTGCCACTTTCATTCCATCTTCAAGAATACCATTGTAAACAAACCCAGAACCGCCTTCTCCAAGTATTCTTGAAGCATTAAAAGTATCAGTAGCTTTCTCAATGTCATTCATATTGAAAGTCTTAGCAGATCCTGTATAAGCAGCAATGCTAGATCGAAATGATGTGGAAACAGAACCGACTCCCCCACCTCTAATTGTTGACCTAGCAGTACCTATGAAATTCATGTTTTGTGAGCAAAAGGGCCCAAAAATGATAAAACAAGTAAGTTGTTGGTAATAATTATGCAATAAGGAAATATTCAAAAGTGTAGATCTTGAATAATTATATTTCAAAATACCATTTTATTTGAATCCTTGAAATTGAATTATTCTATATCTGCAAAGAATCCTTCCAGTTTTTCCTACTTCTATTAGATTAGATACAAACCAAACAGTTAATTTGTAATACATAAATACAATGTTGCTTTTAGTGAACCACTAAGACAAGGAACTGACAGGAAAAATTGCAAGAGCTACTTCACCTAGTTCTTAGAATATTAGTTGTCTTACCTGGTTCTTTGGTAAGAGATGGTAATGAAAGCTGAGCAACTGGCTGACTAACATGGTCTCTGAGCTTGAACATGACCCAGGCAGCACCAGCACCAGCACATAAAACAACTGCTACAGAAACTGAAACAGCAATAGTGGCAATTATGCCTCTGCTAAGTCCACCTTTATGCTGCCTCTGCTGTATGTCAACTCCAAAGGGCTTTATTGTCCTTCCATTATTGTCATCAGTGGAATATGGACCACCATCTATCATGGTAATGCTTGAAGGAGGCAAAGGAGGAGAAGGAGGTAAACCTAAATATATAGGATTAGGACCCCATAAAATTTCTCAATGGAAGAGTCAGAGAAAAAGAAGGTAGACAAGAAATTAAAATTTATATATACCTGGATAGCTCACATATAACACATCATAGTCTCCAAAGTAGGAAGCTTTTATAAGAACCTTTTTATGCCAAAATCTGTCAGAAGTCATAAAGGCTGTGGTATTATCAAACTTTTCCCCAAATGGCACCAAATCAATAAGTACAATAGTTTTCTCAGGTTGCTGGTTTGCTGCATTTGCTCCCATAATCCGCACTTGATTTTGTTTCATGAAAACCCCCGTGGCAATTTCAGAAGCTAGTTCTGGAACCAAAGGGAAGAAGGTGTAAAGAGAAATGCTAAGGCGAAGACCAATTCGCATGGGCCAGACACATCTGCAAGGTGCTCCAGGTGGAGAATTTGTATAAGGTTCTGTGCAGATAGTTGATAAACAATCTGAAAAATATATATTTCAGTATGATGAATAAGGCTGGTAACAGTCAAAGAATTTAGATAGTGGTAGCTACAACTCCAGCATAAAACATATTAAGCAAAGAAAGTGCTAACCTTCATTAGGAGGTGGGGGAGGCAGTGCTTGAATTTGAGGCAGGAGGGGCATCTTAGGGCTCTTGGAAAATGACCGAGATGGAGATACTTTAGGAGGGAAAATGGTACATGCAATAGCAAAAACAATGAATAACTTACACTAGTAAGTAGTAGATGATGATGATGGGACATGATTTTCTAAGCTTTTTTTTTTTTTTAATGAACTGATAAATATGGAATTTTGGTAACCGAGAAAAGGATGTTCAGCCTTCATACTTCCAGTTGGGTGAGATGCAAATTTGATTGATGGAGAAGGAGCAGGTGAAACTTGGCTCATGTTTGAATAAATAGGGGAAGAGAAGGGGGAAACTAAAGAACATACCATGCAAAAAAAATGTAATTAGAAATGCCCTTTGTTTACTTCTCATTCTCATAAAATAAACATCTAAAAAAAGATTTACAATACCTATATATGTACCTGAGTTCATTGGAGGTGGAACAAGATGCCTGTGTCCATTTGATGGTGGCAACAAGGGAGGAATTGCTGCTTCTATATCAAAAGTATAAACGAAAAACTGATTATATATTCCATTGTAGCAAAGAACTTTGTTTTGGGCACAATTTAATGAATTGGGGAAAGCCAACCTTGGTGTTTTGAAGTGAGAGGGGAAACGACATATGATGATGCAGGAGCAGGGATGTTAATTATCTCCTTTGTATGAGGATGACTATAGAATGAGGTTGAAGGTGAAAATGCAGGAGAATGATATTCTTTATTGGAAGGAGATTTAGGAGATGAAATCAATGGATCAGGAGCATGATGTAACTGCCTTGCTTTTTGTGCGGCAGGAGCTACAGCAGAAAAATAAAGGTTAGTTGCATATAAAGTACCATTTTAAATTTGGTAAGTGGTAACCACTAACTACATTTCCAACAATGTTCCAGTATGATGTCAATTTTGTGTTGTTTTTCCATTTTTTAAGTTTAAACTCCCTTGTTAGTATAATCTTTCAATAGCTTGTGCTCTTGAATCAATGTGCATTCTTTAGATGAAATTTTGCAACTTTTGATATAATAGTGTTAGCCTACCTTGAGCAGGGGAGTGTATTACAGCTGGAAGTGGCTTTGGATTTTCGTACAAAGGTGCAGAAACTGGTGCTCCTCCTTTCTTCCAATTGACCCTTCTCAAAGGAATGGGAGAGGCAACAGGTGCTGCACCAAACATGTTTTGTTATACAGGAGAGAAAATTTTAATATTGAGAATGAAATTCTAAAGTAAAATATAAAATAAAACAATATTTTTCATTCTCAAGGTAGTACCTGAAAATTGAATGCTGACAGTAACAACTAAACTCAAGTGATGCGTAAAGGCATCTTAATGATTGCATATTCTCCTACATGTCTGGCGGCAAATTTTCTTTCTTTAATTATGTTGAACATCTTGCATGCAAACATCGTGGAACAATTTTTTGTGTCAAACAGCATTGTGACCATTTTTTTATTATTCCTTTACGTAAGGAGGAAAGATTATGCACGTTAAAGAAACATATTACTGATATTAGTCATGATTGTCCTTTTTAATCTCAATCTGATAGTTAAGGTATCTGAATTCATAATTCGCAATGTCTTATTATCAAGTGGCATTGGACGGGAGAGATACAATCACACCACTTTTTGGATTATCAACGGCAATAGTAATTCAAATAGGCGGCAAATTATACGTAAGATCTACATTTCAAAACTTTGTTATTTGAAGTGAATCGTGGCGAGACTTTAAAAGTGGAAATGAAGACACAGAATGATTTAACAGCAAAATGAAACTGTATAATATTTTAAAACAAATGGTAAAATAAAGGGAAGTTAAGAGAACAATATCCTTTCTTAAGAATTTCACCTGGTAACTTTGATGGAGATACTGCTGGAAAAATTGGATGGACCAATGGTGGCTTTACTGGAAATGCACTTGGTGGTGATGTAACTGGTGCTGCATGAATTCCACAGAAGAATAATGAGAAAACTGATAACTTTGACAAGTTTAAACTTTATCTTCCTTTCTTCTTTCATCACATAAGGTAATAAAATTTACCAGGTAATATGGATGGAGTTGTTGTTGGGAGAATGGGGTGGGCCTCTGGTGGGATATGTTCAACCTTCCATGGTGGGGATGCAACAGATTCTGTAATTCAACAAAAAGGAGAAATTAAGAATCATATAGTTGAATTTCGGACATGATTTGATAAGATTGTTACCTACCTGGTGAAACTGGCTCAGAGGTGTGACCTTTATTTGTATTCCTTTCATGAACATTAGGTGAATTACTTCCATGCTGAGTTGGTTCACTGACTGTTGAATTTTTTTTATAAGTTGTGGGAGGTATAGCAACTGAGCCTGTAAAAATACAATAGAAAATTAAATTTAAGGATCAATACATGCTGAAAATTGATAATGAGGAAAAAAAAAAAAAGAATAATCTAGTAGAAACCTGGAGAAACAGGCTCCAAGGTGTGACCCGTGCTTGCATTCCTTTGGTGAAGAATTGGTGGCACACCTCCATGTTCAGGAGGCTGGATGAAAGGTGATGCTTTCGGCAAATTAACTGCTACAGGAACTGTTCAAAATTCAATAGAATAGCATCTGGTTGCTCAATACCAATGGAAGCTGGAGATGATGGAAGGAAATTTTACAACTATGTAGAAAGAATTCAGGTAACAACTTTTGACTTTTATCACATGCCTGGTGAAATTGGTTTTGCGCTGTGACCTTTATTTGAACCCTCTTTAGGAGGAAAAGTTCCATGTTCAGTCGGTTGGCTACCTGATGAATTTTTGGGCAAATTGGTAGAAGGTTTTGCAAGTGGTGCTGGTCAAATATTTAATACAATAGCATATTTGTGTCAAAAACCAATTTGAAGCTATTAACTATGAAAAGGAAAGCCATCTAGTGCAAGTTCTAGCTAGAACATGACAAGAATTTTATACATGCCTGGTGAAAATGGCTCTGCTGGGTGACTCTTATTTGCATTTCTATTATCAACATTAGGTGCCAAATTTCCATGTTCAGCTGGTTGGCTGACTGGTGAAGTTTTTGGTGATCTGTCAAAAGGTATAGCGATTGGAGCTGTCCAAAATGCAATAGATGAACAAGAATCAAGGTCAATAAACTACCCTGGCCAATAAACAAGAAGAAACAACACAATCATGTACCTGATGCACTTGGTGTGGACACAGGAGGCCTAGCAGCAGGTGCTTTCCTTTGAGGTGGACTTGCTTTTACAGGTGGCGGTGTGTTCACTTGAACTGCTGATGGTGAAGGAACAACCTCATATGGTGGTGACAATGCTATAGTGCTTGGACTAGGAGACTCGATGTCTTTAATCTTCTGAGGGGTTGGAGCTGATGTACGAGGTGGTAATGTATCTGGAGGCTGAAGGAATGACCCTGGATCATGAAAACCTAATCTTTTGGTTAGATGATCACAACATTATTTATTGAACTAAAACAATGGGATTACCATTTGGTACTGCTGGAGAGCTTGGGGCAATGGTTCCCCATGAATCTCTTGGATGTAAAGAAGTACCTGGTGTTTCACTTGGGGAATGATACACGTGCAAGTTTGAAGGAGATGGGGATATAAGAAGCCCTGAAAGAAGATATATAAGTATCAAATAGCAGTGGAAACTAATAGAGATGGTGAATAATTAAATTTAAAAAACGTAAGCATCAAGGCCATTCTGTAATATTTAGATATATACCACCTCCATCTGATGGTAGCTTTGGTGCTTTGCTTCCCTCTACAAGATCGATAGGACCAAGTGCTTCTGTTCTAGGAGGAATGACAGGAAGAAATGCCGGAGATGGAGATATAATGGACCCTTAGAGAGAAGATATTATCAATTAGAATGCCAAAAATTCCATGAAAAACAAAGGAGAGAACAATTTATCAGCAAGGTAAAAAATTTATCACTGATTAATCAAGTAAGCACATGAGCTCATTTTAGCATTAGTTTAGCATTTTGGGATCTTGGTATTTATTTCAATATTTGTCTCCTGGTTAATTTTGAAGAGTGATTTAAAGAATCTTTGACCAATTTGGAAAATAAAAAATTGGTTGAATTCTTCATTCTTCTAAATCTACAGACAACTGCTTAATAAGGATTAAGGAATGTACTAGCTTCCAAGAATGGCTAATTACAAGGGTACAAGAAATCAAGACATAGGCAAAAAATGCCCTGATTAGAAAACCTCCATGCCTTAATATGACTTTGGGAATTACAACTATAAACCAGTAAAATGTATAAGCAGCTATGCTTTGCAGAATACGGCAATTATATCATAGACAAGAGGACATGACTAGCTGAAGAAACAAATCGGTAAGTCTCAGCAATTTCAGCGTCTGGAACATTGTGAACCTTACTTGAAAAGCCCGGTTAAAAAAAATTTAACTCAGCCACATTGTTCTAAGTTACCAATGCCATTGGTTCTAAACTTCTAATAGCTTCTCATCTTTCAAGAACTAGAATATGAGGAAAGATAATGGTTTCAAAACCCTGTACACCTTATAATCAAAGGTACATGTCAGCAATGCAAGGGGATAATAGAAAGATGAAGAATGGTGCTCAATTTGGTTGCAAAATTGAGTTTATAAAAGAATCACCTACCTTTGGTATCTTGGGCTGCCACAACAAAGCCAACGATGCAGAGCTTCAACAGTTGCAGCATCAAAGGCGAAACCACCTCCATCCCATTCCAATCTCCAAGTACAAGTGTACGACTACAACTTCCTCAGTAATGATTCAGAATAAATGAGAGAATAAATTATAAACTTTGAAGAAGTTGGTAGCTTGAAGCAAGAACAAAAGGATACTAAATTGAAGAAGGCCCACATATAGTGGCACCAAAGCAATGAGAGAACAAGCCAGAATTGTTTTTGGTGAAAAGGACAAGACCTAAAAACACATGTTTGTTGAAAACAATAGTTCTGGCATTGGCAGGGTTCAGAAAATTCCATGGGCGAAGAGGTAAAAGTTGAACTCTTTTCACCGTTAGTTAAACGAGGTTAAAATTGATCCAAGTGAGAATATGTTCAACAAAACATGTGAATTCACAATCCACATATTGTTCAGATAAATAATAAAAATTAAATAGCAAAAAATAGATTAAAGTGGTGACTCAGTGGAGATTATTATTATTTATTAACAAATTGTCATTGCTTCGTGCTTCAGTTCAATGGGGGTTGCCTAGTTGCTTTTCTCCATTTTTGGTAGCTCCTATAGGCCATCTTGAGATGGTGACTTATTGATAATAAGGTGTTTCAGGTGTCTTGTATCAAAATTTAAAATGAAAAGGTATGCCATGTGGCGAAGCCTTGTTATGCCACATCAGCAGTCACCCCTCACGTTTTCAGATTTTAATGGTTAATGTGGCTTCAGCGGTACATAACAAATAATCATACAAGAAGGTAATACAAGTTTTAAATTAGAGATCCAATCATATCTGTCTGTGTAAAGATGAAGTGACAAATGACGAATTTTGGGTGAATAAAATGTCTACACGCACAACTCTATAAAAATTCTAGATGTATTAAAATCACAATAAAATTGTTATAAAAAAGTTTACATTAAAGTTATTTTAATATCAATTTTAATTAAGGAGAAGATTTTTTTTATATTGATATAAGTTTAAAACTTTTTATACTCAATTTAATTTTTTATTTAATTTATATTTAATAGCTAATAAAATAATAAATTATAAAATGATAAATATAAAATAAATAAAAAGTTTAAATCAAAAGAGTTTTTAAATTTAACTAATGTAAGAAGATATAACCCTTTAATTAATTATACTTACAAATACTATATTTAGTTCGGTCAGTTATTGACTCCATCTCACTCTCTTGAATCTAAGAAGAAAAAAAAATTGAAAATTGTGTAGTGGAAGTTGGTGAGAAGAATCCATCGCTCCTTTGGGAGACAAATGAAAAATTGTGGCACCCGTGACACTCTTTAAGTCTTTACAATGGATAGGAAGCAAACTTCAGATTTTTATAAATAGTTTGGAAATTAACAAAATCAGAAATTACGAGGAATTAGTAATTAGTGCGTTTGAATTGATACTAAATTTATTTTAACACTTTAAATTATAATTTTTTATGTGAAAAGATTTAACCGATTTGTTCCAAAGAAGCACTGTGGCCCCTTTAAACCAAAAGTTTTTGTATGAGTTTAGATTGCAGCATCTAATGAGCTTTTTGATTAATGATTATAAACCCAATATTGGTGAGTGGATTTACCGAACATTGCAATTATAAAAATGAGGTCTTTTTTTTCTTTTTCATGGGACAACCGAAATGAAGTTGGAAGACGGGGAAATGAAGATGTTAAAATTTGATTAGCACTAAGTTATGAAATTAACTGTTTCCATCACATGAAAGTTTCTGATAAGGTGCTCGATGTATGTTATGAGAAACAAAGCATCCAAATACTGTTTCATCACCACCAACAAAAACAAAAAATAAAAAATGGGGACCGCAAGAAGACAAAAGCATGGTGGGGTGAATAGAGGGTTGAGAGAGAGAGAGAGAGAGAGAGAGAGAGTAAAACAAGGGCAGCTCAGCATGTCACCAAGGGCGGTGCAGATTTGACGGCTGATTGTTTCATCACCCACCCACCAACAAAAACTCTCCGTGATTGTTTTTTTGGACTGTAGTCAAGGGTAGTAAGTAGTAACCTCACCATCACTGCTATCTAGTCTGTAATACTTCAAAATATAAATTTATAATTAATAATGTTAACATAAATATAAATTTATTATCAAATTAAGAATTATGCTTGTTTGGACTTATATATAAATAATCATAAATTTATATTTATGTTAACATTATTAATTATAAATTTTACATTAAATTTATATTTATAATATTTGTAACATAATTATAAATACACGCGTTAAAAGTAATCAAGTCAGGCGGTGGAAGCTTTGGTGGCCCATCCACTTGCACCATGGTACTGTAACGGGATTCGTAGGGTTCCATCGGTAAACTTATTAAAAACAGAGGTACATTTATGAATTGATTTAAAACAAAAATAAATGTATTATTTTAAAATCAACAAATTAAATTATGTTAATTTATCAAAAAAAAATCATTTAATTTTTTTCATATTAAATTTAAAAAAAAAACTCCTTATTTCTTAATAGTGATTTACTCTTTTTAAAAGAATCAAATTTAGAACAATTTTTTGCCCACTTAACCTAGAGTAGAAAATGCACTATTAATGTTAAGTTAAGTTTTCTACACTTAACCCATAAGAGTGGGACATTTTAACAAATAATTTTGAAGGTAGGTTGTTGATATTTACGGAATTACGGGCAAGATCATGAAGATAGAAATATGTCTTAAGAAAATTGTTGAACCTGGTGTGGACTCCCAAAACATTCTTGACACCCACCGACATCTTCACTCAGGCATCTTCAAAACAGTATTTTGACATTGATGTCAAAGCTATCCAGTCAACAAATTTGATTTGCAAGCTTGTCAATTTAGGAGAAAAAATTGTCCCGACTCACAATGCACAGGAGAATACATGTTCCTCCAAACCCCACAGAATATCCATTTTTCATATTTCGGATCCTGGACACAAACTTTTCTGTTTTGGGCCAACCGTGCGCTACCCTTGATTTTTGCTACTTAATTAAATCACCCTCTAAATTCATGAGTCTTGGATCCTTACTTTTCTTTAACCTTCGGCACCATTCCTTACTGTTTCAGCAAACAATCTTTAATAACTTTCACAGCATCGCCTCTCGGGTAAACAAGATTCATCCAACTATCGAAAACACAAGAAGATAATGCATAGCAACCTCCGTTCAAATATATTAAATAAAAACCTTTCTGATCTTTCCTATGGTAGCTTTGTTAGGTCCCTTATTTTGGGTCCACACTTCCAACAAAGCCTAACACCTAAAAAAATTGGGTCTTCAGCAGACAGGGATCTCGAGTCCAATCATATGAATTAGTTGGTCCACAGAAGCTGAGTGAAGTGGCTGAATATGATCCTCCAGGGCCAGTGTGGGTTAACATTTAATTAATGACATCAATACAGCAAAGGTTTACAATTAGGTAGCAGCAGGTTGAAAATGCAGTAAGTCATTGTCCTCAGATTATAACATACGACCAGAAAAATACAAGTAAAAGAGGCACAGTAATTTAAGAACAACCAAAAAACAAAGGTCAAAATACCAAAACCACTAGCGTCTACGGAGTTGAATTCCCAAATTATACACAAACTATACAAACTTAAACTCTAGGAGAATGTAAGTATAAATCTTGTAAGATCTCAACATTGAACAAAAGGATACTGATTGACTAGCTGAAAGTTGAAACAAACTCCCCTCACCCTCAACCTCCCATCCTGCCTCTAGAAATAAATACGAATACCTTCTCAATTACGTATATAAAGCAGGTGAAAAACCAGCCTGTTTCAAAACTTGAATTCAGAAGCTGCTTGTTGACTGATGCATATAGCCTGAGTGCTAAAATAGATTCTTCGCCTGACATGTACAGAACAGCAAAGTTGAGCCGTCTAAATAATGTACATTATAGTCTTGTAAAAAAAAAAAACCACCCACATTGAGAGAAATGAGCTATGGGAAGTTAAGGACAGTAAAGTGAAGCTCACCACAGGAACTGGTGATAAAAAATGTTACCAATAGAAATTCTGCAGGACTACCAAGTCTCCTAAGCACCAATCCATGGATAAAAAAGAACAATTACAAAATCAGTTGGTTCCAATAATCAAGCAAACAAGTGAATGATTACAAAATTAAACAAGGATGCACCTTTTAGTTTTGGATTCAGCACTTCAAGTAACAGGATAAATAACCATATGCGCGAAGAATAACCATACTAGTGATGGCATTGCTGTAAATTGAAAATTCAATGTATGAACAATCAACAATTAGGATCATATTCTTGAAATCGGCTCTTGAAATCCTCAACAATTTTCATTTCCTCATCTTTGTTATGTTTGTGATTCCTCCAATCTGCATTATCTGCCATATTAAGTAACCCCGCCAGAACCTGATTCATGTTTACAAGTTTTAACACGTACTGATAAATACAAAAAGTTGTAATTTTTATAAGAAAACGTGCTAATCATTGATGATCTCTTCCTGAAAAAAAAAACTGTTAAGAAATATATTGCTATGATTTTGTATTTACTCAGCGCATCACTTCTGGAAGGCTACCTCGCGTCCAAATTGCGCTGGAAATCTCTCTTTCTCTTCAACGTGATGCAGCAGAATTGTGCCTCCAGGGACTTCAGCATAGAACAAGCTTGAATTGCCATCCATTTGTGCCTTCAAAAACTTTCTTCCATCAGAAATGCTTTCAACTGAGTCACATTAAAGAACAAATGAGGATGTAGCAGAAGCCCAAATGATCCAAAACAAAATAAAAATGTAGAGCATTTTCCAGAATAAATAATTGAAGCTGATTTCTTTCAAGTCAGGTAATCAGGGAGAGAGCTAGTAACAAGGCAATAAAAAACAAGAAAGTAAAGGGGAAAGAAGGGTTAATAAGACTTGATGGATCCAGGTCTGAAGCAGACCACATAAGCAATCAAATATGATGCGTGCTTTGGAGACTAATACTTACATCTCTTAGCCACAAATTTAAATCCCAACTTTTGTGCAGCTAAATTGAAAACTTTTTCAACAATAACTGCTTTGGAAGATGGAATGGGAATGGCCTACATAAAACAGTAGAATGTCAACAGCAGTCAATCAAATAAAAATTGAACTAATATAGTCATTCATGAGGGAAAGACAAGAAACTTAATTAACAAAGTACCACTGTTAGAGCCGAAAATAATTAAGCAACAAAATGGACAACAGAATGGATATCTAAAGTGGAATTAATCAAATTATAAACAGGGAATGCAGACCGAAAAGAAAGATAAGGAAGTCATTAAATAAACAAAATGCAAAGACCATGTACCCACGAGAATTTCAACGAGCAACAGAAACTTCTACCTGAAGATTGGCATGGGTGCCACGTATGGAAGCCCACTCAAAAAAGATGACTTCCTTCTCATTGTTCCTGCAGTACCTCTTGAGACTGTTTTGAAACTTAAAGAGCTCAATTTCAGATTCCGAAGACAGAGATAATGTATTGGGCATATGCTCAACTGGTATTATCAGTACATGGTCATCAACAAGTGGACCTTTAGCCAGAGCCAAGTAGTAATTTTCCCCAATGCTTACGATTAAATGCGACTCCACATTCGGGCTTGACAAGCAAAACCAGCATTCTTTTGATCTGTAGTTGTATTTTAGGATAGGTTCATCAATCACAAAGAGCCCAAAAGCTTGAGTGAATAAGGAAGAATCAAATAAACAAATATGAGGAATAACAAAACCAAATTTATATTACATTAGTATTAACATAATACATAAACTTACAAATCTAAGTATCATTTTTTAACAGAAGAAAAATACTAAAAACACACCCTCTAACATACTCTTTCAAGAACGCTATTTATTATTAGTTGAAATTTATTAACAATCACAAAAATTATAAGTGTCTCACTTCACACCAAATTTAATGAGTCACACTCATGTTTTTGTTGTTTTCAATAAATTTTAGAGAATAACTAAGAGTGTGTTAGAAAGTATATCCCTAGCACTTCTCCTGACAGAATGCAAATTGATTACCAAATATAGCAAGTCCAAAGAAAAACCTGCTAGACCTAGTATTTTCAGATCCAGGTCTCCTGGAAAGATGCCTGTCACCTTCATCCTGCAAGCTGTGCTTAAAATTGCAATCTGGACCCCTTTCACATTTTCCCTTGTTCAAAAAGTCAAAACAAACACCTCTCATATACTGTTCCCTTGCATCTATATCATGTCGAAAATAGCACTTCTCTCCCCGTGGACAAGAGCCAGAAGATACAAATTTGAAACACATCTTATCACCATCTCCACCTTCATGTTTCTGTCGCTTTTGAGAAACATCATATCTCCAATACTGAGAATCAGAGACAGAATCACTTGATCTCTTTGTGGCATCCTTTGGAGAAGTTCTTTTCTCCACAAAGGTGTATGGCGATAAGGTGGTATTTGTGGTTTTCATGCCAATCTCAGTTGAAGACATAGTGGATGCAGGTGTAGGGGAAAGTGCATGAATAAATTTCTGGAATGCAGAAGCAAGCAAAAAGTCACAGTACTGAAAAGCTAATAACCATTTAGAAAGAGTGAGAATGGGCAAGTTTATTTTCAAAAATAAAATAAAGTACTATATGAAATGACAAGTCCAAATTTAAGTATTTACCAGATTAGGTCCTCCATACCCTCCTCTCCAGAAAGTATATTTTTATATAATAAATGGAAACTAGTCACACTCACAGGAAAAACACACATGTATAGCAGTTCATGGGCATTCCTTAAGGCATTTTCTATGCAGAAATTTTCAAAAGTATGACCAAAAGAAGAATCAAATGGTCATGCAACAACTAATTAACAATCACTATTACCATATGAAAATGAAAAAGAAATATAAATTTCAATCAAATAAATTTAAAAAAAATAAACAGATAAGTAGTGAAGTATACTGAAGAAAAATAGTCAAACCTGCTTATCTTTATTTCCAACAGATGCAAGCCCTATGAAACGAGTGACATGCACAGCATCAACATTGGAATATGGTTCACGGGCATAGTATATGCCTTTAGTTCCTGCAATATGATAACTGGCAAAAAAAGAATCATAAGAAATAAAAAATCCAATGGTCAGATTTGGGCCTGCTTTTACAAGGCCACAAGATATTCCACAAAAGGCATATTTGGCATACCAAATTCCTCTATAATATATGACACAAATACCAATCACTAGTGGATAGGAGTTAAAATCCTACATGAAAAATCTTCATGATGTCCCCTAGTTCCATAATTTTAATTAGTCTTCTGGTTACCAATCCAACCAAATCCCATTTTCCTTTTTACCACTCATGGTCATTCCTAGTTACAAGGATTTCAAATACAATAACAAAATTTACTATCCTATAACAGATATAATAAACATGGTGTAACACAAAAGTCACTTAAGCGAACATGGAACCAGAGGCCTTACGCTGTCAAAGCTTAAGTTGCAGAATCCAACTATATATTATGAAGTGAGGTTTATGCCTACATTTTCATTTTACTAAATATAAAACTCTTAAACCATTTACCACCATTAAGGTAGTTGCACATGAAACTTTCAGCAAGAAAAGTTAGCTGTTTTCTATCTAACAATTACCGTGGTTTGATCTCTTGTACTAACTCTGATACAATCGAATCACTGCCTGTGGAATCCGAGAGTCCAGCAGGAATGTCTGAAGCAGCTGCTCTATTGGTGAGCCCAGTTGGCCATTCATTAGTAATAACGAATCAAGGAAGTGAACAAACAAACAGATTACTTGCTAGAAAAGTAAGAAGCAAGTGGCACTGAGGCCAGTATAGTGCATGAGTGATGCACATCAATTGAAGGATATGTCAAGAACAAATCAACAATTCCAGGTTCCTCAGCAATTGCTCGCAATGCATCTACATCGTCTTGAGTGTAACTTCCAAACTGTTGAACACTGGATAATTTCCTCCCAGATAAATAGACCACGGTTAATCCTAAAAATAACTGCAATAGATAAGCTACCACATTCGAAATGCCAAATTAAATAAACAAGGAAAAAAGAAGAAGATCGCAGTGAAGCAATGTACCGAAGAGAGTGAATTTGCCACCGCCTTTCAACCAATACAAGTTATCGCAAATCTTGAAGCCGTCCATCTTGAAACCACGATTGGAAGAGTCCTTGGAAGCTTGCGACAAAATTTTAGGGGCGGCGACGCCGTAGTCGCCGATGAAGTAAGTAGGGAGGGGAATAAGGGAGCCACCTTGGATGTACGCCGTCAACTCGTCCACCAGCTCCGGCGAGTCCGGGAAGAACTGACCCACGCAGAATAGCGCGTCGAAAGGACCTGCAGATTTGTTCACCTACAACAACGTGAACTGGACTCAGCGCTGTGGCTGCAAGTCGCGATAAAAACCCTAGAAAGAAACGGAGAAAGAGAGTCACCGATGAGACACGCTTGTAGAGCTGGTTGAGACGGCCTAAAACGTCGCCGCATAGAAGGATTCGAGGGGCCATGACGGAACTTCCAACAGAGAAACAGTTTTCCCCCACTCCAATCAACTCCCGCGTAGCACTTCACTCTTTGCTTAGCCTATGTTCAGCTGTGCTGGAGTGAAGCCAAACGGAGTATAATTATTTGATGGAATGGAATTTTCAGTTTGTATTACTTCAAAAGAATCAATATTATTATATAAATAAATAATAAAACAAAATTTTAAAAAACTAAACGAAGTTAGGACTCAAAAGATGTAAATGTCTGCAATCTTGTATCAAGATGATTCAGTTATTCCATTCATGATGTAAAGCATTTTATTTGTTAGGAAGCAAAGAAGGAATTTAATTATCCTTCAAATTATAGAAATTAGTATCTTTAGTTGATGGTGTCACTTGAATTAATACAATGGTGCGCCAATGATATAGTAGGTGGCATTTATTTTTCTTTTTCATTCACACGCGATAGGATTTGGTTTCAGATCATAGAATGCTAAAATCCTATTATGTTTCTAAAGAGAAACCCTTCATAAATTGCATGTCTCTGTTGTTTTGTGCTTTCATTCTTCTTGTGCGGTATTGTCTGATTTTCTATGAACTTGTGACGATCTTTGGGCCAGGTCCAATGGAGAAGAAGGAATTGATTTTAACAGTATAAAAAACATAATGACTGTTTTAATGTTAGATGTTTTGGGCCTAGGTCCAATGTTGGACTTGAGTGCTGATCTTTGGTGTTTGCTCTTTATTTATATAACTAATTTTTTACAAAAAAAAATAAAAATCGTTATATAAATAACTAAAGTTAAACATACAGTATTACATTAATATCCGTCATTTTACTTATTTATTTGCTATCAACTTTAACAAAAAACGGTAGAAAAAATAAAACCCTCGGAGTGATAGTGGCCATTGGTGCGATCATAAAATATTTTTAAAAGGGATGCAATTATTATGTGAGGATAAATTGTTTGAAAATGAGTATAGGTAAAAATAATAATTAAATTAAAATTATTTGTACCTTATGTTTAATAATACGAGCTAAAATTTGTTGTGAGCTAGTAGTTTTTAGTCGAAAGTTATTAATTTATAATTAAGGGTTTATAATTATATAAATAATTATAAATTTAGATTATTTAATTAGCTAACTATACAATTTATGCTAAATGACTTGAAAAAAAATATATAGATATAATTTACTTTAACACAAAAATGATATTAGTTATTCAAATAATAACTTAAATTTATTTTTAAAATTATTAATAGAGATTACATTAATTGATTTAAATATTTTTTTTTAATTTTAAAAATATTATTTATTTATTTTATTTTATTTTATTTTAAAAGATATACTATCAAATATTAATAATAAAAATGATTAAAAATTAGAGAAAACAAAAAAAATGGTAATAAGAAAATCAATGTACTAGAGTTTTAATTATATATAAATAAAATAATTTATTTTTTAAATAAAAAATATAAATATTAATAACTAACTTTTTGAAAGTTAAACACTTCTTTAAATAGTTTAAAAAATTAAAAAATATATAAATTTCTTTCATTTTATATTTACCAAACAGTCTTACAAATTTATTAACCAAAACAATAGATTAATTTAGAAGCTATATTTTAAAATATGCAAGTTCTCTTAATTAATTATTTTATCAGATCACAAATACTAATAACAAAATATTTATTATCAAATTAAATTTATTTGAAATCACAACGTATATTTATATATAAATTAATAAATATAATTTACAATTTTATATTTTTAAATAAATTTTAATCAATATTTTAACATATATTAAACTTTTGTTAAAAATATATATTTTTATTAAACAACTCTGCTATCTTATTAACCGATCAATAAACATAAACATAACGTATCTGTGTTACTAAACAGAAGGTTCAGTTCTACTATATCCTGTTTCTGGTACAACATTAATGCAATTTATCACTTTTTGTGTGTGTTTGCTCTCATTAACCAGAGTCTCTTGTTGAGTTTATTTTGGCAAGAAAATTTGAAAGGTTCGGAACAACAGTCAACACCTTTTAATTTTTTACAAACTTGTTTTCTTTAATATTATTTTAAAAAAGTGTGTGTAGCATCGTTAATATCAAAACGTTTTGAATTATTATTATATTATTATTCTTTTGAAAAAGTCGAATCTTTTTTTTTTCTTTATGGGTCAGATGAGTCATTCATACTTCATTGTCTCTAAACATTACAGAATTATGAACACTTTGCAAAACAAAATGTAATGGTTTTCATCTTTAAGCCAAGAAACCATGTGAGCGGATGGGGACGCAATTTCGTTAGAAACTTCTGGTTTTTAACAAATATGCTAATAGCACTAGCGTTTTTAATTACTATATATATATATATATATATATATATATAATCAATACATTATGACATATTTTTTAGTAAATTTTTTAATTTTTAATAAATATTTAAAAATAATAATAAGGAATTTTTAAGCTGTTTTTGTTTTACCTTAATTATTGATTTTTGAGTGTATAAATACATAGGAAAGTTTTAGCTTTTTATGGTAGCGGTCGGCATAGGATGAGTGTGAAGACACTGACTCTGTTGGTGCAGTGGGTGGAAGGAGCATGTGCCAAGATTGGTGTGTTAACATGCAAACATAGACAATTCGACATCCCAGGTTACAAATCAAAAGCTCAAATCCAAGTTTCTCTGTAGTAAAATCATACAGAATTATATAGTTCAAACCACTCAAATTCAATATTTTTTATCCTTTTTTTAATTACTTTTTAATATGCCTGCATTTTAAAAATAGAAAATACCATTAAAATTTTCTTTAATAATACAAAAACATTACGCTGCCACAAATTTCATTTACCGAAAAGAAAAGAAAAAAGAAAACATGGAATCATCCTTAAATGGCCGCAACGAGTTGGTTCGGTGCATTGCAACATCGATTGTTGCGGAAAAGCGTTTTTTCACTAAGAAAATGTTATTTTACACAATTTAGGGAGAGTTTTTGTTTTTATTATTTTAAAATGTATTTTTATATGTATATAAAAACATTAAAAAATATAATTATATATAATATTAATTTATTAATGTTTAAAAAATAAAATTGTTTAGCAAAAAAAAAAAAACATTGTTTTAATTTTAAGAAATAGGTTTCTGCAAAAGGCAAGTTGTCTGTTAAATCATACCTAATTTGTTCAAGTGATTAAAATATAACACGTGAGAGATATTTTAAAATGTGATAAAATTAAAATAATTAAATTCCAAAAAAAAATAAACTGATTATCATTACTTAATTAAGTTATGTATATTTAATTTCTTTAAAATAATACTTTAGATTTAGGCCTTGTGTATATATATTTTTTTCGTTGAGAGAATAATCTCATCAAATTATATATGTTTTTAACAATTAAATTTAACTTTAAAGCTGAGTTTAAATATCCACAAATAAAAAATTTATAAAAAAATATAAAAAATTATAAAAATACAATAAATATTTTTTTAATAAAAGTTTATTATTATTAATTGTTTAACCTGAACCTTAAGGGTTAAAATTAATAAAATCTAAAAAAATATATCAAATATCTAAAGCCTTCGATATTCAATTTTTTTTTTAAAAAAAATTCAGTTAGTTAGAGTTAAGTTTTGCATACTTGTTTGTCTACGAAGTGTATAAAATTCTCTTAATATGTAAACTTTATTCATAACCCTTAAATTCACAAAATTAGGTAAAAAGAAAATTCATATTTCTTAATCGTCACTTAAACCAACGTCCAATTCCTTATGATTTAGAATAGGTGCTAGATATATAATACCAGCTACATGCATGTATAATTCATATACCTTCATGTTTAAATGAATATATATTTTCATTTAGTATCGGCTCACAAAGTTCGTTACCTAATGTCCCAAATACTGATCATGTGGGTAGTCTTTAATGCATTAAAAATGCTATACATCTATAGCATGTTGCAATCAGGTTAATTGGTTTGTAAAGATGAAAAATATTAATAGGGAAAGAAAGGGGTCCTCATGCAACTACTTTGGGTGAGAGTTAATGGAATAACGAGTGAATTTTTAAGAGTAGACTATAACGCATGGTTGTGATATGGTCAACAGTAATATGCCGTACTCATTCACCATTTCTGATAGAAACAAAATCACATGACACGACACTGGGATAGCACGAACATGCATCGACATCAAAACATCAACTCAGCGATTACATCATTTGATAGAAGGGTATCCATATTCCAGATGTAAACCCAACCAATTAATTCGTTGCACAACAATACTCTATGAATGCTTTTGAACCAGAGCATATTCCCGTGGCAGAAAAATGAAGCCTCGAGGTTCATTCCTATGCTTATGAATCGTAATTTTTTTTTATTGATAAATGGCATAAAACAAGATAAAATATTCATCCAGAAATTAACTCAGTATATAATAAACAAATGAGATGTATCTATTTTAGCACAACAGAGTTTGCTAACTTACACTCTACCTTTTTTCAGAATAAATATTTCAGCAAATGCCTTGTGTTTTTTGAAAAAATCAAAATAGTAATTTTATACTAGTTATATATATATATATATATATATATATATATATATATATATATATATATATGTGTGTGTGTGTGCATTGTAATTGAATAAATGACATAAAACAAGATAAAATATTCTGCCGAAATGTATTTAGTGTAAAATAAATAAATGAAGACGGTAGAGTTTACTAATTAACTTTCATTCACACATTTTTTGGAATGAATATTTTAATTAGCAAGTTATACCATATATTTAAAAATAATCAAAGTTAAAAATTTCTAAAATACTCTTTTTAGAAAATATAAATGTACATCAATTAGAATTTAGAAACTATGAATGCTAATATACACTAACATATTTTTAAATGTGATTGTGTTAGTAAATTACACCTTTAATATATTTTAATGATCGAAATCACAATTAAAACTTACTAAAATACTTCTAAAAAACAAGTGTATATCAGCAAATTATAATATAATATACTTCAATTTTAAACCCATATATGTACTTTATTTGTCTTAAAACAGAAACTCATGTATAATTTGCTGGGGTTTATGAAAGACGACATTGACAATGAGGGTTACATGCATCCTTTTCTTCCTCTCTTTTCCATACGGCACTAGGACAGTCTTTGGATTGGTTATTTCTCCCTGGCTGCATGAAGACATGCAGGCGAAGCAGAAAAACAACCCTTTAAAGGGAATATCTAGTTGCTTTCATGCTCAATTCTCTCAATCTACACAAATATATATATACATGATAAAGAAAATCTGTGTTGCCAATTATTTATGGTTGTTGATGATTTAAAAAGTTTTGTACACGATAGCCTTTAAATACATGCTTTTTTATTAAAAAAATCGATCACAAACATATAAACAAAATAAAGCCTTACACTTATGTATAAAAAGTATTATATTCTTCTGATTGTTTATAAAAGAAAATCATTATTGTACCACTAATTTTTTTCTACTGTGAATTTCGAATTATTCGCTAACCAAGTTTCTTTCTATAATAACTTATTTTGGGCTAGTGGTTAGAAGCATTGGAACATCATTTTCATGAATAATATTTTTTTTCTTCGATCAAACTAGTCAATGGCCTCATTTCAGCAATTTTTTACTTTTTTTTTTTACCATTGCAATCACAGCTAGAATATTGTGCATAAATAAATGCTTCATTTTGTTTGCTCCATCAATTTAAATTGTTCCTATTAAAAATTTCATGAAAGATTTTTTTTTTCAAACAATATTCTGAAAATGAGTTAATGACAACAATTCACCTTTAAAGATTTTTAGTTGAAGTATAAAAAAAAAGTCATTATTTCTAATTTTAGTAAAATTTGCTTAAACAAATTTAAATTTACTTAAACTAAAATAGAAATAGATGTTCAATTCGTATTATATAAATTTAAATTCATTTAAATAAATTTTGTTAAGATTAAGCAAATTTAAATTTATTTAAAATAAAATAAAACAGTCCAAGGAGGATCCGAAAGATACGCATGAAAAATATTTTTATAATAATTTTACTTTTCTTACATCTACCAAACAAAGGTGATATGAGTGTAAACAGAAGAAGAGAAGAAAAGGACAGAGACTAAAAGAAAGTAAACGTCAAGCAGCGAAGGTACAGTGCTTTATATCTATTTATTTACAGACCCCGTTTCTCTTCGCATCACCGTTCAGTTCACCAATGCCATGGCAGACTCAGCCACCCTCATAGCTACCTGGTTCACACCTTCTTCCGTCTTCATCGTCGTTAACCTCGTCATCGCCACCATAGCACTCACTTCGCGCTTCACTAAGCAACTCCACCAACCCCAACCCCAACGACTCGTTCGAACCCCCTCACTATTAGAACGTGTCAGCTCCTTCAACTTCGCTCTCTACAAACACCAACCAACCCATGCAGAAATAGAACACATCCAACCCCAAGGACCCGAACCCGAACCTGAAAACCCGCAACTAATTCGGACTCCCTCGCTTCTGCAGCGGCTTCAGTCCATGAACTTCTCCCGCTTCTACAGATCGGAGGAAGAGGATCCGGGTCGCGATTCGGGTAATTCGGAGTTAAGGAAATCGGCGAGCGAGAACGCGGGTTCAGTGAAGGGAGAGTGGGAGGATGAAGGGTCGACGGTGGAGCAGCGGAGGCCGGCGACGGCGAGGGGTGGAATGGTGTCGTGGAGAGGGGACGAAGAGGTTGACGCGAAAGCTGATGATTTCATTAACAGGTTCAAGAAGCAGTTGCGGTTGCAGAGGGTTGATTCCGTTCTTCGTTACAGAGAGATGCTGAGAAGAGGTAATTGATGAGATGCGTAAATCACGAACGATTACTGCTCCAAACATGTTTCGGTTTAGTCGACATAGTTTTTGCCAAATATATAGGAGTATCATGCTATATCGTATGCTTTTCGAGTCCTTCTGTAAAATCTTTTTAATGTAATCACGATTACATGTTATCGTTGCCGGAAACTAGGGAGATATTGTTAAACGCTTCTTATTTTTTCGTCTTCGTCGAACATTTAACAATTTGCCAGCTGTGTGTCAATTCTATCCTTTGCTCTTTTATGAGCTAAATTATTGTTAGTGAATCAATTTCATATCTCAATTTCGCAACTACCGTAGACTTTAATTTTTGAAATGAAATGCGATTCTAACTCCAGAAATAGTATTATCATCCTTCTGTGCTTCTACAAGTTCAACCCTAGTCTACGCACAGTAATAAATAAATAATACTCTGAACATCATTTTATATAAAGTACTTATTTACATATATATATATATATATATTTATTTATTTTCCTTTTTAATCGCATCATTTATTATAATATTTTTAATCCATTTCACACTTTTAAGGTGGCTTTTACGGTGGAGAACAGAATCTGATGACCATAGGTGGACATAAACTACAGTATTAATGGTTAATATTGAACAAAGGTTACCGGATGACACGTGTTTTTATTTAATTATTTGAAAATTTCAGTCAAGTCCCTTAATTAAGATGAAAGTTACTGGGCACGCTAGGTAAAACCCTCCACACATCCGCCAGGAATGCGGCAGTGTTGCCGGCGGAGATAAGCTGGCGAAAAATCGCCGACAACAAAAATACTACAGTTTTCTTGCCGTCGATGAACTTAACCGCCTTGAAAAAGAGCATCTCAATGGTTCGAAGCAGCGTTAATTTAACCTTCGTTGTTCTCCTCGTCGACGCGCGATTCGCCATCATCGTCACCGTTCATTGCGGAACCTGTGACTCCGCCTATTTCTATTTCTTCTCCGAGGGATGGACCACCGGCAACATGGGGTTGAAGTTCCCAAAAGGGTGGTGTTGACAATATTAAATACAAAGACACTTACGATATGACTTTTTTCTTGAAAAAAAGACTAAAAAAATTAAATTTAACCCCACTACAATAAAATAATGTGTAAAGTTAAAATTTTATTATTAATTTAAAATCAATATCTTTATAAAATGTTTAAATTAAAATCAATGATAGACATACATTCATATTTTTATTTTACATATCTCTGCTTTAATAAGCTTAAATCCTTTAAAGTTATATTTTAAAGGGTTTGGGGGGAGGGGGGAAACATCAAGCCAAACATCTACTAGATATGCCAACCATTTGCTTTATATGGTTAACAACTCTAATTTATAAACATTTTAATAGTATCATCCTCTGTTTGATATTCTTCATTTTTTTTGTGTTATATTTTATATTTATTGCATTTTTATTTTTATTTTTTGCATTCTTATATCTTTTTTGGGTATAATTCCAATCATTTCCCAATGGCTACTACTTTAGCAACTATGTCATCAAAACTCTACTTATGCCAAGGTTCCGAAGTCAAGTATAAGGAACCTTTCTTCAATCTTCTATAACGGAAATTGCAATTTTCGGGACCCGCAGGAGGAAGATTACTTATCATTTAAAAGATCCAAATTATTAGACGAAAGGGTGTAATGAATTTCAAAATAAACAGCGACGTTCATGGACACAGTTAAATGCACAAAGATTAGGCATAGTTAAATGCACAAAGATTAGGCACAATATGCAAAACGACGACTCACTTAAATCAATTGTACAAATAACCTACCTCATGTTAAGGAAAATGATTTTTAAACTCGATTTTGAGATGTCAAACAGGTAGAAGTAGAGAGATATAGGAAGAAAAAAAGAAGAAGAGAAGAGTGAGAAAGAAAAAGATGAGAAGTTTATTCGTAAATGTTTCAAAATCAGTTCTCTCAGAATCAAAATTTTATCATCATCGTATAACCTGTATGAGAAATCTTGCACAACTTTTTTTATTATTGATTTTTATTAAAAATAAATTTTAACTTGGTAAAACAGGAAACACAAGAACTACTTGATGAATGATGTGATGTACAAAAGATGAGACTAGACCTCGATTGACCTGATGTTGTTGGCACTGGACCTCCTTCGCTATATCAAATGAATACGCAAAATTTTATTATTGAGGCTCTTGGGCCTATTGTTTGGGCCTTTGGTGGTTGAAATTTTTGGCATTGAGATGAAAATTTTCTTTCTGTTCTTCTATATGAAAAATTAAGCACTAGAAATTGTTGGAATTAATTCAACAAGAATATCAAGAAGACAAAACTACACAATCTGACGATCACTGTTTGCAAGGATTAGCTGTAATATCAAACAAATGAAAATCAAAACCTCAGAGGCCATGTTTCGGTTAAGAACTACTCCAAGATATTACAGGTTATATCCCCTTAAAAATCAATTGTGCTCTTTCACAGTTACTGATAAATGTCAACGGCACTAATAATATTAGGAAAACTAAAAATGCATAAACTGAGTAAAGGTTCTTGTGAGATGTTGATTATCGTTTTATAATAAATGTCTGTCCCTTTCTGTTAGATTCTGAAATTGAATTAGACTTGAAGTTTATTTTCAATTTTAACATATTATTATAGCTTATTGTTATTTTGACACATCATATCATTTACGAAAGTCAAGGTTAAGATTTCACATCAGCTAAATATACAGTCAAAATAATTCTTTTAATGACATAAAAAAAATTTGGATTGAATTAGATATAATTTAATAACTCTTTTTATGAGAAGATATAATTCAATATTAATTTGAAAAAAATATTATTTAATGATTGTTTAATCAATTATCTTTGTTGTGATGAGTAACGAAATTGAAAAACCAGGAGGGAGGTAATGCCCCAATCGGAGAGAGAGAAATTTATAAACATAAAGGCTTGAACATTGTGTTATTGGGCTAGTCTAGTTAGGCTGTCAACATTTACACAACATTATTAAACACTTTTGTTTGGTATCGACAAAAATTTAGGTTATGCAAATGAATGATTTATCAACATTAAACTATTATTATTAGCCCAATAGAGACTTTAATCAGCTCCACAATGGTCGTGGTTGTACTGCTACCAGAAATATTTTGTGCAATCCTATATTTGGCAACCATATGAACATTTTCAAGAGTCGAAAGTTTAGTTAAACTCTGAGAAATTCCCTCTATTGTCTCCACACGAGATATCATATGACTATACATACTACTAAGTCTTTCTTAATTGCTGTCAGCAAATATAGCAACGCATCGGTGGTTGTTGGCAACAGCTACATAATTAGGATTACTGTGTACCGAAATTATGCTTCAACTTTTGAATAAATAAGCAAACCAACGCCAAAATCAACAGCTAGCTCCCTTTTGGCTCTCTTTTTGTTTTTTCTAATGGGAAACTCTTCCCAATGCTGGAAGACAATTCGCAGCTTCCATGTAGCTAGTGCCATACGGTTCGTACAATATACTATACTTCTATGTTTGTTTTCGTTCATCTTCAGCTCAAGCGAGATGGTTTCTTAATTCTATTAAAATGCTAACAATACACGTTTAACACAATTTTTTTTTAATAAAATATATATGTTTTATTATCAATAATTTTATTAAAAATTATATGAATTTAATTTTTAATTTAATAAGTCTCACTCACAAAAGTATAAGTTTTAGTTAATAAATAAAATTGTATGGGAGTGTATATATCTTACTTCCTCTTAATTCTATTATCTAAAGCGCAATTCAACTAAATTAATTAACGTTTAATCCGTTTATACGTGATGAAGTGTAAAGGGTAGGACTTAGACTGGATTTGGCTTGTATAAAATCTCCTTGATTAATTGTTACTTCACGTTGCAGGATGAAGAAAAAGAGGAAAGACTACTTCAACTTTAAAATAGATAGCATTTTAATTAGTGTAAGCAAGATGGGTTGATATAAAAGTAGAATTTACTAATTGTGAACCAAAAGATTATCATTTTAAAAATAAAAGTCAATGTCTGAACCACATATGTACGTACTAATTAAGTGTGTTAATGGAGGTACACACACAACATTGGTGGTTATCCTATAAATATCACATAAAAGTTATTATAATTGGCCACGTATGTATTTATTTTAGCATTGTCTACACACGATTTTCTCTGACCAAATATTAGAAATGTTTTATGGGAAAGAATGTTGTAAGAAACTGATTTGCATACAGGGTACTTGGTCGCGTATCATTTGGATACATATCATGTCAACTATTGAACAAATTATTAGTTGACTTTGACAAATTGTCACACGTTACACCGTACATTAAATTAATATGAAGTCTCTCAAAGCTATAAAAGAAAAAACATTGTGCGATCTTCAACATTTGACTACGATTTTTAAATTCCGTCCAAAGACTAATTAATGATACGATCGGCTAAAAAGATATGGTAACTAAACAAACAAAAGAAAATAAAAAGTTCTGCCTAAAGCGTGCCAATGAAAAAGGAAATTTAGTTAATTTACATATGCAATATTACAACTTAGACGACGTACAAATCAAAGCGACACAGAGGACGGCGTCATTACATGCGCCAAAAAAATTCTCTTGGCCTTCCTTAAGTTTCCTATATATATATATATGTGTGTAACTAAACAAGAGAACTTTCATAGCGCCAATTCACGCAATAGTGCATAAACCAAATTAACACTAAAAAATGGCAAGTTATTTTTTAGTTTCAAAAGCTTTGATTCTGCTTTGGCTAACTTGCATAGTGGTCACACAGGCACGATCACAACCGTGGTCACCACTCCAAGCACCCAAAGAACTAGCCTTGAAGCTTATTCGTGACCCTATGACCCTTTCACTAGCTTCAACCGATTTTGGTCGCATAATTCACGATAACCCTTTAGCAATGTTTGCCCCATCATCCATTAGTGACATATCCAATTTGATAAAATTCTCAAATTCTCTTCCCATACCTTTCACCATAGCTCCTAGAGGCCAAGCCCACTCGGTTCATGGACAAGCCATGACAAATGATGGGATTGTGGTGAACATGACAGAGTTGAGTGGTTTTAGAAATGGGGCTGGGATTATTGTGTATGATGGGAAAACTCCATATGCAGATGTGGGTGGTGAACAAATTTGGATTGATGTGCTGCATGCAACCCTTGAGCGTGGACTTACACCCCTCGCTTGGACTGATTATTTGTTCTTATCGGTTGGTGGAACTCTCTCCAATGCTGGGATCAGTGGCCAAGCCTTCCGATTTGGTCCTCAAATTTCCAATGTTCATGAATTGGATGTTATTACGGGTATGAACTATATATTCTTTTCCCTAGCTAATAACTTTTAAAAATGAATTTCTTTAAAGCTTTATTTTAAGTTCAAGATAATTGGTCTTCCTAACTAATAAGAAGAATTTAAATAAAAATCTCCAAAAGTTGATATATACATAGAGATATCTCTGTCTCTCTTAATCACACATACATGTACATATAGGAAGGATAAATTTTTGCACCCGTGTAAGTTAAAATTCATGATTATATTAGAACTCTTTATCATATAAATCATATTTATAAAAAATGTAAAAGTATTTAATATTTTATTAATATATACTAAGATTAATGCAATATATATATATATATATATATATATATATATATATATATATATTTGAGCCCTTGTCTCATTGGTTTAATTTATAAAAGAATGTAATGCTCGTGTAAGTAAAATAATTTAGTGATAACTACTATTTAAAAGTTTATAATATTTAGCACAATCAATTAAGAAAATATAATAATGATAATGTAATAGTAAAATTAGTAAATAAAATAACAATGTTAATGTGCAAACAGATTCATCCTTTATATCTGTCTATCAAATAAAGAAGTTGGGGAAGGAATTAAACATTAGTTACTAGCATCTCATATATACGTCAACACTAATGGGACAAACATGTAATAAATAGTTTTTATGTGACTTTGAAATTTCATGAATACATCTATCGGACTAAAAGCACTTGACATCCTTTGTATATTATTAAAAAATTAAAATAAATAAGTTTTATTAAATCAAATGAAATTTAATCTAACAAGTTGATTAAGCCAACTTGATTAGTCACATCATATCTTTACAGAAGATTTTAAACTTGTCTCTTTATGAAGGGTGAATTGACCATGTCATTAAAAATTGATGTAGGGTTATATGTACCTAGCTTATAAGATTTATAAGTTCTTCGGAACTTGCTAGGTTCAAAATCTAATGATGTCTATTAGCTAAAAAAAATCTAATGATGTCAATATAGTAATTATAACTTGAATGTCTATCGCCAAAGTTAAATGAAGTTTGTTTAAAATATTTTTATCCCAACAGAAAACAAAACATTTAGTCCCATCTATATATTTTGTAGGTAATCTTTTGCTAACAACTTTAGCATAAAAAAAATATTTTTTACAGTAGTTTATTATCTTATGCTTTCTCACACATAAAATAATTACCCCAGTTAATTTTACATTAATAAATAAATAAGTTTAATCATTTATTTAAAAATTAAAAATATTTTTTTAATTTCTAAAATATTAAAAAAATCACAACATTCAATCTAGAAAAATATACAGTATTCTCTTAATTTTACGAGTGTTGTATCAAGTACTAAATAGGAGGTTCTTTAGCTAGATTACAACGAGAAAAACAGAAAAATGTCCTTTTGATGTTTATTCTTCAACAGTATTTGTTATTTATTCAGCGTGATACTTTGTTTATGGTCGTTTCCTTAATTAACATTCTTATAAAAATGGAACCCCAAGATAGACAAGAAATATATAAAATTAAAATGAATGTAATTGTCACGTGACTTCATCGTGTATTTGCCCAGATTCCATATCAATGATTAAATCATTGACTAGGACATGAAACACTACACTGTTTATTATCATATTCGACCGGCTTCGATTGTATACGCTAATAATTTATGTCGATCGCCAATTTCTTGGTCTTAAATAAGTCAGCCAACAAACTGTCAGCACGTATTCATTCTTCTCTTTCTATAGTATGTTAACATATCTTCCATTGTAATAAAAATTCTCTCTTCAAATTGGCGATTGAACTTAGTTTTGGTAAAATCCATTTTAAAATTAGAAGTCATCTCTCCTTTGGGTCTGAGAAAACTAGGGAAGACCTACCCTTGCATTTTCGATTTTTGCCATTTTGTAGTCTCGCAGATTTGCTGAATGTTATTCATTTAAATGTATTGCATATATACTTAATGGCTGCGGTAATACAATTGAGAAAACGTTTTTCAATTGGTAAACATAAATAGTGATCTAAAAAGTAATTGAATGTAATTAAAGTTTATGAGAGTTTGCTGTGCATTTAGCAATTAGCAATTAGCAATTTTAAACATTAATTCATGTAGTAGTGTAGTTCTTTAGTGCATCTGAATGTTTTTGATTTAAAAGAAGGGATTTTGGTTTTTATATATGGATCGGTACCAAATATGATTTTCACTAGAAACTGGGCACACGGTTTTCATAAATAATTGTAACATCTCTCAGTTTACATTACATTTGAATGTTTATACTGTGCTTCTATACAGGGAAGGGAGATCTAGTGACTTGTTCAGCGGAGAAGAACTCAAACTTATTTTACGCCGTTCTTGGAGGTTTAGGTCAATTTGGAATCATAACCAGAGCAAGAATAGCTCTAGGGACCGCACCAACCAGGGCAAGTATCATGCATCTTCTTCTATTTTGTTGATTAAATATTATTCACACCCTTTAAACTTTAATAAATTTTCATATTTATTATTCTTTTCTATCTTGACCTCTTCAATTCATAAATTACAAAAAGTAGAGATAATTTGTGTAATTAAAAAAGTGTATATAATTTATGTTATTATATATATATATTAAAAAGAAATTTCAGTAAGATAAAAACATTAAAATAAAGTATTGTTAAACCTCAAAAAATGTGGGTATAATTTATCATATTTATTTTGTAATACAGATCGTTTTGTATTCTGAAATTCTCAAAGCTACCAATTAATTATTGACCACTTGAAAAAGATTTTTTTTTATGCATACATCTTTATGGTTAGTAAGTCACGATCACAATTAGTTGCTTGCTAAGAAAAATGACACCAATAAATAAAAAAATTGACTTGCTTGATCGCGTGCAGGTGAAGTGGCTTCATTTGCTTTACGACGACTTCTCAGCGTTTTCTAGAGATCAAGAACACTTAATCTCATTCAATGGAAGAAACGAAACTAATGCTGCTGATTATGTAGAAGGTTTGCTTCTGCTAAATCAGCCACCACTGGACCTTTCCTTTTATCCAGCACCTGATCAGCCTCGCATTACTTCCCTTGTAACCAAATACGGCATAATCTATATTATAGAGCTTGTCAAATATTATCACAATAGTTCTCAAACGCATGTGGATGAGGTAATTAAGATTATTTAAATAAATAGTTTATTAATTATACACTTCTTTAATAAAAGATCAATTGTTAAAAAATATAACATACATTTGATCATAAAAGTTATTAGTATAAATAAAAAATAACACGTTTCGGTAAATTATATTAAAAGATATATAAATTTTCTTTTTAAACTCTTGATAAATTATTTAGAATTCTTTTTCTCTTAGGAGTCAATAATTTTTACTATTAATTTGAATGAGTTGTACTGTTGTTTCTCGAACAGGATGTAAAACATTTGTTGGAGGGGTTAAAGTTTGTTCCTACATTTATGTTCGAGAAAGATGTGTCGTACGAAGAGTTTCTGAACAGAGTTCATGCTAGCGAGGTTTCGCTTAGGTCACAAGGGCTTTGGGATATTCCTCATCCTTGGTTAAACCTTTTCATTCCAGGATCTCGAATCTCCGATTTCAATGAAGGTGTATTCAAGGGCATTATTTTTGAGCAAAATATCACTGCAGGAGTCGTGCTAATCTACCCCTTGAACCGAACCAGGTAAGTTTCATTATAAGATTAATTAACGATATATATTTGTTACATTAATAGGTCGTGACAAAAAGTGTATATATATATATATATATATATATTAATGAAAGTGCATTGAATTAATATTCATAGGTGGGATGATAAGATGTCAGCAGTTACACCTGATGAAGATATTTTCTATGCGGTGTCTCTTCTGCATGCAACTGGGTCTGATAAAGTGGAGGAATTTCGAGTTCAAAACCAACAAGTATTACAGTTCTGTGCAGATGCTGGAATTGGGTTCAAGCAATATTTGCCCCAAAACAAAACACGGGAACAATGGGTGGAACACTTTGGTCCCAAATGGAAAGTTTTCGAAGAAAGAAAACTTCAATTTGATCCAAACAGAATATTGTCACCTGGACAAGGGATTTTCAATTAAACTCTGCTTTAGTTTCGCATCTTTTATTTATACTAGTTTGTTGTACATCAATTTATAAAGCAGTTTACTAGTGTGTATCTTTTGTCATCAATATTTGAATGTCTGTATACGGTGTAATGAGAGATATTCAACTAGCTTAAAAACTTCATGTACCAAACGAAAACACACTATATAAGACATTTCATTGTATATTTCTGTTCTAATGTTAAAATCGAAGAGCCAATTTAGTTTGTACCAGATAATTCTTCCTGAAATTCTAACCGACTTTAATTTTAATTTAATACAACAACGGACACGTTCTTTTTACTCTAAATAATGAATTTGAATAATGAATGACCTTGTGACAATGTCGTAAACAATCTCAGACAAAGATATTAGATGATAATAATAAGGAAATGTAAAAATATAAGGATACGATTATTATTATATATTTAAAATTCAATACATTGGAGCGTATTAAATCTTCATTAATTGTTATATTAAGGACGTTAGTTAGTAAACTTTATTTATTTAATTTTGTCTAAACCAGTCATATTCTCTAGTATAAGATAATAAATAATTTTTAATACTTATTTTATAAAATAGTAAAAAAAAAATTAACAGGAGGGTATATAAAAAATATAACAAAACTCAACCAAAAATAAAATATGTCTTTAATTATAAAATAAAATATTTATTATATATTTTGACTAAATTAAGTTTTAATACTAGAACTAATTTTTAGAGATTAGTAAGAAAAATTTTAATTAAATGATATGTTTAAACATTTTAATACTTGTTCCTTTTTTCAAACAAATAAAAACCTCAATGGAAAACTATTTCAATGCTTTAACTTTTCTTAGAAGTTACAAGTAGTAACATGAATTTTTTTTCTTTAAAATGTATCATATTTTCTTTTAATTTTAAACAAATCAATCTTAAATTTAGTTTTAAACTCTGAATTGAATTACGAGGGTTCAAAAGAGAAAGGGGACAAAATTAAGTTAAGAAAGAGAGATATCACACCATATTTTAGAATTACTGGATCAATTATAAGAAACATAGGGATTAATGTCATTAGATGCTACATTAATTTGACACTCTTACTCGATCATACTCTTTTCCTATCTATTGTCAACATTAGTATAATTCAGTGTGTGAATGTTGGGATCTTGTCCTAGATTTTCCACAACAATTAGACATTGATCCGGCAAAGCATATCTAGTTATCTACAAATGTAGGCACCAAAAAAGTCAAAAAAAAAAAGACAAGGGGAAGGAGGAAGGGGATGGAATTGATGGGGCTGTTAACTTTTCTTGTCTCCTCATTGCCTGCAAGCTGGAATTAAGAGTTGCAACATATTCAAAAAAGACGAAAGTTGCAACATAATTATGCATTCCTTAAATACGCTGCCTAGCTCTGGTCCCTATGGAGGCCGCAAAAGCAGTTAATAATCTGTAATTAATTAATTAATCAACTTATTTATTCATTATCCTAAAGAAGTCATTTGTTCATTATCTTCAGACAGAGACAACACACAAAGTATAATATAAGAATTTTTATATTATTTTAATTATATTTATAGTTTTAAATCTGCGTGAATTTATAATACATTAAATTGTTAGAATAAAATTATAATTTTAATTAGAAATGAAAACAATAATAAACATTATATACGTAAATTTTGTCTTATTTGAAATTTGAAAAGAAAAAGAATTCACTTTACGGGGCAAGGAGCTAGCGGTCTTGGATCAGACAGGTTTATTATAAAATCTTCGTGGTTGATTATCAGTGTAGGATAACAAAAAAGTAACACTAGTATATCTTGTTAATATAATGACAAGAATGACAGCTAAATTAGGCTCATGAGCACTTTAATTTAAATTATGTTTTGATTAGTAGAGGAACTCATTGCTTTATACTTTGTGACAACAAAAGCACTCGTGGGTCTATCTGAATCAAAAGTCAAAAATTATGCCTATGCGAGAACGACAAATTAGAAGGCAACCTACATTGGTTCAGTTGATGTGACAGAAATGAAAAATGGATTATATCCTGTTATCCTTTCACATATTCACTGTACCAACTCCCTCTGGAAATCTTCTTTTGAGTGGTGATACAATCAACATGTGGTGCTATTAAAAAAACAAAAAGAAAAACTCCCAAGCTCTCTCTCAAATAGGAGATAATTGTGTCTATAATAAATAATGTATATTTCTTTTTTGCGTACTTGATATGCAAATATCCTGAAGTTATGAGTAAAACATCATTAATAGAATTAATGTTTTTGTGTGATATCTTAAATTTATATGAAACTTCTTTCATTTATCAATTTAATTTCTAAAGCGTTTTTCATAACTTTATAAGTATCCCACAATTAATTATATAACGTAACAGATGAGTTTTTTCTTTTATCAATACCATTGTCTTATTATTTACAATGAATAGTAACCAAATGTTAATTAGTATAAAAACATGATGTTAACATTTTTTTATATAACATTTGTTAACAACAAATTCCTTGTAGCATTCTTATTCTTCCCTTACGTCTGATGTGCCTTATGTGGAGCTACGGCTTCTCTTGTTCACGACTTTATTCCAATTAATCTCCCTTTCTCGTTTTTTTGGGGTGTTAATTTGATTCAGATATAACCATATATAGATATAATTTCCGTATCTTTCCTAGAAATATATATTTGCAGGCATACATATATAACGCGTTCGTGGAAATTTCATTATCGTTATTATTGTTAAGAGAGGTGTAAAAGTTTAAAATTGTGCTTAAACTTAGAAGTACAAGATATTGAGGTGAAATTTTTAAGATATTTTAATCATTATTTTTAATTTTATGCTACCTGCTAAAATTTAGTATATTGAATGTTATTATTTGCACTTTTCTTTTAAATATCCTCTCACTTAATAGTAAGCGGGCGACTATTATATTTTGAAGTATAATTTAATGTTTAAGTAAATATCTCTAAGACAGTATTTTTTGGTTCACTTTTTGTATTTTGTGTGGCTTTTTTTTTCTTTATTCAATAAAATTTATCTTCTGTAGAAAGATAAAAAAAAATGTTAAATAGAATTTGAAACTTCAAATTAAAGTGCTCATCGCTACCACTTGCACTTTGGATTTGGAGAAGAGATATTTTAAGTCCCCACAAAAAGGGAGAGACGTAGGATCTGTTTAGGCGTAACCTAAAATCAATGTCTAGGCTCCTTAATTATGAACTCTCTAAGGACTAGAGAACCGTTCATTTATTAATGTTTTATTGTCATTGTTGAGTGTGTTATGTGGTTCAAATATTACAAAGATAAAATCTTGCAGTGAAGATTAATTATAGTATTTAATGGCATTCGAGGCTATCATAATCCATATATATTTACCTAGCAACCTACGATGATGTATTGATTATGGAGTGCAGCATGGGCACAATCATGATAGTTGTTAATGTAGAATCATGACCATAACAAAAAAATGTAGAACCATATGTACAGCCCAGTGTTGTAATGCAAAATAAATTTTTAAAAAGAAACCGTTAAGCGTGTGAATTAATTGGCACAATGTGTTTTATCTTAATCAATAGTCTTAAATTGAAGTCCTGAATATGCATATGAAATAATATGTAGAGAATATTTGCATTCTAGACATGAATAAAAGATTAAAAAAAATAGACCCTTATAATATCTCCAATATAACCCCTTTTCTCCACTCTATTATGCTGGTGACAGTGAATGTGAGGGACACAGAACGACAGCTGTGTTCCTTGTACATAGGATTTTGTCAACCTAACATATCGAAGGTACATGATAGATTCCAAGGTCATGCAACCTTTACAACCCCACCTAAATTTCTCTAACAAAAACATACAAAAGCCATCTTGGTCTTGGTCATAGTATGTACTGTGCCTAGCTAGCCAGCTAATTGAGGTAGTCCCACCATAACCATTCCCTTTTTTCATTGAGGAAAATATTTAAAAAGCTGCTTATAACTGTTGTCAAAGATTTTTTGTCCAGGTGATAGAATCATTCTAGGATCAAACTGATGTTTTCTTTCTAAAAAACTCCTCCATTTAGCACCAAAATGGTTTTTCCAATCTTCCTGTGTGTTGTAGTTGGCAAGATATTGCTTAACCTTAATGCCAGCATCTCTACAAAACTTCAAAATTTCCCTGTTTTGAGCATCATATGCCTTCCAATTATCAAACCCACTTGAGTGCAGAAATCCAACTGTGTAGAAAACATCCTCATCTGGAATAGGTGCTGACATCCTATCGTCCCACCTGGATTTAAATGTCATATTATTAATAATTATTCCTTTTTAATAATTTTAATTGAAAAAATGAGGGAGTTTTGAATAGTTCGAATTAGAAAAAAAAAAAGAATTACGTTACACGGCTCACATATAATGACACAAATTTTTAAAGTGTAATCTGTTCAGGGCTTACTTGTTTCTATTCATGGGGTAAACCAAGACAGGTCCATTGGAGATGTTTCTTTTAAGAATTATATCTTTGAATACGCCAGAATTAAAATCAAAGATTTGAGATTTTGGTACGAACAAATTAAGCCATGGGTGAGGAACATCCCACAGTCCTTGTGACTGAAGCTTCAACTCCCCGCTTCGGACTCTATTCAAGAACTCAACATATGTGACATTTTTCTCATAATAAAATCCAGGGATATATGCTAGTCCTTGGAGCAAGTCTTGAAGTTCCTACAGAGAAAATAAAAAAGGAATATTATTGCCATTTATTAATTACAACATGTAATCACCATCTTTTATCTTTTGCTATATAGCTAGTATATGAAGATTTAACATATAGGTTCTTTTATGTGAAATCCAAGAAAACCCACACTAGGGATTTGCTTAGGAGTGTAGTTGGGGCAGTATAGTGTTTTTTTTTTGGAAAGAAATATTGTCTAACTACATATGACTAGAGGGTACCTTGTTCACATTTTTCTCGGATTGGTCATCATAATATTTAGCCACTTCAAGGCAATAGAGGATGCTATGTTTAGTTATTAGAGAAGCTATTCTAGGATGGTCAGATAGAGGGAAGAAAGAGGATCTCCAATTATTTATGAAGCCTTGGTGCATCAGCAGCATTCCTTCCAAAAAATCCAATGCAGTCTTTTGTTTCCTTCCATTGATTGAGATTAATCGTTCCTGGTCTTTGGTGAAATCAGAAAAGTCACTATAAAGTAGTCTGACCCACTTAACCTGCATGGCAACAAAAATTCACAATTACTAATTAATGCTTATACATATAAATTTACTAATGGAATGGAATATAATGCATGTGTGCAACGAGTCCCATCAAATTAAATTGAAAGATAAAGATATTGTTGTAGTATAACATGTGATGCTGAATCCCTAGTCTAAAGTATGTATGAATTAGTATTATATATACTGGACTCGTATATTTGAAGGTATTTTTAAATAGAGTTGTTTCTTGAGTTGATAAAACGGATGAGATTTTAGGTCATCGAAAGAATATGATCATCAATGATATGAACTTCTCTAATTCTATTGGTTTGATCTCTTAAGATCCAAGATTCATAAAAAGTTTTCAAGAGTGGCTTCTGCGTTATTTTTTTCAACCTCGTATTGTGCTTTCAATAATTTAAAAAATCCACATTCAGTGGTTCAAATTCTTACGTGCGTTTAACTCATCCTATTTTCATTTGTGTGTGTGTGTGTGTTTATCATGGATGACTAATACAGCAACATAAAATGAAAATGTATGATAAGTAAAAAAGATATTAACAGTGGGTTTTGGACAAGGACATGTAATTTAATTTCTCTCATAAAACTTGATGAACAAACAAAATGACAATTCACCCTAAAAAAGAAGACAATTCATTTGGCTTCAGTGTGAATTTTTTGGAGGGAAAAAGCTACAAGACAAAATTCTAGTCAATTCCCTATAAACGTACCCTTTTGGGTGCTGGCTCAAGAGCAATTCTCGCCCTTGTTATAACTCCAAATTGTCCTAAACCTCCAAGAACCGCATGAAATAACTCCAAATTCTTCTGTAAAGAGCAGGTTACGAACTCTCCTTTTCCTGAACCGAATAAAGCAACTATTTATCAAATTAAATAAATTAGATGCATGCATGCATCAATAAGGGTAACATTTTCCATCTTGGTATCTCAGTCTTTTCATATGAAAGAATTGACCAAATATGTAAGACTTGACCAACATAAAAGTTAATCAAGAATAGGAGACTATGACCGTGTTAGCTGGTTCTAAACCGTGGAAACGTTTGCGTCATTCACCCATATTATAAAAAAGACCATTCCTGCTTTAGACTCAACAACCACGTATTGGGTATATATATAAAAAAAAACATGTTACAGAATTTTAATATGATAATATATATTTAGCAGAAAATCTGTGACACATGTCATGTCATAAGAAGGAAAACAGAAGCTATCCATTTTGTAAATCAGTGATAGATTGCAAGCTGTTTAAGATAATTTTATCTTTCTCTTTCAACTTTCAACATTCAACATGAATTAACATATTCTGAGAAAAAAAAAAAAACAGAATGGACAAAATTTAGATAAAACAGGTAAGAATTTTTGGTATTATTTTTCATCCAAAATCAGTATTTTACGTTGGTAATTGTTGCCGATTTAAGTTACTCATGAAATGAAAAAAATGGGTTAAGAACATGAATGTGCTGATTTTACTTTGAAATTTTTATACATGTGAGAAACTAAGAAGAAACTTATACCGGTGATTACATCCATTTCATGAACATTGCTGATTTGTGGTCCATAGCGGAAAGTCTGGCCACTAATCCCAGCATTGGAAAGTGTCCCTCCCACGGTCAAGTACAAATAATCAGTCCAAGAAACGGGTGCAAGTCCATGGTCAAGCGTGGCGCGAAGCACATCAATCCATAGTTGTTCCCCTCCAACATCAGCATAATAACCCATCAAAGGGTCCTTAGAGACACTAATAACAACCCCATTTCTTTGTTTTCTGAAACTGGCCATGTCAACCACTACCCCATCACGAGCCATGGCTTGTCCACTAGTGGAGTGACCTTGGCCTCTTGCTGCTATGTTGAAAGGGTCATGGCTATTGTATGAGGATTTTATCAAGCTTACTATGTCGTGTATAGAAGATGGATGAAACACTGCTGCTGGGAATTCATGCACGATATTGCCGTAGTCCCTGGAAGCCATTTGAATGGTTTCAGGGTTGTTATGGAACTTGTGGGATATTTTGTCAACACTAGCAAGCTCTGGTGTTAGCAGAGTCGTCCATAACTCTGTTTTGCCCACAGTGGATATCAAACGGGTTATGGTTATTAGTAGTAGTATAAAGTAGGTAGAAAAAGGGTATCTTTCATCCATTTTTGAAAGAGAGAGAGAGCTGAGCTGGGTTATTGTCGGTTATATTGAGGAAGAAGAAGAGGATGAGGAAGAGAAGAAGATGAAGAATTTGGTGTTATGGTGTGGTGGAGGGGTGAAGGAAGGTGGAGGTAGCAGGGTCTATAAATAGAATGGAGGAGCTTGCATGAGAAAGAGAGGGTTGGAGAAAAGAAAAAAGTTTGCTTTTACGTCTAAAATGGGGATATCTGTTGGTGTCTTATTCTATTTTAGAAAATAAATTTAAGACGTGTGTATAAAATAAAATAAAATTATACACAATATTATAAACAATGTTTATTTTTAAATGATAAAATATTGAACGTTAAATAGAGATATGATTAGAATATTCTATATAAAATTTAAATAATTTTTATAAATTATATTTTAATAATAAATTAAATTAAATTAAATTATTTAATATAGCATGAGAGTATATCTAATTTAAATGTTAAGCTTTCTAAATATCCCGCATGAGTCTAAGTTTGTAATATTAGATACTCATATAACAAGTGTATGGAAATAATGGGGTGCATAGAGAGGGAGAAGTTGGTCTTTTGGGGAAGGAAAAACCACATGTTACACTGAGCAAAGAAGTGGGGGTGGCTAAATGTCAAATTCAAAGATACGATGGAAATGGAACCACATAATGGAGAATGAAGTTTCATGTGAAGGAACAATAAACAAGAAAATAATTAATTTAAAATTTGCGTACGTGTTTCTTGTGATTGTGTATTTATGCATCATCATGATCACGAAGCTTCCCAGCAATTGAACATTTGAACCCACAGATTTCTACCATTTTTATTGTGGGCCTTTGGAGGGACCAGAATGGGATTGAACTCTGGCCGTAGATTGCCCATCTGAGAGTCAACATTGGTCAACTTTCGTCAAGTAATTTATATAGATTACCCCACAATCATTTTATATTGCCACTTGGTATTGGCATTTCCTATTTTAAGGATGAAAGAGAGTCAAAATTAGGCAATTATAAAAAGGATCTTTAAAGATTTGTTTTCGGGATCAGAGAACTTGTCATTCATCAAACTATATTGCACTCAACTTTTGTGGTTCATGGAAGGGTAATAACAATGGGAACGGAGGCAGACATGCACCGGATTTTCTTCAGGCCAAGATTTTCTCTGTGAGCATCTAAAGCAACATGGAATCAATTAAAAGTCAAGCAGGGAATGAAACTATAATTATACCCACCAATGTGTTTGTCTCACAACAGTTATAAGTCACTTAACACGTTTCCATACTATTATTTTCTTTTAGATTTAACTTGTTCAAAGCCAAAGAAAATAAACATGTTCAATTCCGTGCTATTGTATGATTGGTAATTAAGGAGAAGGTTCATTATCATTAATAATTAGTTGGCCCCTGGTGTAAATATTCCTAACTGACCAATTGTTCTTAATTTCCCAGCCTTACATGATATGCGAGTACATAAATATCATAAGCACCTGGCATGTGTCGTATAAAAATATGGGAAGAAAACAATGGCATGCCATTAACACGCAAGAGAATCTACTAAACTTATTATAATTAGCAATTTAATTTGGCTACGGCTAGTTTTCCGTCAACTTTTATATACATATATATGCTAGCAATGGACAAAAATATATTATTTGAACCATAGAAATTATAATGTATACATCAAATTGTTCTTTTGTGGATTACTAGTCAAGTTGCACAAATTAGCGAGAGACATATAAGTGATCTCAGTTCTTAAGCTAAGACTTCTATTGGAAGTGCATATAAATCTGACTAACAAAAGATGAGCGTTCAAAGAACAATCTTTGACCTATAGATCTCGCAGGTAGGAGGAACTATCAAATAACAAGACCCTCCACCATATCATGGCTCTGTGGAACCATATTCTACTAATGCTTCCTATTGAAGATTGTAATCTTTGACGATACATGCGCTCCATGCATGACTAATAAATGCCAAAAGACTTGATCACAAGGCTAATTGGATAGACTATAGAGTCAATAGAAACTAAAAGATGTGACATCTTCTAACACTGGTTGGAGATACTCACATTCAGGACTTCTTGATGGGCACAACAGAATGTATACCTTTTCCTCTGTTCAAACAGTGATAGTTAGTACTTCTACCTAATGAAAACGAACATCTTCTTATACTTGTTTCTTCAAAAGTAGGGGGCAAGAAAAGAGTGTAAAAAGGGGTGGTCTTGGTATAAAAAATCATCTTGCTCTTGACATATATGCCGTATCAACATTTAATTAATATCTTGATCGGTAGTACCATCTTTTGTATCTTGGAAACGTTTGGTAAAATTAAAATTCAACTTAACGAGAAATGCAATGTGTCTTCGTCACACTTTTTCTAGTGTTATCATCATGACTGATGAGAATACAATGAACTTGAGCTTTCAGGCCAATATTTCTGTTTCTGATAAATCCTTATAAATGGCTTTAGTAAGGCCACATAACACAGGCACATGTACATATATATTATATTTTGGGCAATATATAAAGACAAACGAAAAGGGGAAGGGACATTTTCCACTTGTCCTATTGTCCAAAGTGGAACTTGAGGTCCATACTACTAGTTGCTTTTCGGGTTCAGTTCAAACACGTATTTTGGCATGCTAGTTAATGCTAATAGAAGGAATGAAACAAAGAAAGACAGTGCCGTGCACTGCATTGGTAAGGGGTAACTGTTTCTTAGATATTCAAGATCTTTTTGGGGATCCAAATTAGCCAACCCCCAAAAGCAATCAGATCACATGGTCTTACTCTAAAAAACTTAACAAAAGCAATAACATTTCAAAAGAAGAGAGAGAGAGAGAGAGAGAGAGAGAGAAGAAAAATTATTCATTCCACACTCGCCATCCTATTTTGCCATTAGCTGATTCCTTAAGAGAAATCAAGGGACCCATAAATTCTTATATAATTTCTTCAAGAAGAAGTTAAGAGAAATCTAATGGGTTGGGGGGAAGGGATGGGCCCAGAGCCATGTCTACTTTTGTAATATAATAAGTAAGGTATATAATGCAATATTACTTGTATATAAGTTTTTTAATGTAAAATATATTACGTATATATAATGCGATATCTAATTTTTTTATGAAGTTGAAATTTTATATTAATAATTTATCAAAATTATTTTTGAAAAATACAATATAGAAGAATTTACAACTTGGGAGAGGACCTAATGTCTCCTGCCTCAAATTATATATACGCACGTCTTGCTTAGTCAATCTTTAATGACGTTTTTTCAATTTTGATTTTGGAGATCATCAATTATATATATGCTGCCTCAAATTGCTAGTAATAGTACGTAATATTGTATCAATGTCTAGCACTCTTGATTTATTCCATCCTATTTGTTAGGCTCTACTATAAATGGATTGGCATTTTATTTGATTGATTAAGTTGAAAAAAAAAATGTGGTAATAAACAATTTTTTGTTGTTAAAATCATTTTTTATGATTATTATAAATATTTTTTCCTAATATAACTTATTTATTTTATCTTTTTTTATTCATATAAATAAGTAAAGTATTTTTTTTCTCATTCAAACAACACAAATTTGTATTTCTTTATCCTTTATTTCAGTCCTCATCCAGACAAAATATTAAATTCAGTTTATTTAAATATATCTTGTTTTAAAACGTAACTTGAAATTTCAAAGAACGACCACACAAAATCTTAAAACATATCATATTAATTATTTATATTAATACTTAAAATTTTGCTAATGCACCCTGTTTCAAGTTTGTATGTTTGCAGGTTAGACTGGTTTGTTTTAACTAATTAAACATATTAAATTAATTAAAATTTTGTAAAATTATATATATATATATATATATATATTAAACCTGTTTAAACATTTTTAAATAATTATTATTTTTAATAAAAATATTGTCTTTTGTTTTGTAAATAAATACTTTCATGATTTACATCTTTATGTATAAAAAAAGTTAATACTGCAAGAGTTAAACTCGAACTCTAAAGATTTTCAAAGATCGATGTGCTTCCAACTTACTCTTAGCAATTGTATATTAACTAAAGCGTGTCTTAAATAGATAGTTGAATAAAAACAATAATAGTTTAGTCCCATTTGTAGAATGTGGAGTACACAGCTCCAATAAAAATGAATAAAAAATTCATCAGTTGTAAAGAATGAATGTAGGGATACATTTAAATTTATTGGGGATTCATTCATGCACATGTTAACTGATACACCTAACGTAATCATTAATGCCGAATTTCACTATCTAATGTGTTTCAAACACTATGATTATCACGGACCACTTCGGTGTCTCTTTAAGCAACCATATCCACCTTAAACTCACAATTAATATGCTTCCAACTTACTCTTTTCAATCGGATATTCATAGATATTATTTTAAATAAATATTTTAGATGATTAATTGTTTTTTTTATCTTTATTTATTATGAACTTCATATATATTAACATAACATTCATCAAATATTTATATAAATTTATGAATTTATTTATTTCTTGTACATGATATCACAAAAAGAATAAAACAACAAATTAATGCAGCGATGACTTTAAGTATAGTGGTGGATATGTGTATGAAATTAACCCCCAATAGGGATGGAAATAGGCTAGGATGCTTGACAGGGCCTATGGCTTTGACTGACATGACCTTTTTAATAAATAAATAAAACTTAAGTTTTTTTTTAAGATTTGTCTAAACAAACAAGCTAAGTCTAAACTGTTTATAAAACTTGTTAAGTCTGACAGGCCGGTCTGTATAAATAAATAAATATATATATATATATATATATATATATATAACTATAAAAGTAACAATTTGAGTTTATTGATCTCAAAGTCAGTATGTGTCATTATGTTTATGCAAAACATATATATATATATAGTAATTGAGATTTGTTGTTCAACTATTCTTTTAACATCTATAAAGTAGGCAACAACTTCTTAGATTAGTCAATTAGACTAAAGGAAATTATGATATGTCA